AAAACAGCCTCCATCAATCCCACTAGCCTCTGAAGAGTGACAGCAACTTCCTCCCCCTCTCTCTTCTCTTCAGATAGACCCCAGGTTCCTGTATCTACAATAGAGACAAATACAGCCACCTCTCCATCTATTTCCAATAACACCTGTTCTCTCGATGGGGGCTTCAATGTGGGTGGCTGTCCATCCACTTTACCACCCTTTACACTCACCTACCCTGTCAAGACAAGCTTGGTCCCATTAGCCTGGTCTAGTCCAGTAGAAACTTTCAGCACCACGGTCAGCACCAGCACCGCTGCCTGGGAAAATCCTACCTCCAGCAACTCTGTGGTCACTTCCGTTCCAGCACCAGGCACATGGACCAGTGTAAGCAGTACTACTGACTTACCTGCCATGGGCTTTCTCAAGACAAGTCTTGCAGGAGAGACACACTCACTTCCAGCATCAAATATTGGACCAGCCACTGCCTTCACTCCCCATCTTTTAGCAGCAGTGGTCACTGGATCCAGTGCTACATCAGAAGCCAGTCTTCTCACTATGAGTGAAAGCAAAGCCATTCATTCTTCACTACAGACCCCAACTACATCCACGTCTGGAGCAAGCTAGGAAACTTCAGCTACTCCTGAGAGCCTTTTGGTGATCACTGAGACTTCAGACACAACACTCACCTCAAAGATTTCGGTCACAGATACCATCTTGTTTTCATCTGTGTCCACACCGCCTTCTAAACTTCCATTTATAGGGACTCTTTCTCTGGAGCTTCCTTCCTTACTTTAGTACAGGACACTTCAGCCATCCCACTCACTGCCACTGAGCCAACAAGTTCATTAGCTACATCCTTTGATTCCACTCCATTGGTAACTATAGCTCTGATAGACTTAGTACAAACCCAGAGACTACCCTGACCGTGTCAGAGACCTCAAATCGTGATGCACTGGTTCTTAAGACAGAAAGTAACTCAGATAGGAGCATCCCTGGAATCACTACCCAAGGAGTAGCAGAAAGTCCACCCCATCCTCCCACTTCCTCCTCTAAGATTGTTACTCCACAGAACACAACGTATAAAGGTTCGATCACCATAGGACTTTCTACCTTGCCTGCAGGAATGACAGGTTACCTTGTATTTAGTCAGAGTTCTGATAACTCAGAGACAACAGCTTTGGTGGACTCATCAGCTGGGCTTGAGAGGGCATCTGTGATGCCACTAACCACAGGAAGTTGGGGTTTGGCCAGCTCTAGAGGAATCAGAAGTGGGTCCACTCACTCTACTGGAACCAAAACATTTTCTCCTCTCCCTCTGACCATGAGCCCAGGTGAGGTTACAGCCATGTCTGAAATCACCAGGAACAGACTGACAGCTACTCAATCAACAGCACCCAATGGGATACCTGTGAAGCCCACCAGGGCTGAGTCAGGGCTCCTAACACCTGTCTCTGCCTCCTCAAGCCCATCAAAAGCCTTTTCATCACTGACTACAGCTCCCCCAACTTCGGTGATCCCAGTCCATCTTGACTTTTGACTTTTCTGAGGTCCGAAGTTTGGATACTAAGTCTGCTTCTTTACCAACTCCTAGACAGTCCCTGAATGCCATTCCAGACTCAGATCTTCCCCACTGTCCAGGTCTCCAGAAAAAAGCCCAAGAGCAGGGATGATGACTTCCACAAAGGCCATAAGTGCAAGCTCAGTTCAATCAACAGGTTTTACTGAAATCCCTGAGGGATCTGCCTTCCCTTCTATGGCAGGGCATAAACCCAGAGTCCCCACCTCAGGAACTGGGGACTATAGATATGCCTCAGAGAGCATGCCTTATCCAGACCCAAGCAAGGTATCATCAGATATGAAATCAACCTCTCTTGCATCAAAACTGACAAGTCTCTTCAGCACAGGTCAAGCAGCAAGGTCTGGTTCTAGTTCCTCTCCCACAAGCCTATCCACTGAGAAAGAAACCAGCTTCCTTTCCCCACTGCATCCACCTCCAGAAAGACTTCACTCTTTCTTGGGCCCTCCATGGCAAGACAGCCCAACACATTGGTACATCTTCAGACTTCAACTCTGACGCTTTCACTAACATCTATGCTAGATGTCCCAGGAGGAGCCTCCTGAGATAATCTCAAGGCAAACCACTACAGAAGAGGAGAGAACATCAGCTGAAATACAGACGTTAACCTTCAAACCATCGGAGCCCCCAACATCCTTGCTACCTGTCTCTTCTCCCACAGATCCCACAGCCAGGAGAGAGGGTTCTCCAGAAACATGGGCACGCTCTATTTCAGCACCTGCCAAGACCTCCTTGGCAGAAAGTAAGAATTCCCTGCTCCTTTCCCAAGTGTGCTGGGGATGAATCTGGAAATAAATTACATCTTTTAAAACATTTTTTAAACTTTTGTATTTAAAATATAAATATTTTAGGCTTAGGGAACATGTGCAGGTTTGTTATATAGGTAAATTGCATGTCATGGGGGCTTAGGATACAGATTACGTCATCACCCAGGTAATAAACATAGTACCTGATCAGTAGGTTTTTTTTAATCCTCTCCCTCCTCTCAGTCTCCACCCTCAATGTGTACTCTACTCTCCATGTGTACTCAGAGTTTAATTCCCACTTATAAGTGAGAACATGTGGATTTGTAAATTACATCTTTATTTTTCCTAACCTTGAACTGAAATTTAGCATTTGTTTTATTGATGAGTAGAGGTGGCAAAACAAACCACATTAATCCTAGCAGTGCCTGTGCCTTTGCTAACGATAAAAATTCCAGACACTTTTACATCCTATTACAGTTGTTGCAAGCACTTTTTTTTTAGATGGTCACTCTGTCGCCCAAACTGGAGAACAATGATGCAATCTCAGCTCACTACAACCTCCTCCTCCCAGGTTCAAGCAATTCTCCTGTCTCAGCCTCCTGAGTAGCTGGGATTACAGGTGCATGCTACCATGCCCAGCTAACTTTTTTTTTGTATTTTTTAGTAGAGATGGGGTTTCATCATATTGATCAGGCTGGTTTTGAACTCCTGACCTCAGGTGATTCACCCGCCTCAGCCTTCCAAAGTGTTGGGATTACAGGCGTGAGCCACCACTCCTGGCCTTGCAGACAGTTTTAAATATCATGTATGACTTTATTCATAATTATGGTTGTTATTAGGCTTTTCAATAGATCTTATTTAATGAGTTAGTAAAAGAAGTGCCTCTATTATTATATTACATTTCTTTATTAAGATCTTGATAACAACATTTGAATATAATAACTTTCTTTGTTTTTTAAGTTTTAGATTCAGGGGTATATGTGCAGGTTTGTTACATGGATATACTGCATAATGGTGAGCTCTGGCTTCCAGTGAACCCATCATCCAAATAGTGAACATTGCATCCAATAAGTAGTTTTTCAACCGTCGCTTCCCTAACCGGCTGGAGAACAGTGGTGTGCACTCACTCATTACTCACTGTACTCACTGCAGCCCCCTCCCTTTGTTTCTTTGCAATGATTATTTTTATTTCTTGCTTTGAAGGAAAGATGAAAGGCTAGTTAGGTGTTCCTGTTTTATTCTACAGCTGCATCCAAGCAACTATCTCCAAATTTACAAAGCAGTTCATAGAGCCCCCCGGTAATTGAAGTATAAGCTAAATGATCACAGCAACAACATACGAACATGAACTCTGCCAAACAAAACTCACATCATTAGGTCTTCAAATGACCCGTTGTTTTTCTAGAAATGTTCAATAACCAAATAGCTGACTGAAACCGCGAGATGACATTGACTTTTAGATACTTCCCCAGATAGCATATATGTGTATTAACATATTTTGGGCCAAAATTACCTGAAGCATATTATAGTGATCTTTCTTTAGTCAATTCTAGATTCTTTAGGGCTATCTCTCTTTAATTCCACCTCCCCTCCCTCTTTCGGAGTGACGGTGTCTATTATTTTTGTCTTTATGTCCATGGGTACTGTTGTTTAGTTCCCACTTATAAATGAGAACATGCAGTATTTGATTTTCTGCTTTTGAGTTATTTTGCTTAGGATGGTGACCTTCGGCTCCATCCATGTTGCTTTAAGGAACATGATTTCATTCTTTTCTCTTTTCTTTTTTTTCTTCTTTCTTCTTTTTTTGAGATGGAGTCTTACTCTGTCACCCAGGCTGGAGTAACGTGGTGCAATCTTGGCTCACCACAACCTCCACCTCCTGGGTTCAAACAATTCTCCTGCCTCATCTTCCTGAGGAGCTGAGATGACAGGTGCACACCACCATGCCCGGCTAACTAAAAAAATTATTTTGTAGAGATGGGGATCTAGCTCTCCTGCTCAGGCTGGTCTCAAACTCCTGGGCTCAAGCGATCCTCCTACTTTGGCCTCCCAACGTGTTGCAATTACAGAGGTGAGCCACTGTGCCTGACCACTTGTCACATTTTAATTTGTGATTACTTATCAAATGAACCCCTTCCCATCTAAGATCTGTCAGTCTTTCTCGTGACAGTGCCTGGTGTCTGTTTTCTACCATGTCCTGTTAGAAGTTTTGATGGAAGGTCACATGGGCAGCTGTCCAGGTCACTCGCCGGGCTCTAGAGCCTCTGAGTTGAAGCAAAATAGAAAGATCAGTCAATGGAAAGGAGGTGCATAAGGCTGATCGCACTAGCTCACACCTGTAATCCCAACACTTCAGGAGGCCAAGGAGGGTGGATCACGTGAGGTCAGGAGTTTGAAACCAGCCTGGCCAACATGGTGAAACCCCATCTCTACTAAAAATACAAAAGATTAGCCAGGCGTGGTGGTGCATACCTATAATCCCAGCTACTTGGAAGGCTGAGGCCGAAGAATTGCTTGAACCTGGGAGGTGGAGGTTGCAGTAAGCTGAGATCACACCATCTGCACTCCAGCCTGGGCAAAAAGAGTGAAACTCCATCCCCCAAAAAAATAAAAAGAAAGAAAGAAAGAAAAAGAAAGTGCATAAACTGGCATTCTGAGATAATGGAGAGCTGGACCTTCCTATTGCCCTTTTCTTTCAGCAACTGATGGAACGCTAGTGCCCACCACAAAGATGTCAAGCCAGCCAGCACAAGGAAATTCCACATGGCCTTCCCTATCGGAGGGGACAGGGACCAGTCCAGCAGGTAAATATAGATCTTGTTTCCATTTCTGCTCTGCTAATGTCACCCAAGCCTTGTTCCTTCCTCTCCTCTCCTTCTCCCCGTCTCCTTCTGCTCTCCCCCTCCCCTCCCCTCCCCTCCCCTCTCCCCTCCCATTTCTCTCCTTCTTTCTTTCTTTTATTTTTGAGACAGGGTCTCATTCTGTCACCCAGGTTGGGGTATAGTAGTGTGTACTCACTGCAGCCTCAAATTCCTGGGCTCAAGCTATCCTCTCACCTCAGCCTCCTGAGTAGCTGGGACTACAGGCCTGAACTATGCCCAGCTTATTGTGTTTTATTTAATTTTTGTTTTGTAGAGATGGGGTCTCACTATGTGGCCCAAGCTGGTCTTAAACTCCTGGCTCCAAGAGATCCTCCCACCTCAGCCTCCCAAAGTGCTGGAATTATGGGTGTGAGCCACTGTGCCCAGCCTAAACAGCATTTATTTTTTTTTGAAATAGGGTCTCCCTCTATTGCCCAGGCACGATCATGGCTCACTGCAGCCTCAGCCTCCCTAGGCTCAAGTGATCCTCCAACCTCAGCCTCCCTCAGCAGCTAGAACTGCAGGTGCCCACCACCAATTAGCCTGGCTATTTGTGTGTGTGTTTCTTAAAATTTTTTGTAGAGATAGAACTTGCTGTATTGCTTGGGCTGGTCTCAAACTCCTGGGCTCAAGTGATTCACCCACTTGGGCCTCCCTAAGGCTGGGATTACAGGCTTGCACCACCACACCCAGCAAGAACTAGGCTTAAAATAGGTTCCTTTGATTTCTTGCCACTCTTCTCGGAGGATATTGATCATTTTTTCCCCATAGATGTTATTAACTGAACACTTCTGTGGCTTCACCTTACTAATTTACGTGATCGATAGCGAAGTAATTCAGCAGGAGAGAATGCTACAGAGTCAATTCTCTCTGTACTTGCTTCTGCTCCAGAGTGAAGGATCTTTCTAAATCAGAGACCATCGCTGTGTTCACAGGGAGGACACAGATAAACTTTAGATGGCAAATGTTGCCTTTGTTACTGCAGAGGAAAGGATTATGGATTAAAATCCTTGGCTGTGCCAAGTTAGAAAAAATGTGAAGAAAGGTCCCCAGGAGTGCTCTTGGGATGTCAGGTTTTTCTCACTTCTGTTATTTTCCTGAAGGACTGGGAAAGGATTCAGAGGGAAGAACAAATTTGAAAGAAAATGAAGGTGAGGAGAAAGAATGAGCTCATCTCCCCCATCCCCTTTCTTCTTAAATGCTTAAGTAGCTTTGCAGTGAACTAAGATTTGGGGATTCCTAGAGGAGGCTGAAAGTTTTAAGCTGAAACTGGTTTAGCAAGGTCAAGCTCCAAAGAGGAAAGTGGAAATAGTTTAGAGGTAGCCTCTTGCATGGGTGAAGACCTAGCTCATCACATCCTCCCTTATACAAAGAGCACTTTGATATGGGGCATGGGGAAAAACTGAGCTCCAGGTGACAGTTTCTCCTGAGCAAGCCAGATGGTCAAAGCTCTAACTTCACCATCTCCCTTGGAATGTTTACTGTATTTCCCTGGTGTCCAGAGACTTAAAGTGTGAGAATTAAAAGCTTAATATTTTCTTTCCCATGGAAGGAGGAAATAGTTTTAATTGAAATTCCGGGAGGTAATAATGATAGTGTCAAACAAAAAAAGAGCCTCATCTTCTGTACCACTTGCAGATACTCCACCAACTCACTTTCTAATCACAGGCACATCCCCAGGAAGCCCAGAAATGTCCACAGCCCTCAAAACCATGAGCTCCAAGGAACCCAGCATCAGCCCAGCGATCAAGTCCACTGCGAGCAATTCTCCTTGGAAGACTCCAGAAACAGCTGTTCCCATGGAGACCACAGTGGAACCAGTCACCCTTCAGTCCACAGACCTTGGAAGTGGTAGCACCAGCCTCTCTCATCTGCCCACAGGAGCCACATCACCAACCAAGTCACCAATAGAAAATATGGTGGCTACAGACAGGGTCTCACTCTCCCCATCCCCACCTGAGGCTTGGACCAACCTTTATTCTGGAACTCCAGGAGGGACCAGGCAGTCACTGGCCACAATGTCCTCTGTCTCCCTAGAGTCACCAACTGCTAGAAGCACCAGAGGAACTGGTCAGCAAAGCAGTCCAGAACTGATTTCAAAGACCACTGGAATGGATTTCTCTGTGTGGCATGGCTCTACTGGAGGGACCACAGTGGACACACATGTCTCTCTGAGCACATCTTCCAGTATCTTTGAAGACCCTCTAACCAGCCCAAACTCTGTGAGCTCAGTGGTAGATAACTCCAAATTTAAAACCAAGACATGGGTCAGCACCACAGCTATTCCCTCCACTGTCCTGAGTAACAAGACAGTGGCAGCTGAACAACAGACAAGTCCATCTGTGGATGAGGCTTATTCATCAACTGGCTCATTGTCACATCAGACATCTGGGAGTGACAGCACCGTTGGTGCATCTCCTGATGTCGCAAACACATTACACATCACCTCCACAGCACAAACCACCTCACTAGTATCTCTGCTCTCTGGAGACCAAGGCATTATCAGCCTCACCAGTGCCTCAGGAGGAAAAACAAGCTCTGCATCATCTGTCACATCCCCTTCAACAGGGCCTGAGACTCTGATGGCCATCATAAGTGTAGCGACTAGTGACACTGCCCCTACTGCTGGGCAACTATCCCAGACCTCCTCTCCTGTGGAAGTGAGCATCACTGGTGTAGCCACAGCTCCTACTCCAGGTATCACCACCAGCATCACTACCATAGGAACCAACTCAATCTTGACTACACCCAGCCCAGAAAGGGGCGTGAGTACCATGGACAGCACGCTGGCCACAGAGAGGAGCACATCTACAGAGCACACTCCCACCTGGTCCTCCACAGCTGCATCAGATTCCTGGACTGTCACAGACATGGCTTCAAACTTGAAAGTGGCAAGTTCTCCTGGAACAATTTCTACAATGCGTACAACTTCATTCTTAGCCTCAAGCACTGAATTGGACTCCATGTCCACTCCCAATGGCCTTATTACTATCATTGGAACCAGCCTGGTCACTCCATCCTCGGATGCTTCAGCCATAAAGACAGAGAGCAGTACACGTGAAATAACACTGAGTTCTTCAGTTACAACTATGTCTACTCCCATCTCAAATTTTTCTCGTATCCAGAGCACCTCAGTTGCTGACATTTCAAATACAAGTTGGACTCCCAGTAGAACAGAAACAGGAGATGTGCCTGTTTCAATGGCTCCTACTAATTATGCCAGTACAAAGACTGACCCCAATATGCTCCTGTCCACTTTTCTGTTTGATTCTCTATCCACTCTTGATTGGGACACTGGGAAATCTGTGTCATCAGCCACAGCCACTACCTCAGCTCCTCATGGGGCCACAACTCCTCAAGAACTCACTTTGGAGATGATGATCAGCCCAACTACCTCACGGCCACCCTTCTCTACAGGAGACAGTACAAGTGGAGTCACACCAGCTGCAATGCTAAGGAGCTCCGGAGTTACTTTTTCAAGACCAGACCTCACAAGCAAAAGGGCAGAGCAGAGTTCTACTCAGCTTCCCACCACAACTTCTACACATCCAGAAGAGAACATCAAGGTTACCAGCTCCTCCAGTTTATTAAGGACCTTGGATACACTGGACATAAGCTTGGAATCTGCAATTACTTCATCCTCATATTGGAAAAGCAGCCCATATGAGAGCCCATATGCCACTTCTGAGTCCACCACAGGCAAAGAGTCAATTCGCCCTTCTACACACATAGTAGACTCAACACCATGGGTCACAAGTTCCAAACGTGCTTCTCATTCTACTGTCCCAGCCCACTCAGAGTCATCCAAGCTCACGTCTCCAGTGGTTACTGCCTCCACCAGGGGACAAGCCATTTTTTCTATATCAACGACCACATGGCCAGAGTCTACAAGGGCTGGAACAGAGCCTAGTTCCTCCTTGACTACTGAACTGAGGGACTTCAACCCTTACATGGACACCAGCTCAACCACGCAAACAAGTATTATCTCTTTGCCAGGTTCCACTGCTATCACCAAGGGACCTAGAACAGAAATTACCTCCTCCTCTGAGAGAATATCCAGCTCATTCCTTGCCCCGTCTGTGAAGTCATCAGACAGGCCCCCAGAAACCATCACCAGGATGTCTAACTTCCGTGCCACGACAGAATCTGGACAAATGACTCTCACTATGCAAACGGGTCCACCTGGCACTACATCACTAAGTGCACCTACCTTGGACACATCAGCCACAGCCTCCTGGGCAGGGACTCCATTGGCTATGACTCAGAGATTTGCACACTCAGAGGAGACCACTCTCTTCAGCAAAGGTCCTGAGGATACATCACAGCCAAGCCCTGCCTCTGTGGAAGAAACCAGCTCTTTCTCTTCCCTGGCACCTATCCATGCCACAACCTCACCTTCCAATACTTTGTTGACATCACAAGGACACAGTCCCTCCTATACTCCACCTGTGACCTCAGTTCTCTGGCCTCAGACCTCTGGCCTGGGGAAGACCACCGATTTGTCAAGGATAAGCTTGGAACCTGGGACCAGTTTCCCTCCCAATTTAGGCAGTACAGCAGGTGAGGCATTATCCACTTATGAAGCCACCAGAGATACAAAGGTCATTCATACTTCTGAAAACACAGCAGTGATAAATGTGGAGGCAACCAGTTCTGAACATTCTTCTGTCCCAGTCCATACACAGCCGTCCGAAGCCACATCTCCAGTGGTTACCTCCCGTACCATAGGAGACATCACTGCTTCCACATTAGTGTTTGGCTCCTCTGAGACCACAGAGATTGAGACAGCATCCTCTCTGAACCTGGGACTTCAGGAGAGAAGCACATCCCAAGTGACCAGCTCTGCTACAGAGACAAGCACTGTCATTACCCATGTGTCTACTGGTGATGCTCCTACTGAAGTCACCAAGACACAAGTCACTTTCTCTAGCAGAACATCCATCCCAAGCCCTTATCACTTCAAAACTTCTACCAACACATTTACAAATGTGAGCACCAACCCATCCACCTCTCTGATAATGACAGAATCTTCGGGAGTGACCATCACTACCCAAACAGATCCTACTGGAGCCACAACACAGGGTCCGTATCTCTTGGACACATCAACCATGCCTTACTTGACAGAGACTCCATTGGCTGTGACTCCAGATTTTATGCAATCAGAGAAGACCACTCCCATGAGCAAAGGTCCCAGGGATGTGTCACGGACAAGCCCTCCTTCTGTGGCAGAAACAAGCTCTCCCTCTTCCCTGACACCTATCTTGGTCAGAACTTTACCTCCTGCCACTTCCACACTACAAGGGCAAAGTACGTCCTCTCCTGTTTCTATGACTTCAGTGATCACCTCTGAACTGATAAAGACCACAGATAAACTGAACATGAGCGTGGAACCCGTGACTATTTCACCTCAAACTTTGAACAACACATTAAGTGACATACTGGCCACTTTGGAAACCACCACAGATATAGAGAAAATTCATCCTTCCATAAACAAAGCAGTTACCAATATGGAATTGCATTCCACTCTCCCAGCTAGCTCAGAACCATCTACAACCACATCTCCAGTGGTTCCTGCCTCCACCATGGAGGACACTCTTGTTTCTGCATCAACATCTGATTTTGAGACCACAGACATTGAGGGAGAGCCAACATCCTTTCTGACTCCAGGACGAGGAGAGAACAGTACCACCCAGGAGTCAAATATCATCCTCTCCAGTGTGTCTGTGGGAGCGGCTACTGAAGCCTCCAAAACGGAAGTCTCCTCTTTTGATGCAACATTTATACCAACTCATGCTCAGTCAACAAAGTCCCCAGATATTTTTTCAGTGACCAGCAGTAGACTCTCAAACTCTCCTCCCATGGCAATATCTACCCACATGACCACTACCCAGACAGGGTCTTCCGAAGCTACATCAAAGATTCCACTTGCCTTAGACACATTGACGTTGGAAACCTCAGCAGGGACTCCATCAGTGGTGACTGAGAGGTTTGCCCACTCAAAAATAACCACTTCCATGAACAGTGATGCCAAGGACATGTCATGGACAAACCCTCCCTTTGTGGAAGAAGCCAGCTCTCCCTCTTCTCAGGCACCTGTTCTTGTCACAAGCTTAGCTTCTCCTGTTGCTTCCACGTTGCAATGGCACGGCACGTCCTCTCCTGTTCCTGTGTCCTCAGTTCTTACCTCTTCACTGATAAAGATCACAGGCAAGGTGGATACAAGTTTAGAAAAAGTAACCAGTTCACCTCAAAGTATGAGCCACACTTTGGATGACATATTGGCCACTTCAGCAGCCACCACAGATATAGAGACATCGCATCCTTCCATAAACATAGCCGTGACCAATGTGGGGGCCACCAGTTCAGCATTTGAATTGCATTCCACTGTCTCAGCTGACTCAGAGCCATCTAAAGTCACATCTCCATATGTTACCACCTCCACCATGGAAGACGCCATGATTTTCAGATCAATACCTAGATCCTCTAAGACTACAAGAATTGAGACTGAGACAACTTCCTCCTTGACTCCTAAACAGAGGGAGACCAGCATCTCCCAGGAGATCCCCTCATCCACAGAGACAAGCACTGTTCCTTACAAAGAGCTCATTGGTGTCACTGCCAAGGTTTCCACGACAGATGTCACTTCCTCTAGCAGTACATCCATCCCTGGTCCTGATCAGTCCACAGTGTCACTAGACATCTCCACAGAAGCCACCACCAGGCTCTTTACCTCCCCTATAATGGCAGAATCTGCAGAAATAATCATCACCACCCAAACAGGTCCTCATGGGGCTACATCACAGAATGCCTTTACCACAGACACATCAAATACAACCCCCCATGCAGGGATCCACTCAGTTATGACTGATGGATTTTCACAATCGGATGTGACCACTCTTATGAGCGGAATTCCAATGGATGTATCATGGACAAGTCCTCCCTCTGTGGATGAAACCAGCTCCCCCTCTTCCTTTCTATCTTTACCTGCAATGACCACACCTTCCCTAGTTTCCTCTACCTTACCAGGGGATAGGCTCTCTTCTCCTATGACTTCACCTCTCACCTCTGGCCTGGTGAAGATCACAGACATATTACATACACGCTTGGAACCTGTGACCAGTTCACTTCCACATTTCCGCAGCACCTCAGATAAGATGCTGGCTACTTCTAACGATGGTCAAGACACAGCAAAAATCGACCCTTCCATAAACACTGCAGAGACCAATACGAAAGCCAACAACTCTGGACATGAATCCTATTCCTCTACACTGGCTGATTCAGAGACACCGAAAGCCACAACTCAAATGGTTATCGCCACCACTCTAGGAGATCCAGCTCCTTCCACATCAATGCCAACGCATGGTTCCTCTGAGACTACAAACATTAGGAGAGAGCCGACATATTTCTCGACTCCTAGACTAATAGAGACTAGCATCTCTCAGGAGTCCAGCTTTTCCACAGACACGAGTTTTCTACTGTCCAAAGTCCCCACTGGTACTGTCACTGAGGTCTCCGGCACAGAAGTCATCTCTTCTAGCAAAATATCCACCCCAGACCATGATAGGTCTACAATGCAATCTGACACCTTCACAGGAGAGAACACCAGGGTCTTTACCTCCTCTATAATGACAAAATCTGCAGAAATGACAGTCACCACCCAAGCAAGTCCTCCTGGGTCTGCATCACACGGTACTCTTCCCTTGAACACATCAACCACACGTTCCCAGGGAGGGACTCGTTCAACCATGACTCAGGGATTCCCACACTCAGAGGTGACCACTTTTATGAGCATGGGTGCTGAGAACGTGTCAAGGATGACAACTCCCCTTGTGGAAGAAACCAGCTCTGCATCTTCCTTGATGTCTTCACCTGCTATGACCTCCCCTTCTCCTGTTTCCTCCACATTACCAGAGAGCATCCCCTCCTCTCCTCTTCCTGTGACTGCACTTCCTATTTCTGTTCTGGTGACAACCACAGATGTGTTGGGCACAACAAGCCCAGAGCCTGTAACCAGTTCACCTCCAAATTTGGGCAGCACCACATATGAGAGACTGATCACCCACAAAGACAGTGCACATACAGAAATCTTGCATCCTTCCACAAACACAGCAGTGGCCAATGTAGGGACCTCCAGTTCCGGACATGAATCACAATCCTCTGTCCTAGCTGACTCAGAGACATCCAAAGCCACATCTCCAATGGCTATGACCTCCACCGTGGGGGACACAAGTGTTTCCATATCAACTCCTGTTAACTCTCAGACTAGTCAAATTCAAACAGAGTCAGTGACATCCCTGACCCCTGGATTGAGGGACAGCAGTATGTCTGAGAAGACCAGCTCAGCAACAGAAACAAATACTGTCTTTTCTTATGTGCCCGCGGGTGCTACTACTCAGGCTGCCAGGACAGAAATCTCCTCTAGCAGAACGTCCATCTCAGAGCTTGATCAGTCCACAATGGCACCCGATATCTCCACGGGAATGACCACCAGGCTCTTCACCTCCCCCATCATGACAAGATCTGCAGAAATGCCCATCACCACTCAAACAACTACTCCTGGAGCTACATCACAGGGTACCCTTCCCTCGGACACATCAACCACACTCTTCCGGGGAGGGACTCATTCAGTTGTGTCTCAGGGATTCCCACACCCAGAGATAACCACTTTTAGCAGCAGAATTCCTGGAGATGTGTCATGGATGACAACTCCCCCTGTGGAAGAAACCAGCTCTGTGTTTCCCCTGATGTCTTCATCTGCCATGACATCTCATTCTGTTTCCTCCACATTACCAGAGAGCATCCCCTCCTCCCCTCTTCCTGTGACTGCACTTTCTACTTCTGTTCTAGTGACAACCACCGATGTGCTGGGCACAACAAGCCCAGAGTCTGTAACCAGTTCACCTCCAAATTTGAGCAGCACCACAAATGAGAGACCAGCCACTTACGAAGACACTGCACACACAGAAGCCATGCCTCCTTCCACAAACACAGCAGTGGCCAATGTAGGGACCTCCAGGTCTGGATATGAATCACAATCCTCTGTCCTAGCTGACTCAGAAACATCGAGAGTCACACCTCCGATGAGTACCACCTCCACCCTGGGGGACACAAGTGTTTCCATATCAACTCCTGATATCTCTCAGACTAGCCAAATTCAAACAGAGTTAATGGCATCCCTGACCCCCTCATTGAGGGAGAGCATCACGTCTGAGAAGACCAGCTCACCAACAGAGACAAATACTGCCATTTCTTATGTGCCCACTGGTGTTACTACTCAGGCCTCCAGGACAGAAATCTCCTCTAGCAGAACATCCATCTCAGAGCTTGATCAGTCCACAATGGCACCCGATATCTCCACAAGAATGACCACCAGGCTCTTCACCTTCCCCATCATGACAAGATCTGCAGAAATGACCATCACCACTCAAACAACTATTCCTGGACCTACATCACAGGGTACCTTTCCCTCGGACACAGCAACCACACTCTTCCAGGGAGGGACTCATTCAGTTGTGTCTCAGGGATTACCACACCCAGAGATAACCACTCTTAGGAGCAGAATTCCTGGAGATGTGTCATGGATGACAACCCCCCCTGTAGAAGAAACCAGCTCTGTGTTTTCCTTGATGTCTTCACCTGCCATGACCTCCTCTTCTCCTGTTTCCTCCACATTACAAGAGAGCATCCCCTCCTCTCCTCTTCCTGTGACTGTACTTCCTACTTCTGTTCTGGTGACAACCACAGATGTGCTGGGCACAATAAGCCCAGAGCCTATAACCAGTTCACCTCCAAATTTTAGCAGCACCACAAATGAGAGACCAGCCACTTACAAAGACACTGCACACACAGAAGCCATGCCTCCCTCCACAAACACAGCAGTGGCCAATGTAGGGACCTCCAGGTCTGGACATGAATCACAATCCTCTGTCCTAGCTGACTCAGAGACATCCAAAGCCACGTCTCCAGTGGGTACCACCTTGACCATGTGGGATACAAGAGTTTCTACATCAAATCCTGCTTTATTTGAGGCTAGAATTCAGATGGAATCAACATCTTCTTGGACTCCTGGATTGAAGGACACCAGCATGTCTGAGGAGACCAACACTGTGACAGATTCAAGCACCTTCCTTTCAGAAGTGCCCACTATTGCTACTACTGAGGTCTCCAGAACAGAAGTTATCACCTCTAGCAGAACATCTGTCTCAGGGTCTGATCATTCCAAAATGTCACCATATATCTCCACAGAAACCATCACCAGCCTCTCCCCTTCTCCTGTGGTAACAGGATCCACAGAAATGACTATCAGCAAACAAACAGGTCCTATAGGGACTACCTCACAGGCTACCATCACCCTGGACACATCAAGGACAGCTTCCCGGGAAGGGACTCACCCACCTGTGACTCAGAGATATTCACACTCAGAGGAGACCACTAATAGGAGCAGAGGTACTGTGACTATGTCAGGGCAGAGCCCTCCTACTGTGGAAGAAACCAGTTCTCCATCTTCGCTGGTGCCTTTACCTGCAATAACCTCATTTTCACCTCTTTATTCCACACTATCAGGAAGTAGCCCCGCTTCTTCCTTTCCTGTGAGTTCCCCTCTCATCTTTGGCAAGAGGAAGACCACAGACACATTGGATGCAAGCTCAGAACCTGTGACCAGCTCCTTACCAAGTACAAGTAGCTTCTCAGGTGAGATACCCAATTCTGACACCTCGAAAAATACAGAGACCATTCACTTTTCAGAGAACACAGCAGAAAACAACAGTGGGACTGCGAGCTTTACACATGCAATTGCGGTTTCTGAAAACACAGTAGTGGCCCATGTGGGAACCACCAGAGATATACAGGAAGTATATTCTTCTTCCCCAGGCTTCTCAGAGCTACCCAAAGTGACATCTCCAACGATCACCTCTTCTGCCATAAAAGACATTATTTCTACAAACATACCTGCTTCCTCTGAGATAACAAGAATTGAGGTGGAGTCAACATCTACACCGATCCCCAGCGCCTCCCAGGAGATTCACTCAGCCATGGAGACAAGCACTGTTCCTTACAAAGTGCTTACTGGTGCCATGATTGAGGACTCCAGGAAACAAGTCACGTCCTCTAGCAGGGCACCTAGCCCTGATCAGTCCACAGTGTCACCAGACATCTCCATTGAAGTGATCACTACCCCCATGAAGACAGCATCTACAGAAATGACCATTACCACCCAAAAGGGTCCTCCTGGGGCCACATCACAGGGTACCCTCACCTCGAACACCTCAACAACAACCTTTTTGTCAGGGACCCACTCAACTGCATCTCAAGGATTTTCACACTCAGAGATGACCACTCTTATGAGTGGAACTCCTGGAGACGTGCCATGGACGAGCCAGCCCTCTGTGGAAGAAACCAGCTCTGTGTCTTCTTTGCTGTCTTCACCTGCTATGACGTCACCTTCTCCTGTTTCCTCCACATTCCCACACAGCATCCCCTCCTCTTCTCTTCCTGTGACATCACTTCTCCCCTTGGGCCCGGTGAAGACCACAGAGCTGTTGGACATGAGTTCAGAACCTGAAACCAGTTCACCTCCAAATCTGAGCAGCAGCTTCACTGAAATACTGACCACCTCTGAGGTCACCACAGATACAGAGAAACTGGAGGTGACCAATGTGGGAACTTCAGGATACACACATGAATCTTTCTCCTCTGTCCTAGCTGACTCAGTGAAAACGAGAGCCCCATCTCCAATGGGCATCACCTCCCCTATGGGGGACCGAAGTGTTCTCACATCAAGTCCTGCCTTCTCTGACACTACTAGGATTCAGACAGAGCCAACACTCTCACTGACTCCTGGGTTGAGTGAGAGCACCTCTGAAGGGACTAGCTCAGCCAAGGAAACAAGCACTGTCCATTCTAGCATGCCCGCTGGTGCTACTCCTGAGGTCTCCAGGACTGGAGCCATCTCCTCTAGCAGAACATCCACCAAAGGCCCTGCTGAATCCACAATGTCAGCAGACATCTCCATGGAAACCATCACTAGAATTTCTATACCCCTCACAAGAAAAGAATCAGCAGAAATGACCATCACCCCCAAAACAGGTCCATCTGGGGCATCCTCAGAAGGTACCTTTTCCTTGGGTGCATCAAGCACAGCCTCCTGGCCAGGAACTCACTCAGCTGCAATGCAGAGATCTCCACAATCAGCCGTGACCACTCCTGTGAGCAGAGGTTCTGAGGATCTGTCATGGTCAAGCTCCACATCACTGGACAAAACTAGCCCTCCATCTTCCCTGGTGCCTTCACCTGCAGTAACCTCAACTTCTCCATTTTATTCCACACTATCTGGGAGGAGCCACTCCTCTCCTCTCCTGGCAACTTCTCTTTTCACCTCTGGCACGATGAAGACCACAGACATGTTGGACACAAGCTTGAAACCTGTGACCATGTCACTTCCCAGTATGAATATCACCTCAGATGAGAGTCTGGACACTTCTAAAGCCACCATGGAGATAGGGGCAATTGATGTTTCTGAAAATGCAGCAGTGACCCATGTGGGAACCACCAGAGCTGTACAGAAAGTATATTCTTCTTCCCCCGGCTTCTCAGAGCTACCCAAAGTGACATCTCCAATGATCACCTCTTCTGCCACAAAAGACATTGTTTCTACAACCATATCTGCTTCCTCTGAGACAACAAGAATTGAGATGGATTCAACATCTACACTGATCCCCAGTACCTCCAAGGAGATTCACTCAGCCACGGAGACAAGCACTGTTCCTTACAAAGTGCTTACTGGTGCCATGATTGAGGACTCCAGGAAACAAGTCACGTCCTCTAGCAGAGGACCTAGCCCTGATCAGTCCACAATGTCACCAGACATCTCCACTCAAGGGATCACCAGGCTGTCTACCTCCCCCATCAAGACAGCATCTACAGAAATGACCATTACCACCCAAAAGGGTTCTCCTGGGGCCACATCACAGGGTACCCTCACCTCGGACACCTCAACAACAACCTTTTTGTCAGAGAACCACTCAACTGCATCTCAAGGATTTTCAAACTCAGAGATGACCACTCTTATGAGTGGACCTCCTGGAGATGTGCCATGGACGAGCCAGCCCTCTGTGGAAGAAACCAGCTCTGTGTCTTCTTTGCTGTCTTCACCTGCTATGACGTCACCTTCTTCTGTTTCCTCCACATTCCCAGACAGCATCCCCTCCTCTTCTCTTCCTGTGACATCACTTCTCACATTGGGCCCGGCGAAGACCACAGAGCTGTTGGACACGAGTTCAGAACCTGAAACCAGTTCACCTCCAAATCTGAGCAGCAGCTTGTCTGAAATACTGACCACCTCTGAGGTCACGCCAGATACAGAGATACTGGAGGTGACCAATGTGGGAACTTTAGGTTATACACATGAATCTTCCTCCTCTGTCCTAGCTGACTCAGTGATGACAAAAGTCCCATCTCCAATGGGCATCACCTCCCCTACGGGGGACACAAGTGTTCTCACATCAAGTCCTGCCTTCTCTGACACTACTAGGATTCAGACAGAGCCAACACTCTCACTGACTCCTGGGTTGAGTGAGAGCAGCACCTCTGAAGGGACTAGCTCAGCCACGGAAACAAGCACTGTCCATTCTAGCATGCCCGCTGGTGCTACTCCTGAATTCTCCAGGACAGGAGCCATCTCCTCTAGCAGAACATCCACCCACGGCCCTGCTGAATCCACAATGTCACCAGACATCTCCATGGAAACAATCACTGGAATTTCTATACCCCCCACCAGAAAAGAATCAGCAGAAATGACCATCACCCCCAAAACAGGTCCATCTGGGGCATCCTCAGAAGGTACCTTTTCCTTGGGTGCATCAAGCACAGAGTCCTGGCCAGGAACTCACTCAGCTGCAGCTCAGAGGTATCCACAATCAGCCGTAATAACTCCTGTGAGTGGAACTCCCTCAGCTGCAACTCAGAGATCTCCCCAATTAGATGTGACCACACCTGTGAGCAGAGGTTCTGAGGATCTGTCATGGTCAAGCCCCTCATCAGTGGAAAAAACTAGCCCTCCATCTTCCCTGGTGCCTTCACCTGCAGTAACCTCACCTTCTCCACTTCATTCCACACTATCTGGGAGGAGCCACTCCTCTCCTCTCCTGGCAACTTCTGTTTTCACCTCTGGCACAATGAAGACCACAGACATGTTGGACACAAGCTTGGAACCTGCGACCATGTCACCTCCCAATATGAATATCACCTCAGATGAGAGTTTCGCCACTTCTAAAGCCACCATGGAGATAGGGGCAATTGACGTTTCTGAAAATGCAGCAGTGACCCATGTGGGAACCACCAGAGCTGTACAGGAAGTATATTCCTCTTCCCCAGGCTTCTCAAAGATACCCAAAGTGACATCTCCAATGATCTCCTCTCCTGCCATAAAAGCCATTGTTTCTACAACCATACCTGCTTCCTCTGAGATGACAAGAATTGAGATGGATTCAACATCTACACTGACCCCCACACAAAGGGAGAACAGCACCTCCCAGGAGATTCACTCAGACACGAAGACAAGCACTGTTCCTTACAAAGTGCTTACTGGTGCCATGATTGAGGACTCCAGGACACAAGTCACATCCTCTAGCAGAGGACCTAGCCCTGATCAGTCGACAATGTCACCAGACATCTTCACTGAAGTGATAACCAGGCTGTCTACCTCCCCCATCAAGACAGCATCTACAGAAATGACCATTACCACCCAAAAGGGTTCTCCTGGGGCCACATCACAGGGTACCCTCACCTCGGACACCTCAACAACAACCATTTTGTCAGGGACCCACTCAACTGCATCTCAAGGATTTTCACACTCAGAGATGACCACTCTTATGAGTGGAACTCCTGGAGACGTGCCATGGATGAGCCAGCCCTCTGTGGAAGAAACCAGCTCTGTGCCTTCTTTGCTGTCTTCACCTGCTATGACGTCACCTTCTCCTGTTTCCTCCACATTCCCAGACAGCATCCCCTCCTCTTCTCTTCCTGTGACATCAGTTCTCACCTTGCGCCTGGTGAAGACCACAGAGCTGTTGGACACGAGTTCAGAACCTGAAACCAGTTCACCTCCAAATCTGAGGAGCAGCTTGGCTGAAATACTGACCACCTCTGAGGTCACCCCAGATACAGAGAAACTGGAGATGACCAATGTGGGAACTTCAGGATACACACATGAATCTTCCTCCTCTGTCCTAGCTGACTCAGTGACGACAAAAGCCCCATCTCCAATGGGCATCACCTCCCCTACGGGGGACACAAGTGTTCTCACATCAAGTCCTGCCTTCTCTGACACTAGTAGGATTCAGACAGAGCCAACACTCTCACTGACTCCTGGGTTGAGTGAGAGCAGCATCTCTGAAGGGACTAGCTCAGCCACAGAAACAAGCACTGTCCATTCTAGCATGCCTGCTGGTTCTAATCCTGAGGTCTCCAGGACAGGAGCCATCTCCTCTAGCAGAACATCCACCCAAGGCTCTGCTGAATCCACAATGTCACCAGGGATCTCCATGGAAACCATCACTAGAATTTCTATACCCCCCACCAGAAAAGAATCAGCAGAAATGACCATCACCCCCAAAACAGGTCCATCTGCGGCATCCTCACAAGGTACCTTTACATTGGATGCATCAAGCACAGCCTCCTGGCCAGGAACTCACTCAGCTGCAACTCAGAGATCTCCACAATCAGCCGTGACCACTCCTGTGAGCCGAGGTTCTGAGGGTCTGTCATGGTTAAGTCCCTCATCAGTGGAAAAAAGTAGCCCTCTGTCTTCCCTGGTGCCTTCAACTGCAGTAACCTCACCTTCTCCACTTTATTCCACACTATCTGGGAGGAGCCACTCCTCTCCTCTCCTGGCGACTTCTGTTTTCACCTCTGGCACAATGAAGACCACAGATATGTTGGACACGAGCTTGAAACCTGTGACCATGTCACCTCCCAGTATGAATATCACCTCAGATGAGAGTCTGGCCACTTCTAAAGCCACCATGGTGATAGAGGCAATTGATGTTTCTGAAAATGCAGCAGTGACCCATGTGGGAACCACCAGAGCTGTACAGAAAGTATATTCCTCTTCCCCAGGCTTCTCAGAAATACCCAAAGTGACATCTCCAATGATCACCTCTTCTGCCACAAAAGACATTGTTTCTACAACCATACCTGCTTCCTCTGAGATAACAAGAATTGAGATGGAGTCAACATCTACACTGACCCCCAGCACCTCACAGGAGATTCACTCAGCCGCGGAGACAAGCACTGTTCCTTACAAAGTGCTCACGGGTGCTATGATTGCGGACTCAAAGACTCAAGTCACGTCCTCTAGCAGGGGACTCAGCCCTGATCAGTCCACAGTGTCACCAGACATCTCCACTGAAGTGATCAGCAGGCTGTCTACCTCCCCCGTCAAGACAGCATCTACAGAAATGACCATTACCACCCAAAAGGGTTCTCCTGGGGCCACATCACAGGGTACCCTCACCTCGGACACCTCAACAATAACCTTTTTGTCAGGGACCCACTCAACTGCATCTCAAGGATTTTCACACTCAGAGAAGACCTCTCTTATGAGTGGAACTCCTGGAGACGTGCCATGGACGAGCCAGCCCTCTGTGGAAGAAACCAGCTCTGTGCCTTCTTTGCTGTCTTCACCTGCTATGACGTCACCTTCTCCTGTTTCCTCCACATTCCCAGACAGCATCCCCTCCTCTTCTCTTCCTGTGACATCAGTTCTCACCTTGCGCCTGGTGAAGACCACAGAGCTGTTGGACACGAGTTCAGAACCTGAAACCAGTTCACCTCCAAATCTGAGGAGCAGCTTGGCTGAAATACTGACCACCTCTGAGGTCACCACAGATACAGAGAAACTGGAGGTGACCAATGTGGGAACTTCAGGTTATACACATGAATCTTCCTCCTCTGTTCTAGCTGACTCAGTGACAACAAAAGCCCCATCTCCAATGGGCATCACCTCCCCTACGGGGAACACAAGTGTTCTCACATCAAGTCCTGCCTTCTCTGACACTAGTAGGATTCAGACAGAGCCAACACTCTCACTGACTGCTGGGTTAAGTGAGAGCAGCACCTCCGAAGGGATTAGCTCAGCCACAGAAACAAATATGGTCCATTCTAGCATGCCTGCTGGTGCTACTCCTGAGGTCTCCAGGACAGGAGCCATCTCCTCTAGCAGAACATCCTCCCAAGGCCCTGCTGAATCCACAATGTCACCAGACATCTCCATGGAAACCATCACTAGAATTTCTATACCCCCCACAAGGAAAGAATCAGCAGAAATGACCATCACCCCCAAAACAGGTCCATCTGGGGCATCCTCAGAAGGTACCTTTTCCTTGGGTGCATCAAGCACAGAGTCCTGGCCAGGAACTCACTCAGCTGCAGCTCAGAGGTATCCACAATCAGCCGTAATAACTCCTGTGAGTGGAACTCCCTCAGCTGCAACTCAGAGATCTCCCCAATTAGATGTGACCACACCTGTGAGCAGAGGTTCTGAGGATCTGTCATGGTCAAGCCCCTCATCAGTGGAAAAAACTAGCCCTCCATCTTCCCTGGTGCCTTCACCTGCAGTAACCTCACCTTCTCCACTTCATTCCACACTATCTGGGAAGAGCCACTCCTCCCCTCTCCTGGCAACTTCTGTTTTCACCTCTGGCACAATGAAGACCACAGACATGTTGGACACAAGCTTGGAACCTGCGACCATGTCACCTCCCAATATGAATATCACCTCAGATGAGAGTTTCGCCACTTCTAAAGCCACCATGGAGATAGGGGCAATTGACGTTTCTGAAAATGCAGCAGTGACCCATGTGGGAACCACCAGAGCTGTACAGGAAGTATATTCCTCTTCCCCAGGCTTCTCAGAGCTACCCAAAGTGACATCTCCAATGATCTCCTCTTCTGCCATAAAAGCCATTGTTTCTACAACCATACCTGCTTCCTCTGAGACGACAAGAATTGAGATGGATTCAACATCTACACTGACCCCCACACAAAGGGAGAACAGCACCTCCCAGGAGATTCACTCAGACACGAAGACAAGCACTGTTCCTTACAAAGTGCTTACTGGTGCCATGATTGAGGACTCCACGACACAAGTCACATTCTCTAGCAGAGGACCTAGCCCTGATCAGTCCACAGTGTCACCAGACATCTCCACTCAAGGGATCACCAGGCTGTCTACCTCCCCCATCAAGACAGCATCTACAGAAATGACCATTACCACCCAAAAGGGTCCTCCTGGGGCCACATCACAGGGTACCCTCACCTCAGACACCTCAACAACAACCTTTTTGTCAGGGACCCACTCAACTGCATCTCAAGGATTTTCACACTCAGAGATGACCACTCTTATGAGTGGAACTCCTGGAGACGTGCCATGGACGAGCCAGCCCTCTGCGGAAGAAACCAGCTCTGTGCCTTCTTTGCTGTCTTCACCTGCTATGACGTCACCTTCTCCTGTTTCCTCCACATTCCCAGACAGCATCCCCTCCTCTTCTCTTCCTGTGACATCACTTCTGACCTTGGGCCCGGTGAAGACCACAGAGCTGTTGGACACGAGTTCAGAACCTGAAACCAGTTCACCTCCAAATCTGAGCAGCACCTTGTCTGAAATACTGACCACCTCTGAGGTCACCACAGATACAGAGAAACTGGAGGTGACCAATGTGGGAACTTCAGGTTATACACATGAATCTTCCCCCTCTGTCCTAGCTGACTCAGTGACAACAAAAGTCCCATCTCCAATGGGCATCACCTCCCCTATGGGGGACCCAAGTGTTCTCACATCAAGTCCTGCCTTCTCTGACACTACTAGGATGCAGACAGAGCCAACACTCTCACTGACTCCTGGGTTGAGTGAGAGCAGCACCTCTGAAGGGACTAGCTCAGCCATGGAAACAAGCACTGTCCATTCTAGCATGCCCGCTGGTGCTACTCCTGAGGTCTCCAGGACAGGAGCCATCTCCTCTAGCAGAACATCCACCCACGGCCCTGCTGAATCCACAATGTCACCAGGGATCTCCATGGAAACCATCACTAGAATTTCTATACCCCCCACAAGGAAAGAATCAGCAGAAATGACCATCACCCCCAAAACAGGTCCTACTGGGGCTACCTCACAGGGAATATTTAACTTTGTCACATCAAGCACAGCCTCCTGGCCAGGAACTCACTCAGCTGCAATGCAGAGATCTCCACAATCAGCCGTAACCACTCCTGTGAGCCGAGGTTCTGAGGATCTGTCATGGTCAAGCCCCTCATCAGTGGAAAAAACTAGCCCTCCATCTTCCCTGGTGCCTTCACCTGCAGTAACCTCAACTTCTCCATTTTATTCCACACTATCTGGGAGGAGCCACTCCTCTCCTTTCCTGGCAACTTCTCTTTTCACCTCTGGCACGATGAAGACCACAGACATGTTGGACACAAGCTTGAAACTTGTGACCATGTCACCTCCCAGTATGAATATCACCTCAGATGAGAGTCTGGCCACTTCTAAAGCCACCATGGAGATAGAGGCAATTGATGTTTCTGAAAATGCAGCAGTGACCCATGTGGGAACCACGAGAGCTGTACAGGAAGTATATTCCTCTTCCCCAGGCTTCTCAGAGCTACCCAAAGTGACATCTCCAATGATCACCTCTTCTGCCATAAAAGACATTGTTTCTACAACCATACCTGCTTCCTCTGAGACAAGAATTGAGGTGGAGTCAACATCTCCACCGATCCCCAGCACCTCCCAGGAGATTCACTCAGACATGGAGACAAGCACTGTTTCTTACAAAGTGCTTACTGGTGCCATGATTGAGGACTCCAGGAAACAAGTCATGTCCTCTAGCAGAGGACCTAGCCCTGATCAGTCCACAGTGTCACCAGACATCTCCACTGAAGTGATCACCAGGCTGTCTACCTCCCCCGTCAAGACAGCATCTACAGAAATGACCATTACCACCCAAAAGGGTCCTCCTGGGGCCACATCACAGGGTACCCTCACCTCGGACACCTCAACAACAACCTTTTTGTCAGGGACCCACTCAACTGCATCTCAAGGATTTTCACACTCAGAGATGACCACTCTTATGAGTGGACCTCCTGGAGACGTGCCATGGACGAGCCAGCCCTCTGTGGAAGAAACCAGCTCTGTGCCTTCTTTGCTGTCTTCACCTGGTATGACGTCACCTTCTGTTTCCTCCACATTCCCAGACAGCATCTCCTCTTCTTCTCTTCCTGTGACATCACTTCTGACCTTGGGCCTGGTGAAGAACACAGAGCTGTTAGACACCAGTTCAGAACCCGAAACCAGTTCACCTCCAAATCTGAGCAGCAGCTTGGCTGAAATACTGACCACCTCTGAGGTCACCCCAGATACAGAGAAACTGGAGGTGACCAATGTGGGAACTTTAGGTTATACACATGAATCTTCCTCCTCTGTCCTAGCTGACTCAGTGACAACAAAAGTCCCATCTCCAATGGGCATCACCTCCCCTATGGGGGACACAAGTGTTCTCACATCAAGTCCTGCCTTCTCTGACACTAGTAGGATTCAGACAGAGCCAACACTCTCACTGACTCCTGGGTTGAGTGAGAGCAGCACCTCTGAAGGGACTAGCTCAGCCACAGAAATGAGCACTGTCTATTCTAGCATGCCCGCTGGTGCTACTCTTGAGGTCTCCAGGACAGGAGCCATCTCCTCTAGCAGAACATCCACCCAAGGCCCTGCTGAATCCACAATGTCACCAGACATCTCCATGGAAACCATCACTAGAATATCTATACCCCCCACCAGAAAAGAATCAGCAGAAATGACAATCGCCCCCAAAACAGGTCCATCTGGGGCATCCTCACAAGGCACCTTTATGTTGGGTGCATCAAGCACAGCCTCCTCGCCAGGAACTCACTCAGCTGCAACTCGGAGATCTCCACAATCAGCCGTGACCACTCCTGTGAGCCAAGGTTTTGAGGATCTGTCATGGTCGAGCCCCTCATCAATGGATAAAACTAGCCCTCCATCTTCCCTGGTGCCTTCACCTGCAGTAACCTCACCTTCTCCACTTCATTCCACACTATCTGGGAGGAGCCACTCCTCTCCTCTCCTGGCAACTTCTGTTTACACCTCTGGTACAATGAAGACCACAGACATGTTGGACACAAGCTTGGAGCCTGTGACCATGTCATCTCCCAGTATGAATATCACCTCAGATGAGAGTCTGGCTACTCCCAAAGCCACCATGGAGATAGGGGCAATTGACGTTTCTGAAAACGCAGCAGTGACCCATGTGGGAACCACCAGAGCTGTACAGGAAGTACATTCCTCTTCCCCAGGCTTCTCAGAGATACCCAAAGTGACATCTCCAATGATCATGTCTTCTGCCACAAAATACATTGTTTCTACAACTATACCTCCTTCCTCTGAGATAACAAGAATTGAGATGGAGACAACATCTACACTGACCCCCAAACCAAGGGAGAACAGCACCTTCCAAGAGATTCACTCAGCCATGGAGACAAGCACTGTTCCTTACAAAGTGTTCACTGGTGCCATTATTGAGGACTCCAGGACACAAGTTACATCCTCTAGCAGAGGACCTAGCCCTGATCAGTCCACAGTGTCACCAGACATCTCCACTCAAGGGATCACCAGGCTGTCTACCTCCCCCATCAAGACAGCATCGACAGAAATGACCATTACTACCAAAAAGGGTCCTCCTGGGGCCACATCACAGGGTACCCTCACCTCGGACACCTCAACAACAATCTTTTTGTCAGGGACCCACTCAACTGCATCTCAAGGATTTTCACACTCAGAGATGACCACTCTTATGAGTGGAACTCCTGGAGATGTGCCATGGACGAGCCAGCCCTCTGTGGAAGAAACCAGCTCTGGGCCTTCTTTGCTGTCTTCACCTGCTATGACGTCACCTTCTCCTGTTTCCTCCACATTCCCAGACAGCATCCCCTCCTCTTCTCTTCCTGTGACATCACTTCTGACCTTGGGCCCGGTGAAGACCACAGAGCTGTTGGACACGAGTTCAGAACCTGAAACCAGTTCACCTCCAAATCTGAGCAGCAGCTTGGTTGAAATACTGACCACCTCTGAGGTCACCACAGATACAGAGAAACTGGAGGTGACCAATGTGGGAACTTCAGGTTATACACATGAATCTTCCTCCTCTGTCCTAGCTGACTCAGTGACAACAAAAGTCCCATCTCCAATGGGCATCACCTCCCCTATGGGGGACACAAGTATTCTCACATCAAGTCCTGCCTTCTCTGACACTAGTAGGACTCAGACAGAGCCAACACTCTCACTGACTTCTGGGTTGAGTGAGAGCAGCACCTCTGAAGGGACTAGCTCAGCCATGGAAACAAGCACTGTCCATTCTAGCATGCCCACTGGTGCTACTCCTGAGGTCTCCAGGACCGGAGCCATCTCCTCTAGCAGAACATCCACCCACGACCCTCATGCATCCACAGTGTCACCAGGGATCTCCATGGAAACCACCACTAGAATTTCTATACCCCCCACCAGGAAAGAATCAGCAGAAATGACCATCACCCCCAAAACAGGTCCATCTGGGGCATCCTCACAAGGTACCTTTACCTTGGATGCATCAAGCACAGCCTCCTGGCCAGGAACTCACTCAGCTGCAACTCAGAGATCTCCACAATCAGCCGTAACCACTCCTGTGAGCCGAGGTTCTGAGGGTCTCTCATGGTTAAGTCCCTCATCAGTGGAAAAAAGTAGCCCTCTGTCTTCCCTGGTGCCTTCACCTGCAGTAACCTCACCTTCTCCACTTTATTCCACACTATCTGGGCGGAGCCACTCTTCTCTTCTTTTCACCTCTGGCACGATGAAGACCACAGACATGTTGGACACAAGCTTGCAACCTGTGACTATGTCACCTCCCAGTATGAATATCACCTCAGATGAGAGTCTGGCCACTTCTAAAGCCACCATGGAGATAGAGGCAATTGACATTTCTGAAAACGCAGCAGTGACCCATGTGGGAACCACCAGAGCTGTACAGGAAGTAGATTCCTCTTCCCCAGGCTTCTCAGAGCTACCCAAAGTGACATCTCCAATAATCACCTCTTCTGCCACAAAAGACATTGTTTCTACAATTATATCTGCTTCCTCTGAGATAACAAGAATTGAGATGGAGTCAACATCTACACTGACCCCCAGCACCTCACAGGAGATTCACTCAGCCGCAGAGACAAGCACTGTTCCTTACAAAGTGCTCACTGGTGCCATGATTGAGGACTCAAAGACACAAGTCACGTCCTCTAGCAGGGGACTCAGCCCTGATCAGTCCACAATGTCACCAGACATCTTCACTGAAGTGATCACCAGGCTGTCTACCTCCCCCGTCAAGACAGCATCTACAGAAATGACCATTACCACCCAAAAGGGTTCTCCTGGGGCCACATCACAGGGTACCCTCACCTCGGACACCTCAACAATAACCTTTTTGTCAGAGACCCACTCAACTGCATCTCAAGGATTTTCACACTCAGAGATGACCACTCTTATGAGTGGAACTCCTGGAGACGTGCCATGGACGAGCCAGCCCTCTGTGGAAGAAACAAGCTCTGTGCCTTCTTTGCTGTCTTCACCTGGTATGATCTCACCTTCTCCTGTTTCCTCCACATTCCCAGACAGCATCCCCTCCTCTTCTCTTCCTGTGACATCACTTCTCATCTTGGGCCCGGTGAAGACCACAGAGTTGTTGGACACGAATTCAGAGCCTGAAACCAGTTCACCTCCAAATCTGAGCAGCAGCTTGGCTGAAATACTGACCACCTCTGAGGTCACCCCAGATACAGAGAAACTGGAGGTGACCAGTGTGGGAACTTCAGGTTACACACATGAATCTTCCTCCTCTGTCCTAGCTGACTCAGTGATGACAAAAGTCCCATCTCCAATGGGCATCACCTCCCCTATGGGGGACACAAGTGTTCTCACATCAAGTCCTGCCTTCTCTGACACTAGTAGGATTCAGACAGAGCCAACACTCTCACTGACTCCTGGGTTGAGTGAGAGCAGGACCACAGAAGGGACTAGCTCAGCCACAGAAATGAGCACTGTCTATTCTAGCATGCCCGCTGGTGCTACTCTTGAGGTCTCCAGGACAGGAGCCATCTCCTCTAGCAGAACATCCACCCAAGGCCCTGCTGAATCCACAGTGTCACCAGACATCTCCATGGAAACCACCTCTAGAATTTCTATACCCCCCACCAGGAAAGGATCAGCAGAAATGACCATCACCCCCAAAACAGGTCCTACTGGGGCTACCTCACAGGGAATATTTAACTTTGTCACATCAAGCACAGCCTCCTGGCCAGGAACTCACTCAGCTGCAACTCAGAGGTCTCCACAGTCATCGATGACATCTCCTATGAGCAGAGGTTCTGAGGATCTGTCATGGCCAAGCCCCTCATCTCTGGAAGAAAGCAGCCCTTCATCTACCGTGGTGTCTTTATCTCCAGTAACCTCAGCTTCTCCACTTTATTCCACTTCATCTCCGAGGAGTCACTCCTCTCCTCTCCTGGAGACTTCTCCTATCACCTCTGGCATGGTGAAGACCACAGACATGTTGGACACAAGCTGGAAACCTGTCGCCATGTCACCTTCCAGTATGACTATCACCTCAGATGAGAGTCTGGCCACTTCTAAAGCCACCATGGAGACACAGACAGTTTACATTTCTGAAAACACAGCAATCAGCCATGTGGAGACCATCAGTGCTAGAGAGGAATTCTATTCTTCCTCCCCAGCTTTCTCAGAGCCAACCAAAGTGACATCCCCAATGATTACCTCTTCCTCTATAAGAGACAACATTGTTTCCACAACAATGCCTGGCTCCTCTGGGATTACAAGGATTGAGGTAGAGGCAGTGTCTTCTCTGGCCCCTGGACTGAGGTTGACCAGAACCTCCCAGGATGTCATCTCATCCACAGAGACAAGCACTGTCCTTTACAAGATGCCCTCTGGTACCACTCCTGAAGTTTCCAGGACAGAAGTTATGCCCTCTAGCAGAACATCCACATCCATTCCTGGCCCTGCTCAGCTCACAATGTCACCAGACATCTCTGATGAAGTGGTCACCAGGCTCTCTACCTCCCCCATCACGACAGAACCTGCGGAAATAGCCACCACCCAAACAGGTTCTTCTCTAACTACATCTCAGGTTACTCTTCCCGTGGGCACCTCAGCTACCTTCTTGTTAGGGACCCACCCAACTGTGTCGCAAGAACTTTCACACTCAGAGATGACAAGTCTTATGAACAGGGGCCTTGAAAATCTGTCATGGACGAGCCCTCACTTTGTGGAAACAACTAGATCTTCCTCTTCCCTGACATCATTACCTCTTATGACCTCACTTTCTCCTGTGTCCTCCACATTAGTAGAGAGTAGCCCCTCCTCTCCTCTTCCTGTGACTTCACTTACCCTCCCAGGACTTCTGAAGACTACAGAAGTGTTGGGCACAAGCTCAGAGCCTGAAACCAGTTCATCTCCAAATTTGAGCAGCACCTCAGTTGAAATGCTGGCCACCTCTGAAGTCATCACAGATACAGCGAAAATTCATCCTTCTTCAAACACAGTGGTGACCAAAGTGGGGACCTCCAGTTCTGTTCATGAATCTCATTCTTCTGTCTTAGCTGACTCAGAAACTACAACCACATCATCAATGGGTATCACCTCCCCTATGGAGGATGCCAGTGTTTTCACATCAACTCCTGCCTTCTCTGAGACTAGGATTCCAACAGAGCCAACGTTCTCACTGACTCCTGGATTCAGGGAGACTAGCACCTCTGAAGAGACCAGCTCAATCACAGAAACGAGTGCAGTCCTTTTTGGAGTGCCCACTAGTGCTATTACTGAGGTCTCCATGACAGAAATCATGTCCTCTAACAGAACATACATCCCTGACTCTGATCAGTCCGCAGTGTCTCCAGACATAAGCACTGAAGTGATCACCAGGCTCCCTTCCTCCTCCATGATGTCAGAATCAACAGAAATGACCATCACCCCCCAAACAAGTCCTCCTGGGGCTACAAGACAGAGTACGCTTCCCCTGGCTGCAAGCACAACAGCACCCTTGGCAGGGACCCACTCAACTGTTCCTCAAAGATTTTTACACTCAGAGATGACAACTCTTACGAGTAGGAGTCCTAAAAGTCCATCATGGAAGAGCTCTCCCTTTGTGGAAGAAAGTAGCTCTTCCTCGTCTGTGTTGTCCTTACCTGCCATGACCTCACCTTCTGTTTCTTCCACATTCCCACAGAGTTTCCCTTCCTCCTCTTTTCCTGTGACTTCACTCCTCACCCCAGGCATGGTGAAGACTACAGCCACCAGCACAGAACCTGGAACCAGTTTATCTCCAAATCTGAGCAGCACCTCAGTTGACATACTGGCTGCCTCTGAAGTCACCACAGATGCAGAGAAAATTCATCCTTCTTCAAGCACAGCAGTGACCAGTGTGGGAACCACCAGTTCTGGACATGAACTGCATTCCTCCGTTCCAATCCACTCTGAGCCATCCGAGGCTGCATATCCAATGGGCACGTCCTCTTCCATGGCAGAACCCCCTATTTTCACCTCAATGCCTGCCAATTTGGAGACCACAAGGTTTGAGGCAGAGCCATTTTCTCATTTGACTTCTGGATTTAGGGATACTAGCATGTCCCTGGACAAGAGCTCAGTCACGCCAACAAATACACCTTCATTTCCTGTGTCTACACACCTTTTACAGAGTTCCAAGACTGATGTCACCTCTTCTGTGAAAACACCATTCCCAGACCGACCTCCAGCCTCAGAGTATACTGAAATTCCAGAGGAAATAATCACCCCCTTTAATGCTTCTCTCTCTGTTATGGAGTCCGCTGGGATAACCTCCTTGCCAGAATCCAAGTTTACTATGCCTGTATCAGAAAGTACTCATGATCTGAGGACAGATTTGCTGCATTCGGCTGAGACGATTTCCACTGGGACAGCGATGCCTTCTCTATCAGAGACCATGGCTTCATTGGCCACCACTGGAGCTCCACGAGCCATCTCAGGCTCAAGTAGTCCACTCTCTAGGACAGAGTCAAGCCCTGGAGATGCTAATCTGTCCACCATTGCAGAGAGCCTGCCTTCATCCACTCCAGTGCCATCCTCCTCTTCAACCTTCACTGTCACTGATTCTTCAACCATCCCAGCCCTCCATGGGATAACTTCCTCTCCAGCTACCCCACACAGAATGGACACCAGTTCTGGGACAGAGGGCAGCACTATTGAAGGACACTTGGTTACAGTCAGTACTTTGGACACTTGGAGCCAACCAGCTAGGACATCTTCATCACCCATTTTGGATACCAGAATGACAGAGAGTCTTGAGCTGGGAACAGTGACCAGTGCTTATCAAGTTCCTTCACTCTCAACACGGTTGACAAGTAAGGACCCATAGCCCCTACAATCCCATTACTGGGGACTCATGGGAAATGACCCCTTCCTAAGAAGTAAAAAGAGTTAACTAGTTAGTTCCTGTACCGAAATTCTTTTAGCAAACATGTGTTTATCTAATTTTATTTCTAGGCACTGGGTTAGGAATTGAAGAAACAGAAACAAAGAATTGAATCATTGCAGTATCATCATAGGTGTTCTGCTGTTATTAGTGATGATGACAGTAAGGATAATGACAACAGATTTATGCAGCACTTATTCTGTTTCAAGTGCAGTTTTATTAAGTTATTTGATCCTCAATTATAACAGTATTTGAAGTAGAAACTATATTTTTTCTTTTCTTTTTTTTTTTTTGAGATGGAGTCTCACTCTGTCACCCAGGCTGGAGTGCTGTGGTGTGATCTCAGCTCACTGCAACCTCCGCTTCCTGGGTTCAAGTGATTCTCCTGCCTCAACCTCCTGAGTAGCTGGAACTAGAGTCGTGCACCACTGTGCCCAGCCATGCCCAGCTAATTTTTTGTATTTTTAGTAGAGACGGGGTTTCACCATGTTGACCAGGATGGTCTCGTTCTCTTGACCTTGTGATCCACCGGCCTCGGCCTCCCAAAGTGCTGGGATTACAGGCTTGAGCCACCGCGGCTGGCCTTAATTTTTATATATTTTTTAGAGATGGGGTTTCACCACATTGGTCAGGCTGGTCTTGAACTCCTGATGTTATGATTTGCTCACCTTGGCCTTTCAAAGTGCTGGGATTACAGGTGTGAGCCACCATGCCTGGCCCCAAGTAGAGACTATTATAAGCCTATTTTGGAGATGAAGACATTGAGGCACAGGGAGGCAAAGTAATTTTCTTAAGGTCATAAAGCTAGAAAGTGACAGAACTAGGATAAGAACTCAGATTTGTGTTACTAGCAATTCATGCTCCTTACCGTTGGTCTACACAGGAGTGGTCAGAGAGGTAAGCAGAAAAACCAGTAAGTTCTAGCATCACAGAAGCCATAAGAGGGGAGACTTTTAGGAATGAGAAAGGGTAAGTTCTGTTAAATACTGCAGACTCACCATGTTGAAATGAGGTGAGAAGTGCTTTGGCAACATGGGGTTCTCAGGGATTCGAATGAAGGGAGCATCAGTGAGGTAGACGGTACTAGAAGAACAGCTAAAATACTGCAGAGATATGAGGGAGTGTTTCTCCCTTTGAGTTGAGCAAGAAACAAAAGGGATAAGTGAAATGAAAAGGTGAGTTAATGAAAACTGAGGGAACAAAGTACCTAAGAAAGTAGGAGGGACCCAGAGCCTAGAAGGAGGAAACTACTTCCAAGAGGTCAGTGATACAGGAAGAAAACTCCTGGGGATTCCATTTCTCTGGAAGGGTTGAACTTGGCACCAATTTTTGTTCAAATCCAAGGAGGCCCTCCAACGACTCTAGTGTCTGCCTCACTAGACAGTGTCTCCAGGAGGATGATTTGCTCCCTTTCCTCCTTCACATTAGTTTTATGATTCACAGTAAATTTAGACACATCAGTAGCTATTGACCCAGATGTTACCATGTGACTCAGTAGTTGAGCCAGGATGTTCAGAAAGCAAGCGATGAATCGCGTGGTAAGAGGGTAGAAGTGGATGAAAGGAAGGAAGGAAAGATAAAGAGGAGGAAGGATAGATGTACGGAAGGAAGGATGAAAAGAAAAATGATGGAAGAGAGGATTGAAGGAAAGAAGGGTGGAAGGATGAAATGAAGTAAAGATTGAAGAAAAGATGGATGGAAAGAAGAAAGGAGGGTGTGCTAAAATCTCACACTTCACGACTATATGATTCATCCATGTGAGCAAAAACCACTTGTACACTCAAAGCTATTGAAATACAAACTTTTTAATCAAAATTTTAAAAAGCAAGAGAAAGGAAAGAAGGGAGGAAAGACAAAAGGAAGAATGGGTGGTAGGAAGAAAGAATAAAGGAAGAAAAATGGAAGAATGGATAATAAGATCTAGGGATAACTGAAAGGAAGGATGGACAAATTTATGGGTAGATGGATCTATAGATGGGCGTGGCCAGTTACAGCATTTAGTCCTGGCTCCAGTCCATACTGAGGGACTTGAGGAGTGTTTGTGGCCAATGAAGAGAATCAGTTTAGACAGTGCTCTTCTGAATGAGATGAGTGACCCCAGTTTTCCTCCCCACCTTCACCTGCAGGAACCGATGGCATCGCGGAGCGCATCACAAAAATACCCAATGAAGCAGCTCACAGAGGTACCGTAAGACCAGTCAAAAGCCCTCAGACATCTACATCACCTGCCAGTCCTAAAAGTAGGTTTAGCTTTGCTTACCTCCCAGTAATGCCACTTGTGACCATGTTTCCTACTCTAGAGAGACAAAATGCTTGTGTTCTTTAGAGAGAGAATCGTGTGTGGCTCTCATAGTTTTCCCTGTCTGAACTGGGTCTTTGTCTAATGGTTACCAGGTGGATGTTACCACTTCTCTTTCTCCTCATACCATGCTGAGTGAGGGACTTTGTCCAACTTCAGATATTCACAAATTTGTCCACATTAGCTAAACTTTTTAAATGCTCATTAAAAACGTACTATGAGCTTGGCTCAGCGGCTCACACCTGTAATCCCAGCACTTTGGGAGGCCAAGGTGGGTGGATCACCTGAGGTCAAAAGTTTGAGGCCTGTCTGACCAACATGGTGAAAACCCATCTCTACTGAAAATATAAAAATTAGCCAGGCATGGTGGCATGCACCTGTAATCCCAACTACTCTGGAGGCTGAAGCAAGAGAATCGCTTGAACCCAGGAGGCAGAGGTTGCAGTGAGCTGAGATCATGCCACTGCACTCCAGCCTGGGTGCCAGAGCAAGACTGCATCTCAATATATATATATACACATATGTGTATGTGTGTGTGTGTGTGTGTGTGTATACACACACACACACACACACACATATTTGGATTTCAAGAATGGCAGAACTTAAGGAATCTCATAAGAAGTGGGTACTTCAGGCAGAGAAAAGAGCTTGAGCAAGGCTTAGAGGCTGACAGTGCAGAAAACACCTGGGAAGAGGGAATAGATTACTGTAGTCAAGAATTCAGGCCGGGCGTGGTGGCCCAAGCCTGTAATCCCAGCACTTTGGGAGGCCGAGGCGGGTGGATCACGAGGTCAAGAGATCGAGACCATCCTGGTCAACATGGTGAAACCCTGTCTCTACTAAAAATGCAAAAAATTAGGTGGGCATGGTGGCACGTGCCTGTAATCCCAGCTACTCAGGAGGCTGAGGCAGGAGAATTGCCTGAACCCAGGAGGCGGAGGTTGCGGTGAGCCAAGATCACGCCATTGCACTCCAGCCTGGGTAACAAGAGTGAAACTCCATCTAAAAAAAAAAAGAAAAAAAAAAAAGAATTCATGGAGGAGTTATAGATAAAGATGCAACCAAGTTACAGACCAAGGTAAGATAGGGGAATACCAACCACAATCTCTTTTTCCCATTCCAGAAGCATCCCAGGCACATCCTGGTAACTCCTCTCCCTTTCCTTACATGGAGACTAAATAAGCTATTGCTAGTCCAGTAAGTGTAATCGTTTTGTCCAAATTGTGTGCTCATTCCCTGATTCACAGGACTACACACAGGAGGGACAAAAAGAATGGAGACCACCACCACATCTCTGAAGACCTCTTCCAGAGCCACCTTGACCACCAGAGTCTATACCCCCACTTTGGGAACACTGACTCCTCTCAATACATCGATGCAAATGGCCACCACAAGCACTACAGACAAGATTATCACAACCCCACATGTTTCCCCAGATGTTCCAGAAATGACGTCCTCATTGGCTACCAGCCAGGGAGCAGAGACCAGCACAGCTGTTCCCAGGACAACCCCATCTGCTTTCAATAGAGAATCAGAGACCACAGCCTCACTGCTCCCTGATTCTGGGGCAGAGACAAGTCCAGCTATTCAGACTCTAGATGTTTCTTCTCGTGAGCCAGATACAACAACCTCATGGGCTATCCATCCTGCAGAGACCATACCAACTATTTCCAAGACAACTCCTGATTTTTTCCACAGTGAATCAGTCACTGTATCTTCCATAGCCACCAGCCATGGGGCAGAAGTCACTTCAGCCATTCCAACAAATATCTCACCTAGTGAACCAGGTGCACTGACACCTCTGGTCACCATTTTTGGGATAGATACTAGTACAACTTTCCCAACCCTAACTAAGTCCCCACATGAAACAGAGACAAGAACCACATGGCTCACTCATCGTGCAGAGACCAGCTCAGCAGTTCCCAGAACAGTCCCCAGTTTTTCCCATCGTCAATCAGATGCCACACCTTCAGTGGCCACCAGTCCTGGGGCAGAAACCAGTTCAGCCATTCCAACTATGACTATCTCACCTGGTGCAGCAGATCTGGTGACCTCACAGGTCACTAGTTCTGGGACAGACAGAAATTTGGCTATTCCAACTTTGACTCTTTCTCCTGGTGAGCCAAAGACCACAGCCTCATTAGTCACCCATCCTGAAGGACAGACAAGTTTGGGCATTCCGACTTTAACTATCTCGCCTGGAGTATCAGGGATGGTGACCTCATTGGTCACCAGGTTGGGGACAGAGACAAGTACAACTAATCCAGCTCTGACAATCTCCCCTGGTGAACCAGCTACAACAGTTTCATTGGTCACTCATTCTGCACAGACCAGCCCAACAGTTCCCTGGACAGCTTCCAGTTTTTTCCAGAGTAAATTAGACACCATACCTTCAGTGGCCACCAGTCACGGGGCAGAAGCCAGTTCAGCTGTTCCAACTCCAGCTGTTTCACCTGGGGTACCAGGAGTGGTGACCTCTCTGGTCACTAGTTCCACAGCAGTGAGCGGTACAACTATTCCAATTCTGACTCTTTCTCCTGGTGAACCAGAGACTACACCTTCAATGGCCACCAGTCATGGGGCAGAAGCCAGCTCAGCTGTTCCAAATCCAACTGTTTCACCTGAGGTACCAGGAATGGTGACCCCTCTGGTCACTAGTTCTATGGCAGTGACCCGTACAACTATTCCAATTCTAACTCTTTCTCCTGGTGAAGGAGAGACCACATCTTCAATGGCCACCAGTCATGGGGCAGAAGCCAGCTCAGCTGTTCCAACTTCAACTGTTTTACCTGGGGTGCCAGGAGTGGTGACCTCTATGTTCACTAGTTCTAGGGCAATGACCAGCACAACTATTCCAATTCTGACTCCTTCTCCTGGCAAACCAGAGACTACACCTTCAGTGGCCACCAGTCATGGGGCAGAAGCCAGATCAGCCGTTCCAACTGTTTCACCTGAGCTACCAGGAGTGGTGACCCCTCTGGTCACTAGTTCTATGGCAGTGACCAGTAAAACTATTCCAATTCTAACTCTTTCTCCTGGTGAGCGAGAGACCATACCTTTAATGGCCACCAGTCATGGGGCAGAAGCCAGCTCAGCTGTTCCAGCTGTTTCATCTGAGGTACCAGGAGTGGTGACCTCTCCGGTCACTACTTCTAGTGCAGTAACCAGTACAATTATTCCAACTCTGACTATTTCTTCTGGCGAACCAGAGACCACACCTTCATTGGTCACCCATTCTGAAGCAAAGACAATTTCAGCCATTCCAGCTTTAGCTGTCTCCCCTACTGTACAAGGGCTGGTGACTTCAGTGGTCACTAGTTCTGGGCCAGAGACCAGTATGTTTCCAAATCTAACTGTTGCCTCAGGTCCACCAGAGACCACAGCCTCTGAGCCCAGGGTCACTCATCCTGGGACAGAAGCAAGCTCTGTTCTTCCGAGTTTGACTGTCTCCACTGGAGAGCCATTTACAACGATCTCATTGGTCACCTATCCTGCAGAGAATAGCTCAACTGTTCCCAGGACAACCCCAAGCTTTTTCCAGAATGAATCAGACACTATCCCTTCAACAGTCACCAGTCCTGAGGAAGAATCCAGCTCAGCCATTTCAACAACTGTCTCACCTGGTATACCAGGTATACTGACTTCACTAGTCACTAGCTCTGGGACAGACACCAGTGCAACTTTTCCAACAGTGTCCGAGTTCCCACATGAATCAGAGGCAACAGCCTCATGGGTTACTCACCCTGTAGTCACCAGCACAACAGCTCCCAGGACAACCTCTAATTTTTCTCACAGTGAACCAGACACCACACCCTCAATAGCCACCAGTCCTGGGCCAGAAGCCAGTTCAGCTTTTCCAACAATAACTGTCTCACCTAATGTCCCAGAGATGGTGACCTCACAGGTCACTAGTTCTGGGACAGACACCAGTATAACTATTCCAACTGTGACACTTTCTCCTGGTGAACCAGAGACCACAACCTTGTTTATCCCCTATTCTGAGACACACACAAGTTCGGCCATCCCACCTCTGACTGTCTCCCCTAGTGCATCAAAGATGCTGACCTCACTGATCACTAGTTCTGACACAGAGGCCAGTACAATTTTTCCAGCTCTAACTGATTACCCACATGAATCAGAGACAACAGCCTCATGGCTCATCCATTCTTGGACAGAAGCCAGTTCAGCTTCCCCAACTATGACTGTTTCTTCCGGTAAGCCAGATACAGCAGCCTGGCGGGTCACTCATTCTGCAGAGACCAGCACACCTGTTTCCAGAATAACCCCCAATTTCCCCCCCAGTGAATCAGACATGACACCTTTCATGGTCACCAGGTCTGGTGCAGAAGTCAGTTCAGCCATTCCAACAACAACTCTCTCACCTGGTGTATCAGAAACGCTGACCTCACTGGTCACTGGTTCTGGGACAGACAGCACTACAATGTTCCCAGTGCTGACTGAGACCCCATATGAACCAGAGACAACAGCCACGCAGCTCATTCCTCCTGCAGAGACCAACACAATGGTTCCCAGGACAACTCCCAAGTTTTCCCATAGGGAGTCACACACCACACTCCCAGTTGCCACCACCAGTCCTGGGCCAGAAGCCAGTTCAGCTGTTTCAACCACAACTACCTCACCTGGTATGTCAGATCTGGTGACCTCACTGGTCCCTGGTTCTGGGACAGACACCAGTACAATTTTCCCAACATTGACTGAGACCCCGTATGCACCAGAGGCTACAGCCACATGGTTCACTCATCCTGCAGAGACCAGCACACCTATTTCCAGAACAACCCCTAGTTTTTCCCACAGCAGACCAGATGCCACACTTTTAATGGCCACCAGTCCCGGGACAGAAGCCAGTTCAGCTGTGCTGACAACAATGGTCTCACCTGGTGTACCAGAAATGGTGACTTCACCGATCGCTAGTTCTGGGGCTGCAACCAGTACAACTATTCCAACTTTGACTCATTCTCCTGGTATGCCAGAGACCACCGCCTTATTGATAACCCATCCCGACACAGAGACAAACACATTTCCTGCTTCAACTGTGTTTCCTCAAGTATCAGAGTCCACGGCCTCACTATCCATTAGACCTCACACAGAGCCTAGTACAGCTCTTCCAACTCAGACAGCATCCTCTCTCTTCACACTACTTGCAACTGGAACCAGCAGAGTTGATCTGAATCCATCTGCTTCACCTGGTGTTTCTGCAAAAACAGCCTCACTTTCCACCCATCCTGGGACAGAAACCAGCAGCACAATTCTGACTTCGACTCTTTCCCTTGGTTTATTAGAGACTGCAGGCTTGTTGAGCACCAGCTCTTCAGCAGAGACCAGCACAGGTACTCTCACTCTGAGCATTTCCCCTGCTGTCTCTGGGCTTCCCAGTGCTTCTATAACAACTGGTAAGCCCCAAACTGTGACCTCCTGGCACACAGGAACCTCACCATCTGTAACTTCACTCGGACCCCCAGAATTTTCCAGGACTGTCATAGGCACCACTATGACCTTGATACCATCAGAGACACCAATACCACCTAAAACCAGTCATGGAGAAGGAGTGAGTCCAACCACGATCTTGAGGACTGTAACAGTTGAGACCACTAATTTAGCTGCCACGGGTTCCAGTTCCACTGTGGCCAAGACCACGACCACCTTCAATACGCTGACTAGAAGCTCCTTTGCCCCTCTGACCACACCTGGGATGTCCACGTTGGCCTCTGAGAGTGTGACCTCAAGAACAGGTAAAAATAACTTTTTTGTTGTGGTAAAATATAAATAATATAAAATCTGCCATTTAAACCATTTGAGGTGTATGATTCAGGAGCATTAATACTTTCACATTGCTGTGCAATCCTTACCCCTGTCGGTTTTCAAAACTTTATCACCCCAAACAGGAACTCTGTACCCATAAAGCAATAATTTCCCATTCTTCCTAGTCCCTGGTAACTTTCTGTTTTTTTTGTTTTTTGTTTTTTTTTTTTTCAGAGAGTCTCGCCCTCTTGCCTAGGCTGGAGTGCAGTGGTAGAATCTCAGCTCACTGCGACCTCTGGACCTCTGCCTCCAGGGTTCCAACAATTCTTCTGCCTCCGCCTCCTAGGTAGCTGAGACTACAGGTGCATGCCATCATGTGCCTGGCTAATTTTTTGTGTTTTCAGTAGAGACAAGGTTTCATTATGTTGGGCAGGCTGCTCTCAAACTCCTGACCTCAGGTGATCTACCCACCTCAGCCAGCCAAAGTGCTGGGATTACAGGCATGAGTCACTGCATCTGGCCCTGTCTCACTTTCCTTTTTCGAGATGGAGTCTCACTCTGTTGTCAGGTTTGAGTGCAGTGGTGTGATCTCTGCTCACTGCAACCTCCACCTCCCAGGTTCAGGCGATTCTCATGACTCAGCCTTCTGAGCAGCTGGGACTACAGGTGCATGCCACCACACCCAGCTAATCTTTGTATTTTTAGAAGAGACAGGGTTTCACCATGTTGGCCAGGATGGTCTGCATCTCTTGACCTCATGATCTGCCCACCTCGGCCTCCCAAAGTGCTGGGATTATAGATGTAAACCACTGCACCTGGCTGTCTCAGCCCATACAGCCCTGAACAAACTGGAATCGTTGGTCACCCCATATAGGAAGGTCTCAGAAAGTGACTGCTACATAAGGAATTTCAAGTAGGATGGCTCAGGCTGGACCCCAACTGAACACTGGAGTTAAAATGTGTCCTCAGAGCCTTTCCTCCCGTGCCTCACTGCCCAGGGCCTGACTTAAGACTGGTCTCTTCTTGCCCTCCCTTTCTGCAGCTGACATGCCCTTGTTGATGCCTTTGACCATCAACTTCACCATTACCAACCTGCAGTACATGAAGGACATGGTGTGCCCGGGCTCTGAAATATTCAATGCCACTGAGAAGATCCTGCAGCAGCTGGTGAGAGCCCCCCCAACCAATCCCCTCTCCTCCAAAGCCTTGGCCCCTCCTCCTCATCATCATCTCTCTCATTCCTTCCCAGCTCAAGCCCTTGTTCCAGAACAGCAGTATTGGTTCCCTCTATGCTGGCTGCAGGCTGACCTCACTCAGGTAAGACCCAATCCCCTCCACAGCACCTACAGCAACCCCAATTCAGTCCTTTCTTAGCTGTGAGGCAGTGTAGTATAGTAGACTCAAAGTGCCTCAGTTTCAATCCCAGCTCCACAATTTGCTAGCTGTGTGACCCTGGGCAGGACACACAACCTCCCTGTTCCTCAATCACATTATCTATAAAATGGTGATAATAACAGTCTCTTACTCTTGGTGATAATAACAGTATTTTATTCTGGACCAGTGTGAATGTTCAGTTAATTAGGACTCATAGCAGCAACTGATATAGCGTCTTTGCTACCAGTATCCCCAGAATCCGACAGCTTCCTTGCCCCAGCCCATCTCTACCATATTAGTCGAACTCTGGACACCACAGCTCTGCAGTTTGTTTACTGAAAAGAGATGAGGACTTTCCCAAAGCGAGTCTTACTGAATCAAAGGGAAAATCCATTAACTTTTTTTTAAAAAATTTACTTTAAGTTCTGAGATACATGTGCAGAACGTGCAGGTTTGTTACATAGGTATAAATGTGCCATGGTGGTTTGCTACACCTGTCAACCCATCTTCTAGGTTTTAAGCCCTGCCTGCGCTGGCTATTTGTCCTAATGCTCTCCCCCTCCCTGCTCTCCACCTCCTGACAGGCTCTGGTGTGCGATGTTCTCCTCCCTGTGTCCATATGTTCTCATTGTTCAACTCCCATTTATGAGTGAGAACATGCAGTGTTTGGTTGTCTGTTCCTGTGTTAGTTTGCTGCAGATGATGATTTCCAGCTTCATCCATGTCCCTGCAAAGGACATGAACTCATTCTTTTTTATGGCTGCATAGTATTCCATGGTGTATATGTGCCAGTTAGAATGGTGATTATTAAAAAATCAGGAAACAACAGATGCTGGCAAGGCTGTGGAGAAATAGGAACACTTTCACACTGTTGGTGGGAGTGTTAATTAGTTCAACCATTGTGGAAGACAGTGTGGTGATTCCTCAAAGATCTAGAACCAGAAATACCATTTGATTCAGCAAATTCCATTACTGGATATATAGCCAAAGTATGATAAATCATTCTGCTATAAAGACACATTATGATATTTCAATGTGGGCTTTGAAAATATTCCACTGGATACTCCAGAGAGAATGGAAGTCAAAATAACATCTTAGTATTATGATAAAAATATTTTTTACTTGGTGGATTCCCTGTAAGAGTTTCGGGGACATCAGGAGTCCCTGGACCATGCATTGAGAAGCACTATGTTATATTATATGGGCATGAAATGGGAACACTTCGAATCATATGAATAGTAGCCAGCAAAATTCTCAGGCAAGGGAGGAAGGAGTTCTCTGTTCTTCAGGGGAAATCGCTGTAGGCTAGGGTTAGGGTTAGCTTAAGCTGATGACAAAGGTAATTTGGAAACACATTGCCCCTGTTTTTTTAACTCATTTTCTCTGTTTTTCTTAAACTTGGTTGCCTACGTAAAATGTGTTCCCAGTAGGTTGGACCTTGGGATTCACTAACTTTCAATAAAACCCCCCTCTTAGGTTACATGATGGTTGTTGCAGAATGTCAAGGGCAGCCAAGGAGGCGATTCACTCACCTCCCCGAAGGTCCCCAGCCCTCTGGCTTTTCCCTCGCACGTGCTGCCTGGCCCTAGGAGGCTCAGTTTTCTCCCTGGGAGCTCCACATTCCCAATCCCATGGCCCAAGCAGGACTTGGCTATTCCTGCAGTGGACACCATCTATCCTTACCTTTGTTGGAAATAGATGCTCGGTGCTGCAAAGAAAAATTAGCACTGAGACAAAGGATTTTTCAGCAAAGCAGTTGTTACTTCCTGGACTGCAGGAAGGTACCTTGCTAGCCGTCTTGCCACAAGAGTACAATGAACAAAGGAAAGCAGACATATTTATTCCTTATGCATTTGGGGTCGTCCTTACTGCTGTGTTTGATCTCCATTGGCTGGTGCCAGACCTCACAATCTAAACTAAAACCCGATTGGCTAATAACTTAAAACTTTTCTAAAGAGATAAAAGCAGTGGAGATCTGGGACATGCCTGTGAGCACGTCCAGCACAGATATCTTGGTTAAAGTACAAGGACATAAAATATACTATGTGCCTGTAAGCATGGCATGTCTAACAGCTACATGGGATAGAGCTTCATAAAGATTTATTAACACACTTATGATTTATTCTTTAACAAGAAAGGAAACTTTAAAGAGAAACTTTTCCATTTCCCACACATTCCTGGGTGGACAGGGAGTGCTATAAGAGCAGGTGGTTGGAACAAAGACTTGAAACCAACAAATGAAAAATGAATGGAAACCAAAAGAAGATTGGCTAAGGAACAGCCGTGGAGAATGGTAGATTTAATGAGGTGGGCGGCAGGGAGGGTGGTCCTGGATGCCCACATGAGACAGAAAAAGCAGATGAAACCCAGGAAGAAGAGCTCACATACTTAGGGGCAGTTGCCACCAGTGCCATCGTGGTCTGTGAAGCCACTACCCTGACATAAAGCCTGGAATAGTTCTGTGAAAGCAGGAACCCTTATAACTAAATTCCTTCTCTCCATTGTTCAAAGCACAAACATTTTTCTTTTTTTTTTTTTTTAAATTTTTTATTGGATTTTAGGTTTTGGGGTATATGAGCAGAGCATGCAAGACAGTTGCGTAGGAACACACATGGCAGTGTGCTTTTCTTTCCTTCTCCCCTTCACCCACATTTGGCATTTCTCCCCAGGATATCCCTTCCCAACTCCCCCTCCCACTGGCCCTTCCCTTTTCCCCCCAATAGACCCCAGTGTTTAGTACTCCCCTTTCTGTGTCCATGTGTTCTCATTTTTCATCACCCGCCTATGAGAGAGAATATGCGGTGTTTCATTTTCTGTTCTTGTGTCAGTTTGCTGAGGATGACGTTCTCCAGATTCATCCATGTCCCTACAAACGACACAAACTCATCATTTCTGATTGCTGCATAATATTCCATGGTGTATATGTGCCACATTTTTCCAATCCAGTCTATTATCAATGGGCATTTTAGTTGATTCCAGGTCTTTGCTATTGTAAACAGTGCTGCAATGAACATTCGTGTACATGTGTCCTTATAGTAGAACGATTTATAGTCTTTTGGATATATACCCAGTAATGGGATTGCTGGGTTAAATGGAATTTCTATTTCTAAGGCCTTGAGGAATCGCCACACTGTCTTCCACAATGGTTGAACTAATTTACACTCCCACCAACAGTGTAAAAGTGTTCCTTTTTCTCCACATCCTCTCCAGCATCTGTTGTCTCCAGATTTTTTAATGATCGCCATTCTAACTGGCGTGAGATGGTATCTCAATGTGGTTTTGATTTGCATCTCTCTGATGACCAGTGACATATGAGGCCAACAATCATATGAAAAAATGCTCATCGGCACAAACATTTTTATGCTGTCTTTTGAATTTTGTCTGCAAAGATCTAGAGGATGTGGTCCAAGGGCTCTTGTCTATGGCAAATGCTTGTCTCTGGCTACACCAGCAGTTCCATGTTTTTGTCTGTTTGTTTTTGAGATGGTGTCTTGTTCTGTCTCCCAGGCTGGGGCACAGTGGCACAATCTCAGCTCACTGCAACCTCCGCCTCCTGGGCTGAAGCAATTCTCCTGCCTCAGCCTCTCCAGTAGCTGGGATTACACCATGCCCAGCTAATTTCTGTTTTTTGTTTTTGTTTTTGTTTTTTTGAGACAGAGGCTCACTCTGTCACCAGGCTGGAGTGCAGTGGCGTGATCTCGGCTCACTGCAACCACCGCCTCCTGGGTTCAAGAGATTCTCCTGCCTCAGCCTCTTGAGTAGCCAGGGCTACAGGTAGGCGCCACCACACCCAGCTAATTTTTTTGTATTTTTAGTAGAGACGGGGTTTCACATGTTGGCCAGGATGGTCTCAATCTCTTGACTTCATGATCCACCCGCCTTGTCCTCCCAAAGTGCTAGGATTACAGGTGTAAGCCACTACACCTGGCTAATTTCTGTATTTTTAGTAGAGACGGGGTTTCACCATGTTGGCCAGGCTAGTCTTGAACTCCTGATCTCAAGTGATCCACCCACCTCAGCCTCCCAAAGTGCTGGGATTACAGGCATGACCTACTGTGCCTGGCCACACAAGCAGTTACGTTTTTTTACCTGCACTGCCAAGAATGAGTGGCTGGATGGCGGGCATGTGGTCTTTGGTAAGGCAGCATGAATATTATGGAAACCATTGAGTACTTTGGGTCATGAAAACTCAAGACCAGCAAGAAGATCACCATTTCAGACTGTGACTAATCAATTTGACTTGTGTATTATCTTCACCACCAGACGATTCCTTCTGTAGCTTAGGAGAACCCTCCACCCCATTGGCTCACTATTCTATCATTTTTGTGCTCTCACTACATTTCTTTGGGTTTCATGTTTTTCTTATTTTCTTCCACATCTAGCTGGATTGCAGAGTTAAGTTTATGAAAGAAAAACTAAATAACAACAACAGAACACTAAGGGGCACCATTGGAGAAAGGAGTTGTTCAGAGTTTCAGCTGTCAAGTATCTCTGCATGTCTGCATTCCCATGTTCCTCCCTCCCTAGGGCTGAAAAGAATGGGGCAAGCACCAGAGTGGATGCCATCTGCACCCACCGCTCAGACCCCACCAGCCCTGAGCTGGACAGAGAGCAGCTATACTGGGAGCTGAGCCAGTTGACGCACGGCATCACCAGGCTGGACCCCTACACCCTGGACAGGAACAGCCTCTATGTCAATGGTGAGTAGCTATTGACAATGGTGAGTAGTGTGGGCTACAGCTGGGGTTGGGGAGGCTCCTCTTGCTCCCCAAGTGTGTCTCTCTGTGGTACAACTCCTCTACCTATGTTCATAGTTCTGGGCCAACCTAGAATTTCCAGAGGGATTCTGTTTGCTCTCCACTCAACACACTTAAAAAGAAGCTTGCAACTGGAAATAAAGATTCCCTCCACAGCCTTCTCACTCCCATGACCATTCAGAGGCCCACTGGGAGTATGCAGAATCAGGGCAGGAAGGGGTAAGGCAGGCTCATGACGGCGTTTGGAGATCATTCTTCCCAACAGGCAATGGGTTCCCAATGCAGTCACTCATCTTCGTCTTTCTCTTCCTTATAGCAGCTGGTGGCCCTTTCCTGCAGTGCAGGGGCACGATCTTGGCTCACTGCAAACTCTATCTCCCAGGTTGGAGTGATTCTCCTGTCTCAGCCTCCTGAGTTGCTGGGATTACAGGCATCCACCATCACCATGCCCAGCTAATTTTTGTATTTTTGGTAGAGATGGGGTTTCACCATGTTGGCCAGACTGGTCTCAAACTCCTGACCTCAAGTTATCCACCCATCTTGGCCTCACAGAGTGCTGGGATTGCAGGCATGAGCCACCGTGCCCAGCCCCCTCAGATGTATCCTGAACATCCCTCTCCTGCTTGCATTCCAATTCTGTCTCCTTTTCTCATTTCAGGTTTCACCCATCCAGCCTCTGCTCCCACTCCCAGCAGTGAGTACTTAGAACTTTGATGATAATGTGCACCACAGCCCTTATGAGTAGCAGCTGATCCCACATCCTGAGTGCAGGGCCTTGGGGAGAAATGAAAACAAATGGCCTGATTGTCTCACCCACCCCCTATCACCCCAATGGCTCAGGCTCAGCAGGAAAGATGCAAACGGTGGTATGCTTGCCTCACTTCAAATGCCTTTTCTCACTTCAGTCCCTTTCTCTGCAGCTACTGTGACCTCTGTGCTTCTTCCAGGGACGTCAGTGGTACAAGCCCACTTCTCCAGCTCCACAGGTAGGTAACAACTCTCTCCAACTCCTACTAGAAAGCTAACGTACCTATCCTCAAAGTTAGGACCTGGAAGATGCTGGGGAAAGATGGCATGAGGAGGCCTGGAGCAGTCATGGTCATCCCTGCTCTGCTCCGAACTCCTCAAGAGCAGGAGAAGGGTCCTCCTCATTTCTCCAGCCATGTTGACCTTGAGCAATGTACTTACCCTCTCAGTACCTCGGTTTCCTTATCTGCCAAGTAGGAATAATAATATTTCATGAATTGTTTGCAAATGTTCAATGCAGCTCTATGTAAGAACACCTAGCAAGCACAGGGGTTACCAGGGAATTTGGTTTAACAAATATTTATCAGGCGCCTATTCTGGGCCAAGCAGAGGGGATAAGATGTTGACTAAATCCAATGCAGCCCCACCCCTTACCAACTTGACAGTGTATTGGGGAAGACTGAAAAGGAACAATTACAATTGACAATAAAAGACAACCAGGCTATTCACTTACTATATGGCATGCCATGGGATATATATATATATATATATATATATATTTATTTTTAACTTTTCATTCTGAAATTAATAATAAATAAATAAATTCAGGGATGTTGCAAAAATAGTGTAGAGTTCTCCTGTACCCTTCACCCAGTTTCTCCCCAGTGGTTACATCTTACATAACTCTAATACGATATCAAAAGCAGGAAATTGACATTGTTAAAATTTATTTTACTAGTTTTACATGTGGGCATGCATGTGTGTGCTTGTGTGTGTGTGCATGTATGTTCTTGTGTGTTCATGTGCACGTGTGTGCTTGTGTGTGTGCCCATGTGCGTTTGTGCATGTCTGTGTATGCGTGCACACATGTGCACGTGTGCATGCGGGTGTACGTGTGTGCATAGCCCTGTAAAATTTTCATCACATGGGCATATCCCTATAACCACCACCACCACCAAGATTCAGAACTGTTCTATTCCCCCAAAGATTCCCCTCATGCTACCTTTCATAATCATGCCCACTGAGCCCAACTCTTGGCCATCACTAATCTGTTCTCCATCTTTAGAATTTTATTTTGAGGTTGTTATATAAATGGAAATGTATAACATGTCACCTTTGGAACTGGCTTCTTTCTCACTTAGCGTAATGTCCTACAGATGTGCTAACCCTTTTTAACAGAAACGTAAACTTCCCAATTTCCCTCCAAAATATCATCATGATCCTTGCTGTCTTTTTTTTTTTTTTAAGACAGAGTCTCCCTCTGTCACCCAGGCTGGAGTGCAGTGACACAGTCTTAGCTCATGCAACCTTCGTCTCCTGGGTTCAAGCAATTCTACTTCTCCTGCCTCAGCTTCCTAAGTAGCTGGGATTACAGGTGTGTGGCACCACGCCTGGCTAATTTTTGTATTTTTAATATAGATAGGGTTTCACTGTGTTGGCCAGGCTAGTCTTGATTCCTGACCTCAAGTGATCCACCTGCCACGGCCTCCCAGAGGGCTGGGATTACAGGTGTGAGCCACCGCACCCAGTTCATTAGGCCCATTGTATTACGGTGGAAGAAACTTGAGGTATGGACAGATAACATGTCCATGGCCACATGGCTGGTGAGGGGCAGAGAGGGGGTTTGAAACCAAATCTGACTCCCTAGTGTGGCCATAACCACGGTAACTCTGCCTCTTTACCACGTGGTCTCTTTATTAAAGGAAAGGCCAGTTTGGGGAGTTAGGGGATGGAATGGAGATGGTAACCAAGTAAAGCAGGTGACGGAAGGTCTGCCTTAAGGGCTGCTGTTTGATTTTTGGTTGTTGTTATTAAATGTTCAATGGGATTGAGTTGATTCTTTTTTTCCTTCTTGCTCCCCAAAGCATGAGGCTGCCCAGTCCTTTTTCCCTTTTTAGGCCTCTCAGCTAGAGTTTACTAGGGCACTTGGCAGAGTCTGAGACCTCAGCTTCCAGTAGTCACACTTTCTGACCCTTACACCTATTCGGGCCCCTAACCTGCTTCTGGGCCCAGGTGATGCATTTTAGCAACATCCCACTTTTCTCCTTACCTGGCTTTCCATTCTCTTTTTAAACTAAAGCACCCACCTGTCTGCTTCAAACTTTTGCTTCAAGCACTCCATCTGCGTTCTCAGAAATTGATGTAGAGTCAGTTCAGGTCTAACTCAGGCATGGCCTTTTCTCCTTCCTTGCAGCAGCCACAGTCCCATTCATGGTGCCATTCACCCTCAACTTCACCATCACCAACCTGCAGTACGAGAAGGACATGCGGCATCCTGGTTCCAGGAAGTTCAACGCCACAGAGAGAGTCCTGCAGGGTCTGGTGAGAGCCACATTATTCCTGCCCCGCCCACTTAGACAAACCACGCCCACCGCACACTGCCTTGCTCACTGATGCCAGCCATGCCTACATCAACCCCACCCACCTCACCCTGCCCTGCCTACCGATGCCAGCCACGCCCACCTTCCCTGCCCCGCCCACTATTTTGGCCCCACCCACATCACTCCAGCTAGGTCCACCCCTCCAATGCCCCACTCTTCCTGGCTTTCTGCAGCTGTTGTCTCTTACTGCCCCTCTCCTCTCTTGCAGCTCAAATCCTTGTTCATGAATAGCAGTCTGGAATACCTCTATTCAGGCTGCAGATTAGCCTCACTCAGGTGAGACCTTCCCCAAGAAAAACACAGCCCAACAGGTGAATATGACCCTAGTCTCTGGGCTCCCTGACTCTGTTCATACTTGGAACAACTATTGCCCATGGATACTGAGCATCAGCACCACCAGCGGCAGCTAACTATTGCTAAGACTGAAGACACTGCGTTATGTACTTTATATTCAATGCCTCATCAGTCTTTGCAATAGCCTCATGAAGCAGGAGCAGAAGGGGAAACTGAGGCAGAGGCTTGTGCCAGGGCACTTCAGCGCTTCAGGTTCCAGATCCAAACTCCTATCCCTTAGGTGGCCCTGCTTCCTCTGCCCCTATTATGGCCTTGCAGCATGTGGAAAATCCTAATCTGACTCCTCCTCTAAAGGAACTTGCCCAGAGAATCTAAGAGGGGAGGAAAGGGAGGCACGCAGCCCTTACAGGCAAGAGGTGAGCTCCTAAGTGTCTCAGATGCAGCCACAGGGGGCCTGGCCTGTCTGAGGTTGACTGAGAGGCGCCAAGGGCATTGTCCCCGAGTGCTAGAAAGGGCAGGTCATTTAGGGTAGATGTTGGTTGAAATCATTTCCTGCCTGACATTCTTACCTTCCACACCTGAATCTCCAAGTGTGGCTCTCCCAAGAGTCCCATTTCATCAGTCATCTACCTCCAGCTTCCTTTCCTTCCAGGGAGTGGGGGAAGAGGTAGGGGGGCCCTAGTAGTTAGGAGCATTGGTGAAGTGAGGCAGACCTCAGTTTTATAAACATATATGTTTATAGACACATTTTATGTACATATGTTATACACATATACAACATATGTTATATATGTATATGTATATATGTTATATTGTATACATGTTATATATGTTATAACATATATAGTATATGCCATATATAACATACATTATGTTACATGTAACATATACGTACCTGAGCCCAGAATTGCTTGAACCCAGGAGGCAGAGATTGCAGTGAGCCAGCATCACACCTCTTCTCTCCAGCCTGGGCTACAGAGTGAGACTCCATCTCCAAAAACAAAACAAAATATATACACCTGGCTATTTTTAAAACTTTTTTGTTGAGGGGGGGTCTTGCTATGTTGCCCAGGTGTCCCCGAACTCCTGGGCTCAAGCAGTCCTCCTACCTTGGTCTCCCAAAATACTGGGATTACAGGCATAAGCCACCACACCTAGCCACAAGGCGTTTTTGGCTTATATTTTTAACTTACAATGGGTTTATCAGGGCCAGGAACAGTGGCTCACACCTGTAATCTCAGCACTCTGGGAGGCCAAGGCGGGTAGATCACTTGAGGCCAGGAATTCAAGACCAGCCTGGCCAACACTGCAAAATCCTGTCTCTACTAAAAATAAAGAAATTAGCCAGGAATGTTCGTGACAATTGTAGTTCCAGCTACTCAGGAGACAGACATGAGAATCACTTGAACCCAAGAGGTGGAGGTTGCTGTGAGTCAAGATTGCACCAGTGCACTCCTGCCTGGACGACACAGTGAGACTCTTTCTCCAAAAAACTAAAAACAAGCCAGGCATGTGCCTCATGCCTGTAATCCTAGCAATTTGAGAGGCTCAGGCGGCAGATCACTTGAGGTCAGGAGTTCAAGAACAGCCTGGCAAACATGGAGAAAATCCATCTGTACTAAAAATACAAAAATTAGCTGGGTTTGGTGGTGGGTGCCTGTAGTCCTAGCTACTCAGGAGGTTGAGGCAAGAGAGACAGAGGTTGCAGTGAACTGAGGTCATGCCACTGCAGCCCAGCCTGGGTGACAGAGTGAGGCTCCATCTCCAAAAACAAAACAAAATGAAACAAAAAGAAAAAAAATCTTATCAGGACATAACACCATCATGAGTCAAGGAGCATCTAAATGTACGTGGTAGTTATACAAAAAATAGTTATAGAGTTATATACAATAGTTACATATGAACCAGCTTAATATATGTTAGGTAGAGGTATATGGTAGTTATATTAAAAAGTTATATAATTATATAAAATAGTTATGTATAAACCAGTGTAATATATGTTAGGTAGAGGTATAATAATATATTATATATATTATATAATAATGTATAAAATACAAAAGATATAATATATTTCTATATTAAGTTTATATTTACAGATCTACATATTTATATATTTTATGTTATACATATAATTGTATTATACAATATACATATAATTGTATATATATACAGTTATATATAATATATATTATAAATATCTATAATATAATATATATAATTGTGTCACGTTAGTATGGTACTGACTGGAGAACTGAGCAGTATCAACCCATAGGGATGCTTTGAGGATGAAATAATGTGATTATAAATACAAAATGCTGGGCCTGCTGCATAGGAAGTATTTAATAAATGGTAGTTGTTGCTCTAAAGTCATTCCTACTTAGAGCTACTCACAACCCTGGGACATAGGACACCCTTTCCTTCTAATCACTTAATAGTGGGTGGCCAAGTAGGTGAGTCCCTGTCCTGTGGCCAGGAACAGGTGCTGAGACATGAAGACCTTCTGACTGCATGTTGGACCAGCCACAGTTTCAGACAGACCTGCAAAAAAAGGGCATTTCCCCCAAGCCATTTAGCTCCCTTGAGTTTTGTAACAAATCTCCTAGCCCTGCTGGTCCATAGGATCTAGAGGGGGTGCCTTGAACCTCTGATCCCACCATTTGAAAACACCATGCCTTAGGCACCAGCAGAAGGCCACCGTTACACACACCAGTACAAGGGCCACTCCCACGGATTGCAGATTAACCCTAAGTATAGCTGTTGCACATCTAGTGCCTTAGGAGGCTTATTTGGGGCTATGCAGAACACTGGCATTATTATCCTAGGATCCTACCCCAAGGAAACTAGGAGCTGCCCCTCCTCATAAACCCATAAGTTCTCCTCTTGAGCAAAGCAGGTGGGAAGGCAGAAGTTATTCAAGCTCCCCTCTGCCTCAGTTCCAAAGACAGACTCAGCTCAAGCCCACAGGCAGCAAACCCTAGAAAAGTCTCACCTCAGCCAGACGCAGTGACCCAGGCCTGTAATCCCAGTACTTTGGGAGGCCGAGGTGGATGGATCATGAGGTCAGGAGTTCAAGACCGACTTGCCCAATATGGTGAAACCCCGTCTCTACTAAAAATACAAAAAAAAAAAAAATTAGCTGGGTGTGGTGGTAGGTGCCTGTAGTCTCAGCTACTTAGGAGGCTGAGGCAGGCGAATCTCTTGAACCCAGGAGGAGGAGGTTGCACTGGGCCCAGATCATGCCACTATACTCCAGCCTGGGTGACAGAGCGAAACTGTCTCAAAAAAAAAAAAAAAAAAAGTCTTACCTCTTGGCATTTCTGCCATGGTAGTGCTTTCTGCTTTCACTAAGAATCCTATTAATTTGTTTATGATGGGCATCTCTCTGACGAGAGCTGCATTCTTGTTAGCCACAGTTTTCCCAGAGTTCTCATTAGGAACTGACAAAGAGTGGAAAGGAAGGACAAAAGGGTGAAGAGGTGGATTGACTAAGCATATGTAGGTTCTCATCCAGGCCAGAGAAGGACGGATCAGCCACGGCAGTGGACGCCATCTGCACACATCGCCCTGACCCTGCAGGGCTTGGACTGGACAGAGAGCAACTATACTGGGAGCTGAGCAAGCTGACCAATGGCATCCACAGGCTGGGCCCCTACACCCTGGACAGGAACAGCCTCTATGTCAATGGTGAGCAGCTGTAATGTGGTTGGATGTTCTTCCTCCTTGCTGGGCAGCCTGTAATCTCTGGCTTGAGGTCACACTCACTGCCAGGCAATTGAAAATTCAGCCACGTGCTCTACATGGGATGACTACGTTCTGGGCTTTGTGATTTCTTCATCATCATAGAATGAATTCCATCACGACATTCTTCCCTGATGTGAGGATGCTGATAGGAAATGCCTAATGGTCCCTGTTCCTTAAACCTCCTTACATTGCCCCGGGGTAGTCCTGACCCCTGTTTGGTCCCCCACGTCTCCTTTTCACCTACTCACACTCCTCCCTCCTTCTCTTTGCAGGTTTCACCCATCGGAGCTCTGTGTCCACCACCAGCAGTGAGTATTCGACTCATGTCCACAGGCCCATGACCCTACACCACACAAAGCAAGAGCTCCCCCTCCTCATAAACCCATAAGCTCTCTCCTGAGCAAAGCACGTGGGAAGGCAGAAGCTATTCAAGCTCCCCTCTGCCTCAGTTCCAAAGACAGACTCAGCTCAAGCCCGTATGCAGCAAACCCTATACAAGTCTCACCTCGTGGCATTTCTGCCATGGTAATGCTTTCTGCTTTCACTAATGAGGACTTCTCCTCAGCTCCTGGGACCTCCATAGTGGATGTGGGAACCTCAGGGACTCCATCCTCCATCTCCAGCCCCACGAGTAAGTACTAGTCAATGGCATTTCTTTTAGAGCATGCTCTCCCTGTCATTTTTACTCAAACGAAGATGGAAAGTCATGGTAAATCTACTGATAGTGAGTGGACCAGTGAAATTTATTGGCCACTTAATGTGTACCAGATCCTAGGGACACAGCAAGGGAAATCAAACCAATAAAAAATCTCTGCTCTCAGTGAGCTTATATTCTTGTGATGATGATGATGTTGGTGGTGGTGGTGGTGGTGGTGCTGTTGCTGCTGTTGATGCTGTTGATGATGGTGATAGTAATGTTGATGACAAAGATGATGATGAAGAAAATGATGCTCATGATGGTGGCAGGGGTTAGTACGGTAATAATGATATGTTAAGTGTGATGATGGTGGTGGTGGTGGTGATGATGATTATTATTTTATGCTAGCGACGTTGATGATGGTGATGTTGATGACAATGAGGATGATAGGGATGAGGATGATGTTGGTGATGGTGGCGGGGTTATGATGGTAATTATATGTTGAATGTGATGATGATGATGATGTTTGTGGTGGTCATGATGGAGATTGTCATGATTTTGCTGGTGGTACTTGTGATGACAATAATGATGATGGTGACAATGATAGTGATGATGATGATGGTGACCATAAAGATAACATCTCACAATGTTGAGCACTAAATATGTGCCAAGAGCTATGCTCAGCATCTAACTACTATTATATAATCTACTTTAAAAAATAAATTGTATCATTATAGATAAGAAAGGCATGGAAAATATTTATTATGCCACTCAATTTAAATGCTGCATGTGGTTATTACAAAGTGCTGTTTTCTCTACTTTGACCATAATATTTATTTCCCACTCCCACTACAGCAACTGTTCCTCTCCTGGTGCCATTCACCCTCAACTTCACCATCACCAACCTGCAGTATGCGGAGGACATGCATCGCCCTGGCTCCAGAAAGTTCAACACCACAGAGAGCGTCCTACAGGGTCTGGTTAGTGCCCTTCTCACTCTGCCCTGCTCACGATACCCAGTCCTTCCTACATCATCCATGCCAGGGTGATGGAAGAAGATCACACCTAACTCACTCTTGCCCCAAGAGATGAAAGCCTCAGCTGGGCACAGTGGCTCATGCCTGTAATCCCAGCACTTTGGGAGGCTGAAGCAGGTGGATCACCTGAGGTCAGGAGTTCGTGACCAGCCTGACCAACATGGTGAAACCTCATCTCTACTAAAAATACAAAAATTAGCCAGGCGTGGTCACACATGCCTGTAATTCCAGCTACTTGGGAGGTTGAGGCAGGAGAATCACTTGAACCCAGGAGGCGGAGGTTGCAGTGAGCCGAGATCGTGCCACTTCACTCCAGCCTAGGCAAAAAAGTGGAACTCCACCTCAAAACAAAAACAAAAAACTGCAAGCCTTGCCCACTGAGGCCAGCCCTGCTCATCTTGCTTCTGCCTGGCTCTTACAACTTAGCCCTCCTGCTCACCTCCCTCTCCCTCCTCCACAGCTCAGGCCCCTGTTCAAGAACACCAGTGTTGGCCCTCTGTACTCTGGCTGCAGACTGATCTTGCTCAGGTGAGACCTTAGAAGAGCCAGCCTGGCTACCCCAACTGTTCTCACTCCAAAAGACTTTGCACTGCTTCTTTGCTGTACTTCCTAAGAATATTCTCACCAAAGGTGGAATTCAGGAGTCACTGGCTTCAGGACCAATGTGTTTCCTGCTAGTAACAGCCCCACACCCCAACCCCTCAACAGAGAGAATCTGCATGGCCCATCATCAGGACAGAGCCCCTACCCTGATCATCCCTCTGAATTCCCTCCTTTCCCTGCCCTTCCCTTTCCTTTACATGTTATATTCTGTCCCCAGGACTTCTCTCAAGACAATTATTCCTCATCCGCATGCTTTCATCCTCATTTATGGCTCTTCACTGGGCTCAAGTTTGGCTCCCCTGTCCATCCCATCCATGAAGATGCAGGTTTCATATTGCACTTTTATAAAACTCCTTGTGTATCCGTGACTCCGCTCACAGTCCCAAGCAAGCCAATAGTCCATGTATTAAGAATCTATGTGGCTTCTCACCTCTTTCCCAGGTTTCTCATTTCCTCTGGTTCCTTACTGTCTTTCCCTCAGCAGTCTAAAGACACAACCTAGGTAGTCTTTTCATTGTCATGTTTCCCACCGACCCTCCCCAGACCCGAGAAGGATGGGGCAGCCACTGGAGTGGATGCCATCTGCACCCACCGCCTTGACCCCAAAAGCCCTGGACTCAACAGGGAGCACCTGTACTGGGAGCTAAGCAAGCTGACCAGTGGCATCAAAGAGCTGGGCCCCTACACCCTGGACAGGAACAGTCTGTATGTCAATGGTGAGTGCCTGTGACATGGTTGAAGTCTCATCTTCCTTGCTGGGCAGCCTCTAATCTGTAACTAGAGGTCACACTCTCTGCCTGGTGATTGAAAATTCTGTCATGTGCTCTATGTGGGATGGATGACTCAGTTCTGGACTTCATGATTTCCTTATCATCGTGGACTGTGTTCTCTCAGGGTTTTCTTTCCTGATGTGAGGATGCTGGTAGGAAATCTTCAATGGTCCTTGTACCATGAAACTCATTTTGTTGTCAAATAGCATTGACGTCTATTTGGTCCCCCAGCTCTCCTTGTCACTTACCCACTCTCCTCCCTTCTTCTCCATGCAGGTTTCACCCATCAGGGCTCTGTGCCCATCACCATCAGTGAGTATTCAACTCATGTTCACATGCCCTGGTTCCTATACCAAGAGGAGCAGGAGCCGGCCCCTCCTCATAAATCCATAAGTCCTCTTCATGAGCAAAGGAGTTAGGAGGGCAGAAGTTATTCAAGTGCCCCTCTGCCCAGCTAAAAGACTTAACCAGTTCGAGCCACACATGCAGCAAACCCCATGAATAGTCTCCCCTTTTGCCATTTCTGCCAAGAGAATGCTTTCTGCTTTCACTGATGAGAACTTTTCCCCAGCTCCTGGGGCCTCCACAGTGAATCTTGGAACCTCGGGGACTCCACCCTCCCTCTCCAGCTCCACAAGTAAGTATCAGTCAATGACGTCTCTATTAGAGCGTGTTTGATGAGTGTAAACATCTCTGTCATTTTCACTCAGATAAAAATGTAAAATCATAGTTAATCTTGCGATAGTAAGTAGACAAACAAAACGTTTTGGCTACCTACTGTGTACCAGACCCCAGGGATACAGTAAGAAAAAGAAAATCAATTTAAAAAAACTCTGCCCTCAATGAGCTTCTATTCTTGTGATGATGATGATGATGATGATGGTGGTGGTGGTGGTAGTTGTGATGGTGATAATGATGTGTTGAATGGGATGATAATGATGGCGGTGGTGGCACTGATATGATAATAATGATGATGGTCATGCTGTTAATGATGGCAGTAGTGATGGTGATGATGATGAGGATGATGCTGGTGATGGCGGTGGAAGTTATGATGCTAATTATGACATATTGAGTATAATGATGGTGGTGTTGCAGCTTATGATGGTGATGATGATGGTGGTGGTGATGTTGATGACAATGGTGATGATGATGAGGATGATGCTGTGTTGGTGGTGCTGTCATGATGGTAGTGATTATGTATTGAGCGTGATGATGATGATGGTGGTAGTGTTGCTGTTTATAGTGATGATGATGGTGGTGGTGATGTTGATGACAATGGTGATGATGATGAGGATGATGCTGTGTTGGTGGTGCTGTCATGATGGTAGTGATTATGTCTTGAGTGTGATGATGATGATGGTGGTAGTGTTGCTGTTTATAGTGATGATGATGGTGGTGATGTTGATGACAATGACGATAATGGTGATAAGGATGGTGCTGGTGATGGTGGTGGGTCACGATGGTAATGATGAAGTGTTGAGACTGATGATGTTTGTGGTGGTCATCATGGGGATTATCATGATGGTGACAATGGTGGTGACGATGGTGTTAATAAAGTTAAGAGAAAATGCCAGGCAGTATTGAGCAATAAATATTCACCAAGACTTATGCTCAGCATCTACTATTATATAATATACTTTTATAAAAATAAATTTTATTATTATAGGCAAGGGAGGCATGGTAAATATTTTGTCTCTCAATTTAAATTTTGCATATGTTTAAAGATAAGTCTATTCCAAACCGCTATTTTCTCTACTTTGAACATGGTGTTCATTTCCAATTCCTATTATAGCTGCTGGCCCTCTCCTGGTGCCGTTCACCCTCAACTTCACCATCACCAACCTGCAGTATGAGGAGGACATGCATCGCCCTGGCTCCAGGAAGTTCAACACCACGGAAAGGGTCCTGCAGAGTCTGGTGAGAGCCTTGCCCGCTTTGCTCCTGCCCCACCCCAGATACCCAGTCCCTCCTACATCATTCATCCCAGGGCTATGGAAGAAGATAGCACCCATCTCATCATTTCCCACAAAAGGTGCAAGCCCTGCTCACTTAGGCTAGCCCTACCCACTGGTGCCTGCTCCATCCCCCTGACTTCTGCCCCCTACACACCCACTTTAGCCCTCCTACTCACTTTTTTTTTCTCCCTCCTCCACAGCTTGGTTCCACATTCAAGAACACCAGTGTTGGCCCTCTGTACTCTGGCTGCAGGCTGACCTCTCTCAGGTGTGACCTTAGAAGAGCCAGACTGGCTACCCCAATTTTTTCCACTTCAACAGACTTTGCACAACTTCCTTGCTGCACTTCCTAGGCATAGCCTCCCCAAAAGGGGAATTCAGGAGTCACTGGCTTCAGAACCAGTGTGTTTCCTGATGGTAACTCCCCAGTACTTCACCTCAACAGGGAGAATCTGCATGGTCCGTCATCAGGATTGAGCTCTACCCTGCTCAACCCTCTGAATTCTCCCCTTTCCCTGCCCCTCCCTTTCCTTTAGGTCTTAAATTCTGTCCCCAGGATTTCTCTCAAGACAATCATGCCTCATCCATGTGCTTTCATCCCCAGCTCTTCCCTGGTCTCAAGTCAGGGCTCTCCTGTCCCCATGCCACGAGAATGCAGGTTTCATCTTGCACTTTTACAAGCATCGTGGTATACATGACTCTGCTCACAGTCCCAAGGAAGCCAATAGTCTGTGCTCTCAGAAAATCTAAGTGTGGCTTCTCACCTCTTTCCCAGGTTTCTCATTTCCTCTGATTCCTTACTGTCTTTCCCTCAGCAGTCAAAATACACAACCAAGGTAATCTTTTCCTAGTCATTCTCCCTACCTACCTTCCCCAGGTCTGAGAAGCATGGGGCAGCCACTGGAGTGGATGCCATCTGCACCCACCATCTTGACCCCAAAAGCCCTGGACTCAACAGAGAGCAGCTGTACTGGGAGCTGAGCCAGCTGACCAATGGCATCAAAGAGCTGGGCCCCTACACCCTGGATGGGAACAGTCTGTATGTCAATGGTGAGCAGCTGTGATGTGGTTGGAGGTTCTTCCTCCTAGAGTTTGGGCAGACTCTAATCTCTGGCTTGAGTTCACACTCCCTGCCTGGCCATTGAATATTCTGTCGTGTGTTCTATGTGGGATGACTAAGTTCTGGACTTCACGGTTTCTTCGTCATAGTGAACTGCATTCCCTCAGGACACTCTTCCCTGTGGTGCAGATGCTGATAGGATATCTTTAATGGCCCCTGTCCCATGAAACTCATTTAATTGCATTAGGGTGTCCCTGAACCCTATTATGTTCCCTATACCTCCTTAACCCTTACCCAGTCTCCTCCCTCCTCTATGCAGGTTTCACCCCTTGGAGCTCTGTGCCCACCACCAGCAGTGAGTATTCAACCCATGTACACATGTCCCTTATCATACATCAAGTGGAGCCCCTCCTCATGAACCCATAAGTCCTCTTCTTAAGCTAAAGAGCTGAGAAGCCTCTTTAGAGTCTTTAGAAGGAAGTTATTGAAGCTCCTTTCTGCCCCAGCTCCAAAGACAGATCCAGCCCAAGCCCCCATGCAGCAGACCCCATCGTAGTCTCCCCTCTTGCCATTTCTGCCATGAGAGTGCTTTCTGCTTTCACTGATGAGGACTTTTTCTCAGCTCTTGGGACCTCCACAGTGGACCTTGAAACCTCAGGGACTCCATCCTCCCTTCCCAGCCCCACAAGTAAGTACCAGTCGATGGCATCTCTGTTAGATCATGGCTGGTGAATGTAAACAACTGTGCCATTTTCACTCAAACGAAAATGGAAAATCATAGTGAATCTGGTGATAGTGAGTGAAGCAAAAAAATTTATTGGCCACCTACAGTATATCAGACCCTAGGGATCCAACAAGGAAAACAAAATGAATAAAAACATCTCTGCCATCAGTGAGCTTGTGTTCATGTGATGATGATGGTGGTCGTGGTGGTTATGATAGTCATATGACATGTTGAATGTGATGATGATTGTGATGATTGTGTTCATGTGATGATGATGGTGGTCCTGGTGGTTATGATAGTCATAATGACATGTTGAATGTGATGATGATTGTGATGATTGTGATGCTGTCGATGATGATGATGATGGACGTGAGGATGTTGTCAGTGATGGTTGTGAAGGTTATGGTGATAATCATGATGCGTTGAGTGTAATAATGATGATGATGGTGGTGGTGCTGTTTATGATGGTGACCATGGTACTGCTGTGATGTTGATGATGGTAGTGGTGAGTTTGATGACAATAACAATGACGGTGATGAGGATGACGCCAGTGATGGTTGTGTGGCTATGATGATATGTTGAGTGTGGTGATGATGATGTTTGTGGTAGTCATGATGGGGATTATCACGGTGGTAATGGTGATAATAATGATGGTGATGTTGACAATGGCCATAACAAAGATAACAGATAACATCAGACGATATTGAGCACTGAATATGCATGACTGGCTGTGCTCACCATCTAACTACTATTATATAATATACTTCTATAAAAACAAATTGTATTATTATAGGCAAGGGAGACAAGGTAAATATTTTGTCTCTCAACTTAAATTTTGCATATGTTTAAAGATAAGTCTATTCCAAACCTCTATTTTCTCTACTTTGAACATAGTGTTTATTTCCAATTCCCACTACAGCTGCTGGCCCTCTCTTGGTGCCATTCACCCTCAACTTCACCATCACCAACCTGCAGTATGAGGAGGACATGCATCAACCTGGCTCCAGGAAGTTTAACACCACAGAAAGGGTCCTGCAGGGTCTGGTGAGAGCCCTGCCCTCATTTTGCCCCACCCCAAGCATCCAGTCCCTTCTATATCATCCATGGCAGGGGATGAAAGGGGATGGCACCAACCTCCCCCCACCCCCAAGAGATGTAAGCCCCACACACAGAGGCCAGCCCTGCTCACTGGTGCCTGCTCTACCCACCTCAGATCTTCCCCTACACACACACACACACACACACACACACTTTGGCCCTTCTACTCACTTTCCTCCCTCTCCTCCACAGCTTGGTCCCATATTTAAGAACACCAGTGTCGGCCCTCTGTACTCTGGGTGCAGACTGACCACTCTCAGGTGAGAATTTAGAAGAGCCAGACTGCCTGCCCGAATTGTTCCCAGTCTAGAAGACTTTGCACTGCCTCCTTGATGCTCTTCCTAAGGATATCCTCACCAAAGGGGGATTCGGGAGTCACTGGTTTCAGAACCAGGTGTTTCCTGATTGTGACACCCCCACACCCCACCTCAACAGGCAGAATCTTCATGGTCCATCATCAGGATTGAACCTCTGCCCTGATCATTCCTCTGAATTCCCTCTTTTCCCTGCCCTTCACTTTCATTTAGGTGTTAAATTTTGTCCCAGGACTTCTCTTAAGACAATCATCCCTCATCCACATGCATTCATCCCCCTTTCAAGATCTTCACTGGTCTCAAGTCTGAGTTGTTCTTCCCCATGCCATGAGAATACAGGTTTCACCTTGCACTTTTATAAAAATTATTATACCCATGACTCTGCTCACAGTCCTAAAAAAGACAGTGGTCTGTGTACTCAGATAATTTAAGTGTGGCTTCTCACCTCTTTTTCAGGTTTCTCATTTCCTCTGGTTCCTTACTGTCTTTCCCTCAGAGTCTAAAGACACAACCTAGGTAATCCTTTCATCATCATTCTCTCCACCTATGTTCTCCAGGCCCAAGAAGCATGAGGTGTCCACTGGAGTGGATGCCATCTGCACCCACCATTTTGACCCCAAAAGCCCTGGACTCAACAGAGAGCAGCTGTACTGGGAGTTGAGCCAGCTGACCAATGGCATCAAAGAGCTGGGCCCCTACACCCTGGATGGGAACAGTCTGTATGTCAATGGTGAGCAGCTGTGATGTGGTTGGAGGTTCTTCCTCCTAGAGTCTGGGCAGACTCTAATCTCTGGCTTGAAGTCTCACTGCCTGCCTGGACATTGTCATGTGCTCTACGTGGGATGACTAAGTTCTGGACTTCACAGTTTGTCATAGTGAACTGCATTCCCTCAGGGCACTCTTCCCTGTTGTCAGGATGCCGATAGGAAATCTTTAATGGCCCCTGTCCCATGAAACTCATTTAATTGCACTAGGATAGCCATGACCCCTATTACATCCCCCACATCTCCTTAACCCTTACTCCACCTCCTCCCTCCTTCTCTATGCAGGTTTCACCCATAGGAGCTCCATGCCCACCACCAACAGTGAGTATTCACTCATGACCACATGCCCCGATCCTACATCAAGTGAAGCAGGAGCTGGCCCCTCCTCATAAACCCATAAAGTCCTCCTCATGACCAAGGAGCTGGGAAGGCAGAAGTCATTCAAACGCCCCTCTGCTTCAGCTCCAGCTCCAGCTCACATGCATCAGACCTCATAATAGTCTACCCTCTTGCCATTTCTGCCATGAGAGTGCTTTCTGTTTTCACTTATGAGGACTTTTCCTCAGCTCCTGGGACCTCCACAGTGGGACCTGGAACCTCAGCAACTCCATCCTCCCTCCGCAGCCCCACAAGTAAGTACCAGACCTCTCTATTAGAGCATGCCTGATAAGTGTGAACATCTCTGCCATTTTTCCTCAAATAAAGATGGAAAATTATAATAAATCTGGTAATAGTGAGTGAACCAAAAACATTTATTGGCCACCTACTGTTTACAACACCCTACGGATACAGCAAGGAAAACAAAACCAAGTAAAAAATCTCTCTGCCCTCAGTGAGCTTATATTCGTGTGATGATAATGATAGTGGTGGTGGTGCTAGTTGCTGTTGATGATGATGATAATGATCATGATGGCAATGCTATTGATAACAGTGGTGGTGGTGGTGCTGTTGATGATGATCATGATAGTGATGTTGTTGATGATAATGTGGTGATGTTGCCGACTGTGATGATGGACATGAGGATGATGTCAGTGATGCTTATGATGTTAGTGGTGATGTGTTGAGTGTGATGATGATGGTGGTGGCGGTGGTGGTGGTGGTGGCGGTGGTGGTGGTGGTGCTGCTGTTTATGATGTTGATAATGAAACTGGTGATATTGATGACAGTGACAATAATGGTGATGAGGATGATGTCAGAGATGGTCGTGGGGTTATGGTGATAATGGTGATGTGTTGAGTGTGCTGCTGCTGATATTTGTGGTGGTCATGCTTGGGACTGTGGTGGTGATGATAATGGTGATGGTGACAATGACAGCAATGATGATGATGGCAATAAGAAAGATAATGGATAACATCAGACAATATTGAGCACTGAATATGAACCAAGAGCAATGCTCAGCATCTAACTACTATTATATAATATCCTTTAAAAAATAAAGGGAAGCATGTTAAATATTTATTTAGTCATCCAATTTAAATGTTGTGTATGTTTAAACGTAAGTCTATTGCCAACTCCTATATTCTACACTTTGAACATAGTATTTATTTCCCACTCCCACTACAGCAGCTATTCCTCTACTGGTACCGTTCACCCTCAACTTCACCATCACCAACCTGCAGTATGAGGAGGACATGCATCGCCCTGGCTCCAGAAAGTTCAACACCACAGAGAGGGTCCTGCAGCGTCTGGTTAGTGCCCTACCCTCCTCACTCTGCCCCAACCCAGATACTCAGTCCCTCCTACAACACCCATGCCAGGGCAAAGGAAGAAGAATGTACTCACCTCACCCTCTCCCCAAGAAATACAAGCGTCACCCACTGAGGCCAGCCTCACCCACTTGGTCCTGCCTTGCCCACCTTATTTCTGCCCTCATACAGAGACCTTAGCCCTCCTACTCACCTCTCCTTCCTCCACAGCTTGGCCCCTTGTTCAAGAACTCCAGTGTCGGCCCTCTGTATTCTGGCTGCAGACTGACCTCTCTTAGGTGAGACTAGGATAGCCAGTCTGGCTGTCCCACCTGTTCTCACTCCAAAAGACTTTGCACTGCTTCCTTGCTACATTTCTAGGCATAGCCTCACCAAAGGGATTCAGGAGTCAATGGATTTGGGAACGATCTGTCTCCTGATAGTAACCTCCCCACACCTCACCTCAACAGAGAGAATCTGCATGATCCATCATCAGGATTGAGCCCCTACTCTCCTCATCCCTCTGAATTCCCTCCTTTTCCTGCCCCTCCCTTTCCTTTAGGTCTTAAATTCTGTCCCCAGGATTTCTCTCAAGATGATCATGCCTCATCCACGTGCTCTCATCCCCAGCTCTTCACTGGTCTAAAGTCAGGGCTCTCATGTCCCCATGCCATGAGAATGCAGGTTTCACCTTGCACTTTTATAAAAACTGATGTATCCATGCCTCTGCTCACAGTCCCAAGTGAGCCAGTAGTCCATGCACTCAGAGAATCTAAGTGTGGCTTCTCACCTCTTTCCCAGGTTTCTCATTTCCTCTAGTCCCTTGCTGTTCTTCCCTGAGCAGTCTGAAGGCTGTCCTAGGTAATCTTTTCATTGTCTTTCTCCTCACTTACCTTCCCCAGGTCTGAGAAGGATGGGACAGCCACTGGAGTGGATGCCATCTGCACCCACCGTCTTGACCCTCAAAGTCCTGGACTGGACAGAGAGCATCTGTACTGGGAGCTGAACCAGATGACCAATGGTATCAAAGAGCTGGGCCCCTACACCCTGAACAGGAACAGTCTCTATGTCAATGGTGAGCAGCTGTGACATGGTTGAAATATCTTCCTTTTTGCTGAGCGGCCTCTAATCTCTAACTAGAGGTTACACTCCCTGCTTGACAATTGAAAATTCTGTCATGTGCTCTACATGAGATGTCTCAGGTCTGGATTTCATGGTTTCCTTATCATCGTAGACTGTGTTCTTCAGGGCATCTTTTCCTGATGTGAGGATGCTGGTAGGAAATGCACCAGGGTCAACTTGACCCCTATTTAATCGTCAGTGTCTCTCTCTCCTCCCTCCTTCTCTATTCAGGTTTCACCCATCGGAGCTCCATGCCCACCAGCAACAGTGAGTATTCAACTCATGTCCACATGCCCCTGATCTTACTCCAAGCATAGCAGAATCTGGCTCTCCCATAAACCCATAGGTCCTCTTCTTCAGCAAAAGAGACAGGAAGGCAGAAGTTACTCAAGCCCCACTCTACCCCAGCTCCAAAGACTGATCCGTCTCTACCCACACAGGCAGCAGACCCCATAAATTGTCTCCCCTCTTGCCATTTCTGTCATGAGAGTGTTTTCTGCTTTCACTAATGAGGACTTTTCCTCAGCAACTTGGACCTCCACGGTGGACCTTGGAACCCTAGGGGCTCTATCCTCCCTTCCCAGCCCCACAGGTAAGTAGCAGTCAGTGGCGTCTCTATTAGAGCATGCATGATGAATGTAAAAACTCTGCCCTTTTCATTCAATTTTCATCAATAAAGATGGAAAATCATAGTAAATCTAGTGATAGTGGGTGGGCTAAAAAAAATTATCGGCCACCTACTTTGTGCCAGACCCAAAGGATGCAGCAAGGAAAACAAAACCAACAAAAACATCTGCGTCCTCAGTGAGCTTGTGTTCACATGGTGATGATGATGGTGATGATGATGATAGTGATGGTGCTGCTGCTGATGGTGGTGGTCTTGTTGACCATGATGACGACGGACATGAGGATGATGGCAGTGATGGTTATGATGTTAGTGATGACGTGTTGAGTGTGATGATGGTGGTGGTGGTGGTTACGATGATGATGGTGATGATGATGATAGTGAAGGTGCTGATGATGGTGGTGGTCTTGTTGACCATGATGACGACGGACATGAGGATGATGGCAGTGATGGTTATGATGTTAGTGATGACGTGTTGAGTGTGATGATGGTGGTGGTGGTGCTGTTTATTTTTTAAGTATTATTTTTTGGGGGGTGCTGTTTATGATTGTGATGATGAGACTGGTGATGTTGATGACAATGACACTGATGGTGATGAGGATGATGCCAGTGATGGTCGTGGGGTTATGATGATAATGGTGATATGTCGAGTGTGCTGCTGATGATATTTGTGGTGGTTATGCTTGGGATTGTGGTGGCGATGATAATGTGTTGGTGACAATGACAGCAGCAATGATGATGGCAATAAAAAAGATAACAGATAACATCAGACAATATTAAGCACTGAATATGAACTAAGAGCTATGCTCAGCATCTAACTACTATTATAAAATATCCTTTATAAAATAAATTCTGTCATTATAGGCAAGGGACACATGGTAAATATTTATTTTGTCATTCAACTTAAATGTTGCCTATCTGTAAAGGTAAGTCTATTGCAAACTCCTACTTTCTCTGCTTTGAACATAGTATTTATTTCCCACTCCCACTACAGCAGCTGTTCCTCTCCTGGTGCCATTTACCCTCAACTTCACCATCACCAACCTGCGGTATGCGGAGGACATGCAACGCCCCGGCTCCAGGAAGTTCAACACCACCGAGAGAGTCCTGAAGGGTCTGGTTAGTGCCCTGCCCTCTTCTTTCTGCCCTGCCCCAGAGGCCCAGCCCCTGTACAACATCCATGCCAGGGCAATGGAAGAAGATCGTACCCACCTTGCCCTCGTCCCAGAGATGCAAACCTCACCCACTGAAGCCAGCCATGCCCACTGGTGTCTGGTGCCTGCCTCACCCACTTCAATTCTGCCCCCCACACAGGAACCTTAGCCCTCTTTCTCACCTCTCTCTCCCTCCTCCACAGCTTGGTCCCATGTTCAAGAACACCAGTGTCGGCCCTCTGTACTCTGGCTGCAGACTGAACTCTCTTAGGTGAGACTAGAATAGCCAGCCTGGCTGCCCCAATTGTTCTCACTCCAAAAGGCTTTGCACCACTTCCTTTATACACTTCCTAGGCGTATCCTCACCGACAGAGGGATTCAGGAGTCACTGGCTTCAGGACCAGTGTATCTCCTGATAGTAACACTCCCACATCCCACCTCAACAGAAAGAATCTACATGATCCATCATCAGGATTGAGCTCCTACCCTGATCATCCCTCTGAATTCCCTCCTTTCCCTTTCCTTGAGGTGTTAAATTCTGTCCCCAGGATTTCTCTCAAGACCATCATGCCTCATCCACATGCTTTCATCCCCGTTTCAAGGTCTTCACTGGTTTCAAGTTTGGGCGCTTTTTCCCATGCCATGAGAATGCAGGTTTCACCCTTGCACTTTTATGAGAATTGTTTTATTTATTTATTTATTTATTTATTTTGTCGGGGAGATGGAGTCTTGCTCTGTCACCTAGGCTGGAGTGCCGTGGCCGATCTCGGCTCACTGCAGCCTCTACCTCCCAGGTTCCAACGATTTTCCTGCCTCAGCCTCCCAAGTAGCTGGGATTACAGGCACACACCACCATGACCAGCTAATTTTTGTATTTTCAGAAGAGATGGGGTTTCACCAGGTTGGCCATGCTGGTCCCGAATTCCTGACCTCAGGTGATCCACCCACTTCGGCCTCCCAAAGTGCTGAGATTATAGGTGTGAGCCACCGAGCCCAGCCTGAGAATCACTGTATCCATGACTGCTCAGTACCAAGCAAACCAGTAGTCTGTACACTCAGAGAATCTAAGTGTGTGGCTTCTCACCTCTTTCCCAGGTTCTCATTTTCTCTTGTCCTTTGCTGTCCTTCCATCAGCAATCTCATGACCTGTTCTAGGTAATCTTTTCATTGTCATTCCCCACACCTCCTTTCCCCAGGCCTGAGAAGGATGGGGCAGCCACTGAAGTGGATGCTACCTGCTTCTACCACGCTGACCCCAAAAGCCCTGGGCTGGACAGACAGCAGCTGTACTGGGAGCTGAGCCAGCTGACCCATGGCATCACTGAGCTGGGCCCCTATGCCCTGGACAGGGACAGTCTCTATGTCAATGGTGAGCAGCTGTGATGTGGTTGGAGGCTCTTCCTCTCTGGTGGACAACCTCTACTCTCTGGCTTGAGGTCACACTAACTGCCTGGCCATTGAAGGCTTGACCATGTTGTCTATAATTGATAGTTGACATCAGAACTTCATAGTTTCTTCTTTATGTTGGAGACTGAGTTTACCCTCAGGTCTTTCTTCCCTGATGTGAGGGTCCTGATAGAAAACCTCCAACAGCCCCTGTTCCATTTCACCAAGGTAGACTGACCCCTAATTGGTTATCCACCTCTCCCTTAACCTTACCCAGGTTACTCCCCCTGTCTCTGCAGGTTTCACCCATCGGAGCTCTGTGCCCACCACCAGCAGTGAGTATTCAACCCATAATCTCGTGCCCCTGACCCTACACAAAGCAGAGTAGGAGCTGACCCTCCTCCTTATAAATCCATAACCCCTCTTCTTAAGAGAAGGAGCTGGGAAGGCAGAAGTTATTTATCCTCCCTTCTGCCCCAGCTACAGACTGATCTAGGTCAAGCCCCATATACATCAAGTTCCATAATAGTCTTACCTCCTGGCATTTCTGCCATGAGGGTATTTGCTGGTTTCACTAATGAGAGCTTCCTCTCAGCTCCTGGAACCTCCACAGTGCACCTGGCAACCTCTGGGACTCCATCTTCCCTCCCCAGTCACACAGGTGAGTACCAGTCGATGATACCAGTCAATGGTGAGTGTCTACAGCTCTGTCATTTTCATGTGAATTAAGATGAAAAATCATAGTGTTGCTGATGCAATCAACACACTATATTGAGTACCTACGTGCTCTGTGCCAGGTCTATGGAATACGGCAGGGAATACAAAAGAGATAAAAATATCTTCCCTCAGAGAGCTTATATTCTTGTGATGATGAGAATAATAAGGGTGGCGGCGATGATGATGGTGGACAGAGATGATGATGATGGAGATGACTTTAAAGATGGTGATGGTATGATGATGTTGGTGATAGTGATGATGATTATGGAGATGGTGATGAAGATGATGATGATAATGGTGGTGCTGGTTATAACAGTAATGATGATGTGATGGTGGTGATGTTGGGATGATTGTGGTGATAGTGGCAATGTTTAAGATGATTGTGGTGGTGGTGATGATGGTGATGCTGATTACCAATGATGATTGTGATGTTGACAGTGATGATAATGATGATTGTGATGGTGGTTATCCTGGTAATGATAATATGGTTATGGTGGCAGTGATGATGCTGATTATGATCGCTATGGTAGTGATGGTGATGAGGATGATGGCAGTGGTGGTGCTGATGTTGATAGTAATGAAAGTGATGGCAGCCATGGCGACAACTATGGTTATGTTGACAATGAAGGTGGCAATAACAGAGATAAAAAATAACATCTGACATTATTGAGCACTGAATCTGCACCAAGAGGTATGTTCACCATGTAATTACAATGATATAGTATGCTTCTTTATGAAAAATTTCTATCATTGTAGTCAAAAGAGGCATGAAAATCTTTTATTTTTCATCCACATTGAATGCTGTTTTGCATATTTAATAATCAGTCTATTGCAAACTCTTACCTATTTCTCTACTTTGGAACACAGCATTTATTTCCCGACCCCTTTACAGCCCCTGGCCCTCTCCTGATACCTTTCACTCTCAACTTTACCATTACCAACCTGCATTATGAGGAAAACATGCAACACCCTGGCTCCAGGAAGTTCAACGCCACAGATAGGGTGCTGCAGGGTCTGGTAAGAGCTCCACCACCTTACTAGTCCCACCTGTATCACCCATGCCAGGGCCATGGAAGATCTCGCAGATCTCACCCACCACTCCTTGGCCCCAGAGATGCAAGCCCTGCCTAATGATGCCAGCCCCTCCTACCTCATGTCTGCATGTGCCCCGTCCCTACGCCTCACCCACTCACTCACCTCCCTCCCCTTCTTCCACAGCTCAAGCTCTTGTTTAAGAACACCAGTGTCGGCCCTCTGTACTCTGGTTGCAGACTGACCTTGCTCAGGTGAGACCTTAGAAGAGCCAGTCTGGGTTCCCCAATTGTTCCCAGGCCCAGGGAGTTTGGTCAACTTCCTTCCTGCCCTACCAAGGGATGACCTCAGTACAGATGGAATTCAGGAGGCACTGGCTCCAGAACCAACTTGTCTCCTGATTCTACCACCTCCCCCATCAACTGATAAATTGTGCAGAGTCCATCAGCAGGATTGAGCCTTTACCCTCATCGCCCCTCTAAATTCCCTACACCTCCCTTTCCTCCAGTTAAACTCTGTCCCCAGAATTCCTCTCCAAACAAACATGCCTCATCCACTTGCTTTCACCCCTAATTCCTGTTCTTCCCGTCTCAGGACTGAGCTCTTCTTTCCACATGCTGTGAGAATGCAGGTTCTACCTTGCAGTTTCCTAAACATCCTTGCATCCATGACTCTGCTCACAGTCGCAGGCTGGCAGGGAGTTGAAGCACTCAGAGGATCAAAGTGTGGCTTCTCTTACTTCTGTTCCAGGCTTCTCAATTCCTCTGGCCCCTTCCTATCCTTCGTCTAGTAAGCTCAGGACCCCTCCCTAGGCAATCCATTTATTGCATTTCCCACTCTTGCCCTCCCTAGACCTGAAATGGATGGGGCAGCCACTGGAGTGGATGCCATCTGCTCCCACCGCCTTGATCCCACCGGCCCTGGACTAGACAAAGAGCGGCTATACTGGGAGCTGAGCCAGCTGACCAAGAGCATCACAGAGCTGGGCCCCTACACCTTGGACAGGGACAGTCTCTATGTCAATGGTGAGCAGCCATGATGTGATTAGAGGCTCTTCCTCCTAGCTGGGCAGACTCTACTCTCTGTCCTGAGGTCACATGGCTTGTCTGGCCATTGAAGGTTTAATGATGTGCTCTATATATGATGATCGAGGTTTCAACTTCATGGTTTCGTCTTCATCTCGCATGGATTTCACCCTCAAGGCCTTCTTCCCCCTTGTGAGGGTGCTGGTGAAGAATCTCAATGACCAGGCTTCATGAAATTTTCCTCATTACACCAGGGTAACCCTGACAACTATTTGGTCCAGCCTCTCTTCAACCCTCACCCACTCTCCTCCCTTCCTCTCTCTGCAGGCTTCACCCATCGGAGCTCTGTGCTAACCACCAGCAGTGAGTATTTTTACTGATGTTCCAGTGCTCCCAATCCTACATCAAGCAGGGCAGGAGCTGACCTTGCCTCTTAAGCCCTTATGTCCTCTTCATGAGGGAAAATGCTTGAAGGGCACAGGTTATTCCCTTTCCCCTATGCCCCAGCTCCATGGAGAGGCTCAGCTCAAACCCCATATGCAGCAGGGCCCATCATAGTTATACTTGCTGGCATTTCCACCACAAGAGGGTTTGCTGCTTTCAATAATGATGGTTTCTTCTCAGTTCCTGGGACCTCTGCAGTGTACCTGGGAACCTCTGGGACTCCAGCCTCCCTCCCTGGCCATACAGGTGAGCACCCGTCAATGGCACCTCTGTTAAACCATGCCTGAGCATGCCAACATCTTTGCCATTATTGACTCAAATAAAGACAGAAAGTCATGGTCAATCTTTTTTTTTTTTTTTTTTTTTGAGGCGGAGTTTCACTCTTGTTACCCAGGCTGGAGTGCTATGGCACGATCTCGGCTCACTGCAACCTCCGCCTCCTGGGTTCAGGCAATTCTCCTGCCTCAGGCTCCTGAGTAGCTGGGATTACAGGCATGCACCACCATGCCCAGCTAATTTTTTGTATTTTTAGTAGAGACGGGGTTTCACCATGTTGACCAGGATGGTCTCGATCTGTTGACCTTGTGATCCACCCGCCTCGGCCTCCCAAAGTGCTGGGATTACAGGCTTTAGCCACCGCGCCCGGCTGTCATGGTCAATCTAGTGATGGCGAGTCAACTCACAAACTTTAACGCCCAAGGATATAGCAGGGAACAGAAAAGACATGAAATCTCTGCCTTCAGATAACTGATATTTCTGTGATGGTCATGATTAAGTGGGTGGTAGTGATAATAATGACGATGACAGTGGTGATGGTGATGTTGATGATGATGGTGGAGCTGATGATGGTGGTGGTAATGCCAAGGACAAGAATAATGGTGGTGATGAGGATGATGGTGATGGTGATGATGGTGGTGGAGCTGATGATGGTGGTGGTAATGCCAAGGACAAGAATAATGGTAGTGATGAGGATGATGGTGATGGTGATGATGGTGGTGGAGCTGATGATGGTGGCGGTAATGCCAAGGACAAGAATAATGGTGGTGATGAGGATGATGGTGATGGTGATGATGATGATGGTGGAGCTGATGATGGTGGTGGTAATGCCAAGGACAAGAATAATGGTGGTGATGAGGATGATGGTGATGGTGATGGTGATGATGATGGTGGTGGAGCTGATGATGGTGGTGGTAATGCCAAGGACAAGAATAATGGTGGTGATGAGGATGATGGTGATGGTGATGATGGTGGTGGAGCTGATGATGGTGGTGGTAATGCCAAGGACAAGAATAATGGTGGTGATGAGGATGATGGTGATGGTGATGATATAGGAACAAAGGGAATAGATAATATTTTTGGCAATATTGAGCACTGAATATGCGCCAACAGCTATGCTTAGTATTTATTTACCTACTATTGTGTGCTTTTTACAAAATTCTATCAATATAGGCAAGAGAGATATAAAGAACACTTATTTTGTCATTCACTTTAAATGCTGCATATGTTTAAAAATAAGCCTGTTGCAACATCATATTTTTTCTGCTTTTAACATGGTGTTTACTTCTCAATCCCACTGCAGCCCCTGGCCCTCTCCTGGTGCCGTTCACCCTCAACTTCACCATCACCAACCTGCAGTATGAAGAAGATATGCGTCACCCTGGTTCCAGGAAGTTCAATACCACGGAGAGAGTCCTGCAGGGTCTGGTGAGAGCCCTACCATTTTGCCAGTCCCACCTACATTACCTCTGCCAGGGCCATGGAAGTTCTCACCCACTGCCCCTGGGTCCCAGACATACAAGCCCGGCCTACAGATGCTAGCCCCTCCCACCTTATGTCTGCCCTGCCCCCTACACTTCAATTCTCCCACTCACTGCACCCCCTCCTCTGCAGCTCAAGCCCTTGTTCAAGAGCACCAGCATCGGCCCTCTGTACTCTGGCTGCAGACTGACCTCGCTAAGGTGAGACCTTAGAGGAGCCAGCCTATCATCCCCAGTTGTTCCCAGTCCCAAGAAGTTTGGACAACTTCCTTCCTGCCCTCCCTGGGGATTCCCTCAGCACAGGTGGAATCCAGGAGGCAGTGGCTGCAGGACCAAGGTGTCTCCTGATAGTAACATGTCTCCACTCAACTGTGATACTGCACAGCTCATCAGCAGGATAGGGCCCTACCCTTGTCATCTCTCTAAAGTCCCTCCTTTCCCACCACCTCCCTTTCCTGCAGGTAATAAGCTCTACAACCAGCATTTCTCTCAAACACAGACATGCCTCATCCACTTGCTTTGATCCCCAATTCCAGCTCTTCACCTGTCTCAAGTCTGAGTTCTCTTGTCCCCATGCCCCAAGAATGGAAGATCTGCTTTATAATGTTACAGATATTTTTGTGTCCATGACTCTGCTCACAGATCCAGGCTGGCTCGGAGTTGGTGCACTCACAGAGTCTACATGTAGCCTCTCACCTCTGTACCATTTCCTCTGACCCCTGCCCATCCTTCCCTCAGGAATCTCAGGACCCCTTCCCAGGCAATCCATTTATTGTCACTCCACTCACCTATCCTCCTCAGGCCTGAGAAACATGGGGCAGCCACCAGCGTGGATGCCATATGCACTCACCACCTTGACCCCAAAGACCGTGGACTGGACAGAGAGCAGCTGTACTGGGAGCTGAGCAAACTGACCCATGGCATCACTGAGCTGGGCCCCTACCTCCTGGACAGGGACAGTCTCTATGTCAATGGTGAGTACCTGTGATGTGGTTGGAGGCTTTTCCTTCCTGATGAGCAGCCTCTACTCTCTGACTTAGGTCAAACTTCCTGCCTGACTATTTTGGGCACAGCCATGTTGTCTTTTTGTGATTGCTGACATCTAAACTTCAGTTTCTTCTTCATCTTGCACTGACTATATCTTCAGGGCCTTGTTTCCTGCTGTGAGGGTGGTGATAGAGAATCCCCAATGGCCTTTGTTCCATGAAACTCCTTCCATTGCACCAGGGTACCCTGGCCCTTATTTGGTCACCCACCTCTCCTTTGACTCTTATTCACTATTCTTCCTCTCTCTCTTTCTGCAGGTTTCACCCATTGGAACTCTGTACCCATCACCAGCAGTGAGTATTCAACCGATATTCCAGTGTCCCCAGTCCTACATTAAGCAGGGAAGGAACTGAACCCACTTTATATGCCCTTATATTCTCTTCATGAGCAAAAAAGCTGGGTGGGCACAAGTTATTCCCTTTACCTTGTACCCCAAGGAGAGACCCAGCTCCAACTCCACATGCAGCAAGGCCCATAAATAGTCTTACCTGCTGGCACTTCTGCCATGAGAGTACTTGCTGCTTTCATTGATGAGGTCTTTTCCTCAGCTCCTGGGACCTCCACAGTGCATTTGGGAACCTCTGGAACTCCATCCTCCCTACCTAGACCCACAAGTAAGTACCAGTCAGAGGCACCTCTGTTAGAGCATGACTGATTAGCAGAAACATTTATGCCATTATTTACTCAAATAAAGGTAAAAATCATAGTAAATCTAGTGATGATGAGTCCACCCACAAATGTTATTGAGCGCCTCCTCTGTGCCAGGCCCTGGGGATACCGCAGGTATACAAAACAGGTAAAAATATCTGCTGTCAGAGAGCTTGTATTCTCGTGATGACGACTGGCAGGTGGTGATGATAGTCGTGGTGGTGGTGGTGATGATGGTGATGCTTATGGTGGCGATGACGATGATGAAGGTGGAGAGGATGATGACAATGGTGGGGGTTATGATGGTAATGATGATGATGTTGAGTGTGATAAATGATAGTGCTGGTGGTCATGTTGGAGATTATCAAGGTGGTGGTCATGGCAGTGGTGGTGACAACAGTGATGGTGTGGGTGACAATGATGATGATGATGGTGCTGGTGCTGGTGGTGATGATGGAGATTATCGTGGTGGTGGTGGCAGTGATGATGACAGAAATGGTGGTGATGATTGGGATTATCATGGTGGTGGTGGTGGCAGTGATGATGGTGATGATGGTGGTAGTGATGATGATGGAGACTATCATGGTAGTGCTGATGGTAGTATGATGACGACAGTCATGATGGTGATGATGATGATGATGGTGGTGATGATGGGGATTATCATGGTGGTGGTGGTGGCAGTGAGGATGGTGATGATGGTGGTGATGATGGGGATTATCATGGTGGTGGTGGTGGCAGTGATAATGATGATGATGGTGGTGATGATGGGGATTATCATGGTGGTGGTGGTGGCAGTGAGGATGGTGATGGTGATGATCATGGTGGTGATGGTTGTACTGGTCTTGGTGGTGGCAATGATGATGCCGATAATGATGCTGCAGGTGACAATGATGTTGATTATGATGATGGCAACAAGGTAAGAGATAACGTATGATATTACCGAGCAATGAACATACAATGAAAGCGAGGCTCAGCATCCAACTGATGTGATATAGTATGTTATTTTTAAGTTCTATCATGATAGGCAAGGGAGGCATTGAAAATCTTCATTTTGTCCATCTGTTTAATGCTGTGTATATTTAAAAATAATTCTACTGCAAACCCATAACTTCTGAACATAGTGTTTGTTTCTCACCCCCACTCCAGTGCCTGGACCTCTCCTGGTGCCATTCAACCTCAACTTCACCATCACCAACTTGCAGTATGAGGAGGACATGCGAAGTCCTGGCTCCAGGAAGTTCAGCACCACAGAGAGGGTCCTACAGGGTCTGGTGAGAGTCCAACCCATCTAACTCTGCCTGGCCCACCTTATCAGATTCTGCATGCATCGTCCATGCCAGGGATATAGACGGAGATCCCACATGAATCACCTTCAACCCAGAGACACCAGCCCTACCCACTGGTGTCATCCCCACCTGCCTCATTTCTGCCCTGCCCCTCCTCATCAGCCCTCCCAGTCACCTCCCTCTCCCTCTCCCTCTCCAGCTCAGGCCCTTGTTCAAGAATACCAGTATTGGCCCTCTGTACTCCAACTGCAGACTGACCTTGCTCAGGTGAGATCTTAGAATAACCCATCAGGGCTTCCCCAAGTGTTCCCAGGCCCCAGGAGTTTTTTCAGCATCCTTCTTGCCCTATCTGTGAGTGTCCTCAGAAAGCGGTTTTAGAAAGAACTTGTCTCTTGATCCTAGCACTTCCGCACTCAAGTGGCAGATTCTGCAGAGTCCATCATCAAGATTGGTTTCCTACTCCACTCATCCTTCTCAATAACGTCCATTGCCCATATCCCTTCCTTGTTCCCAAGATTTCCCTCAAGAGAAAGGTGGCTTTTCCACTTGCTTTTATCTCTGACTCTAGCTCTTCACTTGTCTAAAGTCTGAGCTCTCCTGTCTTCATGGTGTCAAACTGCACATTTGTGTCCATGACTCTGCTTCCAGTCCAAGGCTGGCTGGGAGTTGGTGCATTTAGAGAAATTAATTATGGTTTCTCACCTATCTCCCAGGCTTCTCATTTCCTCTGTACCCTCCCTGTCCTTCCCTCAGGAATCTCAGGACCCATTCCTGGGCAATTCTTTCATTGTCATCTCCCACCCCTGCCCCTAACCTCCCCAGGCCAGAGAAGGACAAGGCAGCCACTGGAGTGGATGCCATATGTACCTACCACCTTGACCCCCAAAGCCCTGGACTGGATAGAGAAGAGCTATACTGGGAACTGAGCCGGTTGACCCACAACATCACTGATCTGGGCCCCTACACCCTGGACAGGGACAGTCTCTATGTCAATGGTGAGCAGCTTTGATGGGGTTGAGTCTCTTCCTCCTTGCTGGGTAGCCCTTCCTCTCTGGCTTGAGGTCATACTTCCTGACTGGACATTGAAGCTTCTTCCATGTGATGATTGATGTCAGAACTTCATTATTTTTTTCTGTATCTTGGTCTAAGTTCATTCTCCAGACCCTGGTCTCTGAAGTGAATGTGCTGATAGAGAACCTCTAATGGCTCCTGTTCTATGAAACTCCTATTCCACCAGGGTATCCCTAATTCCTGTTTGGTCCCCTACCTCTCCTTAACCCTTACCCACTATCCTCCTTCCCTCTCTCTGCAGGTTTCACTCATTGGATCTCCATACCAACCACCATCAGTGAGTATTCAACTCATGCTCCAGTATCCCCAATTCTACTCCAAGCAGGGCAGGAGCTGAGCCTTCCCTATAAACAGTTATGTCCTCTTCACGAGAGAAGGTGCTGGGAGAGCACAAGCGATTCTTTCTCCCCATGCCCAAAAAGAAACACAGTTCAAGACCCTCCTGCAGTGAGCCTCCTGCAGTGAGTCCTACCTACTGGCATTTCTGCCATGAGAATCCTTGCTGCTTTCACTGATGAGGGCTTCTCCTTAGCTCCTGGGACCTCCACAGTGCACCTGGGAACCTCTGGGTTACCATCTTCCCTCCCTGAACCTACAGGTAACTATCAGCCAACGGCACCTCCATTAGAGCATCCCTGATGAGTGTAAACATTTCTGCCATGATGCACTTAAATAAAGATAACAATCATAGTAAATCTAGTGATGAGGAGTCTACCTGCAAGCTTTATTGAGCTCCTACTGTGTGCCAGACCCTGGAGATACGGCAGGGAACATAGAAATAGATAGCAGTCTCTGCTTAAGATAGCTTATATTCCTGTGATGATGGTGATGCAGGCGATGGTGATGGCAATGGTGGTGGTGATAATGATCATGATGAAGTTGATGGTGGTGGTGATGATAATTGAGGATGATGACAGTGCTGGGGGTGGTGGTTATGATGGTAATAGCTCTGTGAGGATAGTCATGGTGGTGATTGACAGAAATGATGGTGATGTTGACACTCATGATAATGAAGATGGTGATGATGATGGAGCTGGTGGTGATGGGATGATGAGGATAATGGTGGTGATGACGACAGTAATACTACTGATGGTGACAATCATGGTGATATTGACAGTGATGATGGTGGTGATGATAATGGTGATGGAGGTGATGATTGGGATGATAATCGTTATGGTGGTAATGATGATAATGATGATGGTGGTGGCAGTGGGGTTGGTGCTGATGGTGGTGATGGTGACAGTAATAATACTCATGGAGACAATCACAGTGATGTTGAAAATGAAGGTGGTGTTAACAATGGCAGTAGACGGGATCTGGCACTATGGAACACCATGATCTATGCGTAGCATCTAACTACTATTATTTAATGTGCTCTATCAAAAACATCTATCATGATAGGCAAAGGAGGCATGAAAACCTTTTATTTTATCACTCACTTTGAATCCTGTTACATATGTTTAGAAATAAATCTATTGCAAGCTCTTAAGTATTCTCTATTTTTAAACAGTGTTTATTTCCCACCTTCACTATAGCCGCCAGCCCTCTCTTAGTGCCATTCACACTCAGCTTCACCATCACTAACCTACAGTATGAGGAGAACATGGGTCACGCTGGCTCCAGGAAGTTCAACACCACGGAGAGGGTTCTGCAGGGTCTGGTGAGAGCCCCACCTATCTCACTCTGCCCTACCCACCTTACCTATATCACCTATGTGTCACCACCTATATGGCCATGGAAGTTCTCACCCACCTCCCCTCACCCCCAGAGATAAAAGCCCCACCCAGCCTATTGAGGTCAGCTCTACCAACTGGAGCCAGCCCCACCTACCTCACTTCTGCCCAGCCCCTACTTCCTCAGACCTACCACTCACCTCCCTCTGTCTCCCCCACAGCTCAAGCCCTTGTTCAAGAGCACCAGTGTTGGCCCTGTGTACTCTGGCTGCAGACTGACCTTGCTCAGGTGAGATCTTAGAATTTCCAACCTGGCTGCTCCAATTTTTGTAGTCTCAATGAGTTTGGACTTCTTTTTTGCTGTCCCCTTTGTGGTTATTCTTACCAAAGACGGAATTCAGGAAACAGTGGCTCCAGGACCAAACTGTCTCCTGGTACTAGCCATGCCCCTGCCCCCACTTCCAAACTGACTTAGAGATTCCAGAGTCCATCAGCTGCACTGGACTTGTACTGTGGCCATCCCTTCAAATTTCTGGTCCCCCCCCCCCGACCTCCCTTGACTTTAGGTGTTAAATTCTGTAACCAGGATTTCTCTCCAGACAAACATGCCTCAACCACCTGCTTTCATACCCAATTCCAGCTCTTCACCTATCTCAAGTCTGAGCTCTCCTGTTTCCATGCTGTGAGAATGCAGGATCCACCCTGACATTTTAGGAAAATGATTATGTCCACAATTATGCTTGCTGTCCCAGACCAGCCAGTGCACTCAGAGAACCTAACTGTTCCTTCTCGCCTCTGATTTAGACTTTTTATTTCCTCTGTCCTTCTTATCCTTCACTCTGCCATCTCAAAACTTTTCCTGAAGCAATTCATTTATTGCCATTCTCCTCACTGCCTCTCCCCAGGCCTGAAAAGGATGGAGCAGCCACCAGAGTAGTCACCGTCTGCCACCATCGCCCTGACCCCAAAAGCCCTGGGCTAGACAGAGAGCAGCTGTACTGGGAGCTGAGCCAGTTGACCCACAGCATCACTGAGCTGGGCCCCTACACCCTGGACAGGAATAGTCTCTATGTCAATGGTGAGCAGCTGTGATGTGATGAGAGTCTTTTTCTCCTGGCTGGGCAGCCTCTACTCTCTGGCTTGAGGTTTCATGCCCTGCCTGGACATTGAAGGCTAGGACATGTCTGTATGGGGTGATTGATGTCAGAATGTCATGATTTCTTCTTTATCTTGAACTGATTTCATCCTTAGTACCTTCTCCCCTTATACATAGATCCTGACAGAGCATCTCCAAAGGCCCCTGTTGCATGAAACTCCTTTCATTCCACCTGGGTGACCTTGACTTTTGTTTGATCCCCCACCTCTTCCTTGACTCTTATCGACTCTCCTCCCTTCCTCTCATGCAGGATTCACCCATCGGAGCCCTGTGCCCACCACCAGCAGTGAGTATTCTACTGATGTTTCAGTGGTCCCAATCCTACACCAAGTTTAGCAGGAGCTATCCCCTATTCATAATCCCTTATGTCCTTTTCATAAGGGAAAGAACATAGAGGGCACAAATTACTCCCTTCCCCACTGCCTCAGCTAACCAGAGTCCCAGCTGAATCCCTACATGCAAAGTCCCCATGAATAGTCCCACTTGCTGCCATTACTTCCAGGAGAGTGCTTGCTGCTTTCACTAATGAGGGCTTCTCCTCAGCTCCTGGGACCTTCACAGTACAGCTGGAAACCTCTGGGACTCCATCATCCCTCCCTGGTCCCACAGGTAAGTACCTCCATGGCAACTCTGTTAGAGCATGGTTGGTAAGTGCAAACACCTCTGCCATTATTCACTCAAAGATGGAAATTCACAGTAAATCTAGCAATGATAAGTCAACCAACCAATTTCATTGAGCACTGCCTCTGTATCAGAACCTGGATATATGTCAGGGAACAAAAAAAAGGAAAAAAGGAAAAAGCACTACCCTCAGTGAGCTTATATTATTGTGATGATGATGATGGGGGATGGTGATGATGATGGTGGTGGTGATGATGGTAAGGATAATGTAATGGTTGTGATGATGATGGTTATGGTGGTGGTAATCATGGGAAAAATGATGGTTGTGGTGATGGTGGGATGATGGTGGTGGGGTGGGGATTACAGTTGGCAATAATTATGGGTATGTTGGCAATAATGATAATTACAATTATGCTGATGGCGGTTGTGTTGGTTGTGGTGATGATGTTGGAGTGGTGATGATGATGGTTGTTCGGATGATGACAGCAGTGTTGCTGGTTATGATGGTAGTGATGATGTGATTGTGGTGATGATGTTTGTGGTGGTGTTCATGCTGATTATGACACTGGCGATGGTGGTGTTACTGAGGATGACAATAATGATGGCAATGGTGATTATGATGACAATGATCATGATGATTATTCAGATGACAGTGACGGTGATTATGTTGGTAATGATATGACAATAATGATGATGATGTTTGTGGTAGTGTTGATGGGGATTATCATGGTGGTGATGGTGGCAGTGCTGATGGTGACAATAATGGTGATAATGATGGTGATGAAGATAATGGTGATTACAGAGGTAACAGGTATTATCTGAGATTTTTCAGCACTGAATATGCACCAAAAGCTGGGCTCAGAATCTAACCAGTATTATTTACTATGCCTTAAAAAATAATTTCTAACAAGAAGGGCACAGAAAACTTTTATTTTGTCATGCATTTCAAATTCTGTTGCATATGATTAAAAACAAATCTATTGCAAACTCTTCAAGTCTCTTGCAAAAGTAGAGAATCTTGAAGAGTTTGCAGTAGACTTGTTTTTAATCATATGCAACAGATTAAAAATACAAACAAATATAATAGGGTTTGTTTCCCACCTTTGCTACAGCCACCGGCCCCCTACTGCTGCCATTTACCCTCAATTTTACCATCACTAACCTACAGTATGAGGAAGACATGCATCACCCTGGCTCCAGGAAGTTCAACACCACGGAGAGGGTCCTTCAGGGTCTGGTGAGAGCCCTGCCCACCTTACCCTGCCCTGCCCACCTTACCTGGTCCCAGCAATGTCACCCATCCCAGGGCCATGGAAGAGAATCTTATTCACCTTCCCCAGAGACACAAGCCCTGCCCACTGGTGCCAGCTGCACCTGCCACACTTGTGTCCCACCACTATGCCCCCAGTCCTCCTAGTCACCTCCCTCTCCCTCTTCCACAGCTCATGCCCTTGTTCAAGAACACCAGCGTCGGCCCTCTGTACTCTGGCTGCAGACTGGCCTTACTCAGGTGAGACCTTGTAAAAGGCAACCTGGCTGCCCCAGTTGTTCCCAGTCTCAAAGAGTTTGGATGTTTTGTTTTTTCTTGCCATCCTTGTGAATGTTCTCACAACAGATGGAATTCAGGAGGCAGTGGCCTCAAAACTAATCTGTCTCCTGATATCACTCCCAATCAAGTGAGAGATTCTGCAGAGACCATCAGCAGAACTGGGCTTCAACCTTGGTCCTCCCTCCTAATTCCCTCCTTTCCCCTCACCTCCCTTTCCTCCAGTTGTTAAATTCTGTGCTCAGGATTTCTCTTAAGACAAACATGGCTCATCCATTTGCTTTCATCCCCAATTCCAGCTCTTCATCCGTCTCATGTCTGAGTGCCATATATAGTCATAGGCATCATTTCGATTTGAGCTGGGGTTTATTTAGGATAGGTAAAAGGAGGTATGTTATGGAGTCAGGGATGGGATACTGGTAACTGGCAAAAGTGAGCTTTTTTCTTGTCTCCATGCCATGAGAATGCAGGCTTCACCTTGCAATTTTATGAAAGTTTTGCATCTATGACATGGCTCACAGTCCTGGGCTGGCTGGCAGCCAGGACATTCAGAGAATCTAAATGTGATTACCTTTATCATGCTTTACCTTTATCAATCTAAACTTCTTACCTTTCTCATGCTTCTGGCCCCTTCCTGTCTGGCCCCAAGAAATCTCAGAACTCCTCCTGAGGCAATTTTTAAATTGTTATTCACTTCATCTACACTCCCCAGGCCTGAGAAGGATGCAGCAGCTACCAGAGTGGATGCTGTCTGCACCCATCGTCCTGATCCCAAAAACCCTGAGCTGGACAGACAGCAGCTGTACTGGGAGCTGAGCCAGCTGACCCAGAGCATCACTGAGCTGGGCCCCTACACCCTGGACAAGAGCAGTCTCTATGTCAATGGTGAGCAACTTGAATGTGGCTGGAGTCTCTTCCTCCTTGCTGGGCAGCCTCCACTCTGGCCTGAGGTCACACTCCCTGCCTGGCTACTGAAGGCTCAGCCATGTTGTCTGTATGTGGTGGATAAGGTCAAAACTTCATGGTTTCTTCTTTATCTCAAACTGAGTTTACCCTCAGGACCTGCTTTCTAAATCTGAGGGTGCTGATAGGGAATCTTCAATGGCCTGTGTTGTGGGAAACTCCTTCCATTGCACCTGGGTGATCCACCATTCCCTTAACACTTACCCACTCTTCTCTCTTCATCTCAATGCAGGTTTCACCCATCGCAGTTCCATGGTGACCACCAGAAGTGAGTATTAACGGATGATGCAGTACTCCTGATCCTATGCCACACAGGGCAGGAGCTTACCTCTCCTTCTGTGCCCCTATATCCTCTTCATGAGGGAAGGAATGGAGAGAGCACAAGTTATTCCCTTTTCCCTCTGGCCTAGCTCCAGCTGGAGATCCCACTCAAGCCCCACATCCAGCAAGGCCCGTAAATATTCCTACCTGCTGGTGTTTCTGCCATGAGAGTGTTTGCTACTTTCACTAATACAGCAAACCTTCTCCTCAGCTCCTGAGACCTCCACAGTGCACCTGAGAACCTCTAGAACTCCAGCCTCCCTGTCTGGACCTACGGGTGAGCACCATTCAGTGGCATCTCTATTACGGCATGCCTGAGGAATGTCAACATCTCTGCCATTTTCACTCAAATAAAGATAAAAAGTCCTAGTGAATCTAGTGATGATAACTCAACCAACAAATTTTATTGAGCACCTGGCTTCTTCAGGGCGCTAGGGATAAGGCAGGGAGCACAAAGGAAATAAAAATCTCTGACCCCAGGAAGGTTATATTATCGTGATGATGGTGGTGATGATGATGGTGATAATGATGATGATGTTAGGGGTGGTGGTGATGATGGTGGTGCACATGGCAATAATGATGGTGTTGCTGGTGATGTTGGTGATGATGATGGTGATGATGGTGGTGGTGGTGGTAGTGATTTTGATGGTGATGACGATGGTGGTGATTATGGGAAGGATGATAGTGGTGGTGGTGATGTGATGGTTCTGGTGGTAATTGACAATGTGATCGTGATGTTGACAATGAGGATGATGATGGTGATGATGATGATGGTGGTGGTGGTGTTAATGGTGGTTTTGATGGTAAGAATGATATAATGATGGTGTTAGTAACCATGTGCTAGTGGTGATTATATGGATGATGATGGTTGTGGCGGTGCTGTGATGATGATGATGGGGTGGAGATGATAGGGATTATGATGGTCATGGTTTTGTGCTGATGCTGGTGGTGATGACAATAATAATGGTGATGGTCACAGTGTTGCTGATGATCATGGTGTTGACAAAGGTAGTAGATAATGTCTAGGGGTGTGGAAAACTGAACATGCACCAGGAGCTGTGCTCAGCATCTAGCTCCTATTATTTAGCATGCTCTATGAAAACTATCTATCGTTATGGTCAAGGGAGGCATGAAAACCTTTTATGACTTTAAATACACATGTTTAGAAATAATTCTATCACAAATTCTTCAATGTTAGTCCACTTTTGAACACAGTATTTATTTTCCACCTTCACTGTAGCCGCCAGCCCTCTCCTGGTGCTATTCACAATTAACTTCACCATCACTAACCTGCAGTATGAGGAGAACATGCATCACCCTGGCTCTAGAAAGTTTAACACCACGGACAGAGTCCTTCAGGGTCTGGTATGAGCCCCACCTACTTCATTCTACCTGCTCACCTTGTTTAGTACTGTCCACCTCACCTACGGAAGGTGGGAAGGCATGGAAGATCTCACCTACCTCATCTTGCCCCCAGATATGCATGCCCCAACCACTGATGCCAGCCCCACCAACTGTTGCCAGCCATGCCCACCTCCCTTCTACCATACCTCTATGACCCACTCTCCCCTCTCTCCTCCACAGCTCAGGCCCTTGTTCAAGAACACCAGTGTTGGCCCTCTGTACTCTGGCTGCAGACTGACCTTGCTCAGGTGAGAACTGAGAACAGCCAGTCTGACTGCTCTTAGAAGTTTGACCTGTTTCCTTTCTGCACTCCCTGGAGATGTCCACAGCACAGGTGAAATCTAGGGGGCAGTGGCTCCAAGACCAACATGCTTCCTGATCCTACCACCTCTCCCCTCATCTGAGAGATTCTACAGAGCCCATCAGCAGGACTGGGCTTCTACCTTGGTCATCCCTCTGAATTCCCTCCTTTCTCCTACCTGCCTTTCCACCAGTTGTTAAATTCTCTTCCCAAAATTTCTCCCAAGAAAAGCACACCTCATCCGCTTGTTTTCATCCCCAATCCCAGCTCTTCACCTGTCTCAAGTATGAGTTCTCCTGATCCCATGTTACAAGAATGCAGTTTCCACTTTGCAATTTTATAAAAATCCTTGCATCCATGATTCTGCATATAGTTGCAGGCTGGCTGAGAGTCAGTGCACTCAGAGAGTGGAAGTCTGGCTTCTCCCTTCTGTATCAGGCTTCTCATTTCTTCTGGACCCTTCCTGTCTTGCCTCCTGGGATTTCAGGACCCCTCCCTTGGCAATCCATGTATTGTCTTTCCCCAATCTTGCCCTCCCCAGGCCCGAGAAGAATGGTGCAGCCACCAGAGTGGATGCCATCTGCACCTACCGCTCTGACCCTAAAAACTCCGGGCTGGACAGAGAGCAGTTATACTGGGAGCTGAGCCAGCTGACCCAGAGCATCACTAAGCTGGGCCCCTACACCCTGGGCAGGAACAGTCTCTATGTCAATGGTGAGTTGCTTTGGTGTGGCTGGAGTCTCTTCCTCCTTGCTGAGCAGCATCTACTCTCTGCCTTAAGGTCACACTCCCTGCCTGGCTATTGAATACTCGGCCACATTGTCTGTTTGTGATGGCTGAGGTTGGAACTTCATGGTTTCTTTTTCATCTTGGACTGAGTTCATCCTCAGGATCCACTTTCTAGATCTGAGGGTGCTGATAGAGAATCTTCAGTGACTTGTGTTCTAGGAAATTCCTTCCATTGCACCAGAGTACTCTGACCCCTATATAGTTCCCCACCACTCCCTTAATCCTTACCCACTCTCCTCCCTCCCTCTCTACACAGGTTTCACACAGTGGAGCTCCGTGCCCAGCACCAGCAGTGAGTATTCCACTGATGTTCCAGTGCTCCTGTTCCTGCACCATGCAGTGCAAGAGCTGACCCTTTGTCACCTGCCCCTATGTCCTCTATGAGCAAAGGAGCTGGGATAGCACAAGTTACTCCCTTTCCCTTATGGCCCAAGTCTCTTCAGAGAGAGACCCAGCTTAAGCCCCACATGCAGCAAGGACCATACATACTCTGATCTGCTGGCATTTCTGCCATGAGAGGATCTGATGCTTTCACTAATGAGGCCCTCTCCTCAGCTCCTGGGACCTCCTCAGTGGACCTGGGAATGTCTGAGACTTCAGCTTCTCAACCTGGTCCCCCGGGTAAGTACAAATCAATTGCATCTCTGTTAGAGCATGCCTGATGAATGTCAACGTCTCAGCCATTAGAGTTAGATAAGGAGTCATCTAACAAACTTAATTGAGTGCTTAGTTTCTGCAGGGCTCTAGGGATTAGGCAGGAACACAAAAGAGATAAAAATCTCACTGCAAGAAAGCTTATTTTATTGTGAGGGTGATGGGGGTTGTTGGTGATGAGGTTACTGGAGATGATGATAATACACTAGTGATGATGATGGTGATAAGGATGATAATTATGAAGATGGTGATGGTGATGATGATAGTGGAGGGGATGATGATGGAGGGGATGATGATGATGGAGGGGATGATGATGTTGGAGGGCATGATGATGATGGAGGGGATGATGATGATGGAGGGGATGATGATGTTGGAGGGCATGATGATGATGGAGGGGATGATGATGGAGGGGATGATGATGATGGAGGGGATGATGATGATGGAGGGGATGATGATGATGGAGGGGATGATGATGATGAAGGGGATAATGATGATGGAGGGGATGATGATGTTGGAGGGCATGATGATGATGGAGGGGATGATGATGGAGGGGATGATGATGATGGAGGGGATGATGATGTTGGAGGGGATGATGATGATGGAGGGGATGATGATGATGGAGGGGATGATGATGATGGAGGGGATGATGGTGATGGAGGGGATGATGGTGATGGAGGGGATGATGATGGAGAGGATGATGATGGAGGGGATGATGATGATGGAGGGGATGATGGTGATGGAGGGGATGATGATGATGGAGGGGATGATGATGGAGGGGATGATGATGATGGAGGGGATGATGATGGAGGGTATGATGATGATGGAGGGGATGATGATGATGGAGGGGATGATGGTGATGGAGGGTATGATGATGATGGAGGGGATGATGATGGAGGGGATGATGATGATGGAGGGGATGATGATGGAGGGGATGATGATGATGGAGGGGATGATGATGATGGAGGGGATGATGATGATGGAGGGGTCATTATGACCATGGTTTTTTTGGGCATAATTTTGGTGTTGATGTGGGTGGTGCTGATGCTGGTGGTGATGACAATAGTAATAGTGAGGGTCACCGTGTTCATGATATTGATGACGACAATGGAGATAGCAAAGGTAATGTTTAGTATTACAGAACTCTGTATATCCAACAAAAGGTATGTGAAATACTACTATTATTTAGGAGGCTCTGTTAGAAACTTCTATCATTATAGTCAAGAGACATGGAAACTTTTTATTTTACTCTCTCTTTAAATCCTATTGCATATGTTTAGAAATACTCCTTTTGGAAACATATAATGTTCTCTACTTTTGAACACATTGTTTCTTTACCACCTCCACTACAGCTGCCAGCCCTCTCCTGGTGCTGTTCACTCTCAACTTCACCATCACCAACCTGCGGTATGAGGAGAACATGCAGCCCCCTGGCTCCAGGAAGTTCAACACCACGGAGAGGGTCCTTCGGGGCCTGGTAAGAGCCCCGCCTGTCTCACTCTCCCCCGATGACCTGGTCTGGTCCCACCTATCTCACTCATAACAGGGCATAAAACAAGATCTCACCCACCTCCCCTCAAACCCAGAGACATGAGCCTTCATCCACTGACACCAGGCCCGCCTACTGGTGCCAGCCCAATTAAACTACACTGCCCTTACCCACTCAGCCCTCCTACTCACCTCCCTCTCCTTCCCCCACAGCTCAGGCCCCTGTTCAAGAGCACCAGTGTTGGCCCTCTGTACTCTGGCTGCAGACTGACCTTGCTCAGGTGAGACTTTAGAATAGCCAGCCTGCCTGCCCCAATTGTTCCCAGTCTCCATGAGTTTGCACTTCTTTTTCCTGCCCTATCTGTGGTTATTCTTATCAAAGATGGAACTCAAGAAACAGTGGTTCCAAGACTAACCTTTCTCCCAGTATTACCACTGCCCCATGCCACCCACCCAAATCAATTGAGAGATTCTTCAGGGTCCATCAGCAGGATTGGACTCCCACCCTGGCCATCCCTCTGAATTCCCTCTTTTCTCTCTGACTCTCCCAAGCCTTTAGGTGTTAAATTCTCTAACTAGGATTTCTCTCAAGACAAACATGCCTCATTAATTTGTTTAATTCCCAATTCCAACTCTTCACCTGTCTCAAGTCTAAGCTCTCCCGTCCCCATGCCATGAGAATGCAAGAGCCATACTGCATTGTTAGAAAAATTATTGTATCCACAAGTATGCTCACCATCCCAAGCTGGACAGTAGTCAGTGCACTCAGAGAATCTAAGTGTGGCTTCTCATCTGTGTATCAGGCCTCTCATTTCCTCTGGCCCCTTCCTGTCTTTCACCCAGAAATCTTGGGACTCCTCCCTTATTGTTATTCCCCTCACCTGCCTTCTCCAGGCCTGAGAAGGGTGGGGAAGCCACTGGAGTGGATGCCATCTGCACCCACCGCCCTGACCCCAAAAGCCCTGGGCTGGACAGAGAGCAGCTGTACTGGGAGCTGAGCCAGCTGACCCACGGCATCACTGAGCTGGGCCCCTACACCCTGGACAGGGACAGCCTCTTTGTCAATGGTGAGCAGCTGTGATGTGGTTGGAGTCTCTTCCTCCTTGCTGTGCAGCCTCTCCTCTCTGTCTTGAAGTCACACTCCCTGCCTGGCCGTTGAAGGCTTGGCCACGTTGTCTGCATTTGGCAATTGATCTGAACTTCATGGTTTCTTCTTCATCTGGCACTGAAGACCTGCATCCTCAGGACCTTCTTCCCTGATCTGAGGGTTCTGAAGGAGAATCTCTAAAGCCCATGTTCCCTGAACTCCTTCCATTCCACCAGGGTAGCCCTGACCCCTTGTTGGTCCCCTACCTCTCCTTTAATCCTCACCCACTCTCCTCCCTCCCTTTCTATGCAGGTTTCACCCATCGGAGTTCTGTGCCCACCACCAGCAGTGAGTATTCCACTGATGTTCCAGTGGCCCCAACCCTACACCAATCCTGGCAGGAGCTTACCCCTTATCTTATTCCCCTACGTCCTCTTCATGAGCAAAGGAGCTAGGAGAGCACAAGTTATTCCCTTTCCCCTCTGGCCCAAGTCTCTTCAGAGAGAAACCCAACTCAAGCCCCACATCCAGCAAGGTCTGTAAATTCTCCTACCTGCTGGCATTTCTGCCATGAGAGAGTTTGCTGTTTTCACTAATGAGGTCCTCTTCTCAGCTCCTGGGATGTCCACAGTGGACCTGGGAACATCCAGGACTCCAGCTTCTATATCTGTTCCCTCAGGTAAGTACCAGTCAATCACATCTCGTTTAGAGCATACCTGATTAATGTCAACATCTCTGCCATTTTCACTCAAATAAAGAGGAAATGTCCTAGTGAATCTAGTGAGGATGAGTCAACCAATAACTTTTATTTAGCACCTAGTTTCTGCAGGGTTCTGGGAATAAGGCAGGGAACACACAAAAGATAAAAATCTCTGCTCCAGAGAGCTTATTTTATTGTGAGTGTGATGGGATTGTTGGTGGTGAGGTTGCTGGAGATAATGATGATAATGATGGTGATGAAGACGATAATTATGAAGGTGGTGGTGATGATGATGGTGTTGATGGTGATTATGGGAAGAATGATACTGGTGTGGCGATGGTGGTTGTGGTAGTGATTGACAGTAGTGATGGTGATGCTGACAATGATGGGGGTGGTGTTATAATGTTAGTGATGACATGATAATGATGTTGGTGATTATAGTGCTGGTGGCGATGATGTAAATGATGCTTGTTTTGGTGATGGTGATGATGATGGGGTGGAGATGATAGGGATTAAGATGGTTATGGTTTTGGTGCTGATGCTGGTGGTGATGACAATAATAGTGAGGGTGACAATGTTGGTGATATTGATGAGGACAAAGGCAATAGATAATACTTAGTCTTACAGAACACTGAATATGCACCAAGACCTATGCTCAGCATCCAACTGCTATTAGGATCTGTTAGAAGTGTCTATCATTATAGTTGAGGGAAGCATGGAAACGTTTTATTTTATTCTCTCTTTAAATCATGTTGCATATGTTTGGAACTAAGTCTTTCGGAAACTTATAATGTTCCCCATTTTTTTTTAAATGGAGTATCGCTCTTGTTACCCAAGCTGGAGTGCGATGGCGTGATCTCGGCTCACTGCAACTTCTGCCTCCCGGGTTCAAGCAATTCTCCTGCCTCAGCCTCCCGAGTAGCTGGGACTACAGGCGCGCACCACCATGCCCAGCTAATTTTTGTATTTTTAGTAGAGACGGAGTTTCACCATCTTGATCAGGATGGTCTCGATCTCTTGACCTTGTGATCCACCCACCTCGGCCTCCCAAAGTGCTGGGATTACAGACGTGAGCCACCGCGCCCGGTCAATGTTTCCTATTTTTGAACAGATTATTTTCCACCCCCCACTACAGCTGCCAGCCCTCTCCTGGTGCCGTTCACTCTCAACTTCACCATCACCAACCTCCGGTATGAGGAGAACATGCAGCACCCTGGCTCCAGGAAGTTCAACACCACAGAGAGGGTCCTTCAGGGCCTGGTAAGAGCCTCACCTGTCTCACTCTGTCCAGTTCACCTTGTCTCATCCCAGCTATCTCAATCATAACAGGGCATGAAACAAGATCTCACCCACCTCCCCTCAGTCCCAGAGACCCAAGGCTGCCTCCACCGATGACACGCCCACCTGCTGGTGCCAGCCTCAATGACTAGTCCCCTGCCCGTACCCCATCAGCCCTCCTACTCACCTCCCTCTCCTTCCCCCACAGCTCAGGCCCCTGTTCAAGAGCACCAGTGCTGGCCCTCTGTACTCTGGCTGCAGACTGATCTTACTCAGGTGAGAACTTAGAATAGCCAGCCTGGCCACCCCAGTTGTTCCCAGTCTCCATGAGTTTGGACTTCTTTTTTCCTGCCCTCTCTGTGTTTATTCTCACCAAAGATGGAATTCAGGAAACAGTGGCTCCGAAACTAACCTGTCTCCTGATATTAGCACTGCCCCCTGCAGCCCCACCCAAATCGACTGAGAGTTTCCACAGGGTCTGTCAGCAAGACTGGACTCCTGCCCTGGCCATCCCTCTGAATTCCCTTTTCTCCCTGATTCTCCCAAGCCTTTAGGTGTTAAATTCTCTAACTAGGATTTCTCTCAAGACAAACATGCCTCATTCATTTGTTTAATTCCCAATTCCAACTTTTCACCTGCCTCAAGTCTAAGCTCTCCTGTCCCCATGCCATGAGAATGCAAGAGCCATACTGCATTGTTAGAAAAATTATTGTATCCACAAGTATGCTCACCATCCCAAGCTGGACAGTAGTCAATGCACTCAGAGAATCTAAGTGTGGCTTCTCATCTGTATATCAGGCCTCTCATTTCCTCTGGCCCCTTACTGTCTTTCACCCAGAAATCTTGGGACTCCTCCCTTATTGTTATTCCCCTCACCTGCCTTCTCCAGGCCTGAGAAGGATGGGAAAGCCACTGGAGTGGACGCAATCTGCACCCACCGCCCTGACCCCAAAAGCCCTGGGCTGGACAGAGAGCAGCTGTACTGGGAGCTGAGCCAGCTGACCCACAGCATCACTGAGCTGGGCCCCTACACCCTGGACAGGGACAGCCTCTTTGTCAATGGTGAGCAGCTGTGATGTGGCTGGAGTCTTTTCCTCCTTGCTGGGCAGCCTCTCCTCTCTGTCTTGTGGTCACACTCCCTGCCTGGCCATTGAAGGCTTGGCCACGTTGTCTGCATTTGACGACTGATCTGAACTTCATGGTTTCTTCTTCATCTGGCACTGAAGACCTGTATCCTCAGGACCTTCTTCCATGATCTGAGGGTGCTGATAGAGAATCCCCAAAGCCCATGTTCCCTGAAACTCCTTCGATTTCACCAGGATAACCCTGACCCCTTTTGGCCCCCCACCTCTCCTCTAACCCTTACCCATTCTCCTCCTTTCCTCTCTATGCAGGTTTCACCCATCGGAGTTCTGTGCCTACCACCAGCAGTGAGTATTCTACTAACCTTCCAGTGGCCCCAATACTACTACAAGCAGGGCAGGAGCTGACCCCCTTCCCCTATGCCCCTATATCTTCTTCATGAGGGAAGGGTCGGAGAGGGCACAAGTTATTCCCTTTCCTTCTGGCCCAGCTCCAGAGAGATATTCATCTCAAGCTCCACATGTAAAAATACTTCTATTTGCTGGCATTTCTGCTGGCATTGCTGCTTTAACTAATGAAGCTTCTCCTCAGCTCCTGGGACCCCCACAGTGGATCTGGGAACGTCTAGGACTCCAGCCTCGATACTTGGCCCTTCAGGTAAGTACCAGTTAATGGTACCTCTAGTAGAGTATCCATGATGAGTGTCAACATCTCTGTCCTTTTCACGCAAATAAAGATTAAAAATCATATCAAATCTACTGATGATGAGTCACCCTACAAACTTTTTTGAGCACCCACACTCTGCCAGGCCCTAGGAATAAGGCAGGGAACACAAAAGAGGTAAAAATCTCTGCCCTCAGAGAGCTTATTGTATTTTGAGGATGATGTGGGATAGTGGTGGTGATGATGTTGCTGGAGATGATTGCAATAATGATGGTGATGCTGATGACCATAATGTGATGATGATGCTGATTAGGAAGATGATATTGATGATGGTAGAGGTTTTGACAGTAATGACAATGGAATGATGATGATGATGATAGTGGTGGTGATTATGGGAAAGATGACAGTGGTGGTGGTGGTGGTGATGGTTGTGGTGGTGATTGACAGTGTGATGGTGATGTTGGCAATGAGGATGATAACAATAGTGGTGGTCGCCATGGTTATGAAGGTTAAGAATGATGTGATCATGGTGTTGGTGAACATGGTGCTAGTGGTGTGATGTGGATCATGATGGTTGTGGTGGTAGTGGTGGTGCTGGTGGTGATGGCGGCAGTGGTGGTGGTAGTGATGATGGTGGTGGTGGTGATGGCTGTGATGGTAAGGATGAAACAATGGTGGTGATGATGCAGGTGATGATGTGGATGATGATGGTGGTGGTGTTGGTAGTCATGTTGATGATGGTGGTGGTGATGGTGATGATGGTGATGGTGGTGGTGATGATGGTGGTGGTAATGATGGTGATGATGATGATGGTGATGGTGATGATGGTGGTGGTGGTGGTGGTGGTGATGATGGTGGTGATGGTGGTGGTGATGATGGTGGTGGTAATGATGGTGATGATGATGATGGTGATGGTGATGATGATGATGGTGGTGGTGGTGGTGGTGATGATGATGATGGTGATGGTGATGATGATGGTGGTGGTGATGGTGATGATGGTGGTGATGGTGGTGGTGATGATGGTGGTGGTAATGATGATGATGGTGATGGTGATGATGATGGTGGTGGTGGTGGTGATGGTGATGATGATAATGGTGGCGGTGGTGATCGTGATGATGATGGTGCTGGTGGTGTTGGTGATAATGATGAAGATGGTGATGGTGGTAGTGATGGTTATGATGGTAAACATGAAACAGTGGTGGTGATGGTGCAGGTGATGATGTGGATGATGATGGTGATGGTGGTGGGGATGATAGGGATTATGATGATCATGGTTTTGGTCCAGATAGTGATGGTGATGGCAATAATGAAAGTGATGACCACAGTGTTGGTGATGATAATGATGGTGGTGATAAAAAAGGCAATAGATAGTATCTAGTATTATGGAACAACACTGAAGATGTACCAAAGGTTATGCTCAGCATCTATTATTATTTAGCATATTCTATGAAAAACTTTGATCATTATGGTCAAGGGAGGCATGAAAACCTTCTATTTTATAACTCTCTTTAAATCCACTTGCATATGTTTAGAAATAAGTCCATTACAAACTCTTAAGCATTCTCTACTTTTGAACATAGTGTGAATTTCCTTCCTCCACTACAGCTGCCAGCCATCTCCCAATACCATTCACCCTCAATTTCACCATCACTAACCTGCGGTATGAGGAGAACATGTGGCCTGGCTCCAGGAAATTCAACACTACAGAGAGGGTCCTTCAGGGTCTGGTGAGAGCCCTGCCCACCTCACTCTCCCCTGCTCATCTTGTCTAGTTCCACCTACGTCACCCATGCCCAGGCATGGAAAATCTCACCCACCTCCCCACACTCAAGACCTGCAAGCCCCGCCTCCTGATTACAGCCCCTCCCACCTTACATCTTCCTTGCCTCTACATCCTCAGCCATCCTACTCACCTCCCTCTTCCTCCTCCACAGCTAAGGCCCTTGTTCAAGTACACCAGTGTTGGCCCTCTGTACTCTGGCTGCAGACTGACCTTGCTCAGGTGAGAGCTGATAATAACCAGTCTGGCTGCCCCAAGTATTCCCAGGCCCAAGGAGTTTGTCAGCTTTCTTCCTGCCCTCCCTAGGAAAGTCCTCAGCACAAGTGGAATTCAGGCGGTGGTGGCTCCAGGACCAACATGTCTCCTGGTCCTACCACCTCCCCCATCAACTGAGAGGACTTGCAGGGCCCATCAGCCAGATGGGACTTCTCCCTTGGTCATCCCTCTGAATTTCTTACTTCTCCCCACCTCCCTCTCCTTCAGGTGTTAAATTCTCTTCCAAAATTTCTCTCAAGGCAAACATGCCCCGTCCACTTGCTTTCATCCCCAATTCCAGCTCTAATGTTTCTCAAGTCTGGGCTCACCTGTCTCCATGCCATGAGAATGCAATTTTATAAAATTCTTGTATTCCTGACTCTACTCATATTCCCAGATTGCCTCGAAGTTGGTGCATTCAGAGAATCTTAGTGTGGCTTCTCACCTGTCTACCAAGATTCTCATCTCCTCTGTCCCCTTCCTGTCCTGCCCGCAGGAATCTCAGAATGCCTCCCTGTAGGAAATCTATTTAATGGCATTCCCTTCCCCCCCAACACAGGTCTGAGAAGGATGGGGAAGCCACCAGAGTGGATGCCATCTGCACCCATCGCCCTGACCCCACAGGCCCTGGGCTGGACAGAGAGCAGCTGTATTTGGAGCTGAGCCAGCTGACCCATGGCTTCACTGAGCTAGGCCCCTACACCCTGAACAGGGACAGTCTCTATGTCAATGGTGAGCAGCTGTGATGTGGTTGGAGGTTCTTCTTTGCTGGGCAGCTCTCACCCTCTAACTTGAGGTCACATTCCCTGACCGGCCATTGAAGTCTTGTATGTTGTCTGTGTGTGATGACTGATGTCTGAACTTCAATTTCTTTTTCATCTTGGACTGAGTTCATCCTCGGTACCTTCTTCCCTGATCTAAGGCTGCTGACAGAGAGTCTTCAAAGGTCCCTGTTCCTTGAAACTCCTTCCATTCCACTAGGGTATTTGTGACCCCCATTTGATCACCCACCACCCCTTAACCCTTATGCACTCTTCTCCTTCCCTCTCTATCCAGGTTTCACCCATCGGAGCTCTGTGCCCACCACCAGCAGTGAGTATTCAATGGTGCTTCAGTGGCCCCAATTCTATGCCAAACAGGGCAGGAGCTGACCCCTCCTCCTACGCCTCTATGTCCTCTTCATGGGGGAAGGAGCTGAGAAGGCACAAGTTGTTTCCTTTTCCTTTCTGGCCAGCTCCAGAGAGAGACTCAGCTCAAGCCCCATATGCAGCAATGCCTGTAAATAGTTTTATTTGCTGACCTTTCTGCCATGAGAGGTTTGGTTGCTTCTACTGAAGAGGCCTTCTCCATAGCTCTTGGGACCACAGTGGACCTGGAAAACTCTGGGGCTCCCTCCCTTCTACTGGTCCCTTGAATAAGTACCAGCCAATGGCACCTCTGTTAGATCATGGCTGATGAATGTAAACATCTCTTCCATTATTCACCCAAATAAAGATGGAAATTCTCTGTAAATCTAGTGATGATGAGCCAACCAATAAACTTTATTGAGCACTGTCCCAAGCCCTGGGGCTCTGTACCAAATCCTGGGGTTATGGCAGGCATCATGAAACAATTAAAAATGTCTCTTCTCAGATAGCTTATGTTTTTATGATGATATGAATGGTGATGATGCTGATGATAGTGACGATGATGGTGATTATGATGATCATGATGGCAATGGTGATGGTGGTGGTGACGATGGTAATGATGGTAATGATGGTGGTGATGATAATAGTGATGGTGATGGTGACAGGGAGGGTAATGATTATGATGTTGGGGTGATAACAAAGGTAAGATAATATATGACCTTATTGGGTATTGAATATTCACCAAAGTGCTATGCTCAGTGTTTAACTAGTACTATTTACGATGATTTCTAAAAAATCTTGAATTATTATAGGCAAAAGAATCATGGAAACCTTTCATTTTATCACTCACTTTCAATCCTTTTGTGTGTGTGTATATATATATATATTTTAATCAATTGCAAACACATTTTCTGTGCTTTGAACATTGTGTTTCTTTCTGGTCACCCCAATAGTGAGTAAACCAGCTGGTTGGAGCAACTGTGTCTTACTCTCTTGTGCTTTCATAGTATCTACTTCAGGACCTTATACATGGTAGATCTACAGATTTACATCTGCAGGAAATACATGGATTTTCCCAGGGAAGGAAGGAATGAAGTATGCTTTCTTATAATGTATGGAAACATTCCTCTCCTGCCCTGGTTCAACTTTAGTGCCTTCCAGAGTCTACCCTGGAAAACTATATGGTATCTGCTCCTCTCCCTTATCTATGGCAGACATCATTAATTGATTGCAGCATTCATGGCAGACATCACTAATTGATAATAGCATTCATTCTCTCTCAGTTCAAAACAGCTTCAGAATGGTTACCAAAAAATAAAGCTCATCAGTCACTACCAATTTACTTGGAGCTGACTAGGGATTATTGGACAGAATTCAAGAGAGTTAGGTTCCTTGATGATGTATAGTTGGCTCTTTTGTTTTCCTAGAAGGCTCAACTCAGGTTCAGCTTGGTCATGGCTGATATCCTTTCTTCCACTTGGTTGATTTGGCTGTTGATACTTGTGTATGCTTCATGAAGTTTCTGTGCTGTGTTTTTGACCTCCATCAGGTCGTTTGTGTTCCTCGCTAAACTGGTTACTCTTGTTAGTAATTCCTTTAATCTTTCATTAAGGTTCTTATCTTCTTTGCATTGGGTTAGAACATGCTCCTTCAGCTTATCGTAGTTTTTTATTACCCATCTTCTGAAGCCTGCTCTGTCAATTCATCCCTCTGAAGCTCCATCCAGTTCTGCACCCTTGATAGAGAGATGTTGCAATCATTTTGAGGAGAAGAGGCACTCTGGCCTTTTGGGTTTTCAGCATTTTGCTGTTGTTGATTCTTTCTCATCTTTGTGAGTTTTAGTTTCAGTCTTTGAGGCTGCTGATCCTTGGACAGGGTTTGTGTGGGGGCCTTTTTGTCGTTGTTGATGCTGTTATTGTCACTTCTGCTTGTTTTTCTTTCAGTAGCCAGTTCCCTCTTCCTTAGGGCTGCTGCAGTTTGCTGGGAGTTCATTTCAGGCCCTATTCATCTGATTCACTCCCATGCCTGGAGACTTCACTCAGGGAAGCTGGAGAGCAGCAAAGATGGGTGTTCTTATGGGACCTCTGACCTTGAGGGTCACCAGCTTGATGCCAGTAGGACCACTGCTTCTGTATAAGGTGCCTGACAATTCCTGTTGGAGAGTCTCACCCAGTTGGGTGGCACAGGGAACAGGACTCATTTAATGAAGCACTTTTTCCCTTAGTGGAGAAGGTGTGTTTCATTGGAGGGAAACTCACTCGTCTGGGCTGCCTGGATTTTTTCGGAACCACCAAGAGGAGAGGCTAGGTCTGCTGGTCTGCAGAGACGACAGCCACCCCTCACCTTAGAGGCTCAAGTCCAGAGAGTCGGAATTCTGTCCCTGAGCCTCTGGCTGGCATTATTGAAGATACTGCAGGGAAGCCCTGCCCACTGAGGAAGGATGAGTGAGGATTAGGCCTGAAGAGGCACTCTGGCTGCTTGGGCTGTGGGGACAAGTCTTGGGACAAAGCCGTGCAGCCCTCCTGGCGGGGGTGGGGTGGGGGTGGGGGTGGGGGGGTGGTTGTGTGTGGAATGTGCAGCCTGGAGCTATAGAAATGGGTACCACCCTTCCCCACCCAGGGAGCTTAGCCTTAGGCAGTTGTGAGTCCCAGTGCTGGCTATTGCTCCTCCCACAAGGAGCTCAAAGGACTTAGACACTAGGCTGCCACAGCCAGTGCTGGTTGCCCCGGGGAATTTGGTAAGCTTAGGCAGATTCCATCTGTAAGAATCTGTATGTTCTGGGGTTGGAACACTAGGCCCCAGTGCTGAGGGTTCACAAGTGGGATCCTCCAATCCATAAGTTACACAGTTCTCTGGAAAAAGCAGTTTCCCCAGCTGGGTAGCGGCATGGGTTTGCGAGTGGGATCTTCCAGTCCGTGGGTTGCGCAGTTCTGTGGATAAAGCACGGTTTCCCCAGCTGGGTAGCACACTCACTCACCACCTTCCTTGGCTAGGGGAGGGCGTTCTCCTTCCATGTGTGTCTCTCTGGTGGGTCACTGCACCGCATCGCTCTTCCTTCTCTCCGTGGGTCACTGCCGGCCTTCTAGTCAATTTTGGTGAGAGAACCTGGATACCCTGGTTGCCAGGGACGGATTCACACACTTATGGTCTTTTTCAATGGGAGCCTCTGAGCGCTGCTGCTTCTAGTCAGCCATGCCGGCCCCTCGAGTCACATCTATTAGTCTTTTTATTTTTTGATTATGGCAATTCTTGCAGAAGTAAGGTGGTATCACATCGCGGTTTTGATTTGCATTTCCCTGATCATTAGTGATGTTGAGCGTGTTTTCATATGCTCGTTGGCCATTTGTATGTCTTCTTTTGAGAATTGTCTATTCATGTCCTTAGCTCACTTTTGGATGTGGTTGTTTTTTTCTTGCTAATTTGTTTGAGTTAATTGTAGATTCTTTGTTGGATGTATAGATTGTGAAGATTTTCTCCCACTCTGTGGGTTGTTTGTTTACTCTGCTGACTGTGAAGGTAAAGTCAATTTTTTTTTTTTTGAGATGAAGTTTCGTTCGTGTTGCCCAGGCTGGAGTGCAGTGGCACATTCTTGGGCCATCGCAACCTCGGCCTCCTGCGTTCAAGTGATTCTCCTGCCTCAGCCTCCTGAGTAGCTGGGATTACAGGCATGTGCCACCATGCCCAGCTAATTTTGTATTTTTTAGTAGAGACAGGGTTTCCCCATGTTGGTTAGGCTGATCTCAAACTCCCAACCTCAGGTGATCTGCCCACCTTGGCCTCAGAAAGTGCTGGGATTATGGGCGTGAGCCACTGCGGCCGGCTAAACTCAATTTCTTATAGGAATTTGTCTCACTCCTACATCCAAATGATACCTGGGTTTTTTGTTAATCCTTCACAATACTTCTCTCACCTTTTTGTACTTATTTGTTTATATTCTGTTGTCTGCTTCTCATTTATAGGAATGTAACTTCTTATGGGCTTTCTCTATTATACCGCATGTGGATTTTTGTTTTGTTTTTGTCCTTGGATCCATTCTCCAACGTTCCTGTGCTCTGTGGGCTAGACATCTGACCTATGAAAAGTGCATTTCCCAGGCTCCCATGCTGACTAACTTCTTGTTAGGTTCAGCCAATAGGAGGCATTGGTGGGACAATGATGGGCGGGGCTGTGGAAGGGCCAGACTATTTCTTTACCCTGCCTCCCCCCCCCCGCCCCCCCGACACCCAGACTTCATGTAGCATCTTTGGAAGGGGCTGTGTCTCTCTGTGGTCTCACCAAACTCTGTGTATCACTCCCTAGTCCTTTCTCATTTTAGCCCTATGGTACCAGTGGATTCCTGATTTTGCTAATTGCTAATTTCTTACCTTTCCAGGTTTTCTGTGTGTTTTCTTGGTGTTAAATTCCCCCTGTTGAAATGGCTAACATGAATCCTATTTTCCTAATTCAAAATACATGCGCAAATCCCCGACAGTGCTTCACATATAGCTGGTTCTCAATAAATATTTGTTGACTAACAGAAGGAAGGAACTAAAATCGCAACCAGGGGCCTGAGCATGAGTCTGGGTCAAATAACTTTGCCAATTTGGGAGAAGTTTGGGGGTCACTATAGGAACCCCAAATCAGGGTTCCTGGGAGAAGAGCCAATTCCAGATGTCAGGAGCCCTTGGGTAGGACTTAAATAGTGTTCCCTGACTGCTCTCCTCCAAGTACCAAGCGAGGTGAAGGTCTGTGGTGGAGAGAACTAGAGCCCACCTGGGTGAGGGCTGGACAGAGAGCTCTAGCAGGCTCAAAACAGATCCTCTGATCTGCCTCCCCTGTTACAGCCACAAGCCCTACCCTGGTGACCTTTATCCTCAACTTCACCATCACAAACCTGCAGTACGTGCCGGACATGAAGCATACAGGTTCTGCGGTGTTTCACACAACCGAGGAGGTCTTGCAGCGCATGGTGAGAGTCCTGAGATGCTCAAAGCTTACCCCGCCTCACCTCTTCAGAGCCCCTCAGCCCTCCAATTCACCTCCCTCTCCTTCCTCCCCAGTTTGGCCCTTTGTTCAAGAACACCAGTATTGGCCCACTGTACTCTGGCTGCAGGCTGATCTCGCTCAGGTGAGATGCTGTAGGGTGCAAAAGCTTGGCCTTCTGAAGGTTCATTGAAAAATCAACTCACAAAAGGAAGATTATCTGGTGAAAAGGCATATGAATTGATTTCATGTGTATACACAGGAGCCTTCTGAATGAAGACCTGAAGATACATACATCTATTTGTACATGGCTGTCCTGTCCATGCTGTGTTGAACCTACATATCTCCAGCATGGGGGAATGTGTAGAAATATGATTAGATAAAAAGGGTGTGATCTAGTGCTGATAGACTAAGTGAGGAAACCTAGCAAAGCCTGTCTGTCTAGATTCTTCTTGGCCTGCCGAGATTGCATTCCTTCCTTCTGGGTATGGGGTAGGACCCACTTTGCAAGAGGAGTCTTATATTTTACAGTCAAACAAGATATGTCCCATAATTTCCAATGGCAGGTTTTACACAGAAAGGCAGAGGGGAAAGTTAGAGTCCTATTTTTAAGTTCTATTGTTAACTTTAAGGAAAAGAGGTTCTAGTTTCTGCTTTGTTTGTTTGCTTGTTTTTCTTGGTTTGTTTGAGACAGTCTCACTCTGTCTCCCAGGCTGGAGTGCAGTGGCACGATCTGTACTCTGTAGTTTAGAGAAATGTGCATGCAGCCTGGGTACAGTGGCTGACACCTGTAATCCCAGCACTTTGGGAGGCTGAGGTGGGTGGATTACCTGAGGTTAAGAGTTAGGGATCAGCTTGGCCAACATGGTGAAACCCTGTCTCTACTAAAAATACGAAAATGAGCCAGGCATGGTGGCAGATATCTGTAATCCCAGCTACTCCAGAGGCTGAGGCAAGAGAATTGCTTGAACCTGGGAGGTGGAGGTTGCAGTGAACTAAGCTGTTTTTGTTTTGTTTTGGTTTTTGTTTTTTTTGGGGGGGGTTGTTTATTTTTTGAGATGGAGTCTTGCTCTGTCACCCAGGCTGGAGTGCAGTGGCATGATTTTAGCTCACTGCAACCTCTGCCTCCCGGGTTCCAGGATTCTTCTGCCTCAGCCTCCCAAGTAGCTGTGACTACAGGTGTGTGCCACCACACCCAGCTAATTTATTATTGTTATTTATTAATAATTCAATAATTATTATTTATTATAACAATTTTGTTATTTTATTATAGTTTTATAAATTTTATTTTATTCTTAATATTAATATTTATTAATAATTATTTTTGGATTTATTGTTTATTATTATTTTATTTTTATTATTATTTTTTAGACCAGACCAGGCTGGTCTCAAACCTCTAACCTCAGGTGATCCACCCACCTCAGCTTCCCAAAGTGCTGGGATTACAGGTGTGAGCCACCACACCTGGCCAGAGGTTCTAGTTTCTAAGACCTACCTTGGGGAAGAAGGATTCTAGGTTCTCAGGCTGGCCTCAGGGGAGAATGAAACAGAGATAGGAGGGCAGAAGGTAAAGAAAAACTTATACTTCTGAGGCTGCCTCTGAGGCCTTCATTTTGGAGTATTGTCTTCTGAGCTCTCAGCTATACCCAGGTGTGGATGCTCACACTCCCACTCCTCTCACATTCACTTCCTGGATCCACCTTGCTTCCCACCTGCCCAGGTGTAGCAGGCTGTGGGCACCTGTGATGCTGACCCTCCTGAGCCCACTCCCCAGTTCCTGTCTTCTCATTTCTCTCTTCTGTCCTCCATCGGGTCCTAATCCAGGTGTAGAACATCCCTAGCTGGGCACGGTGGCTCACACCTGTAATCCTAGCACTTTGGGAGGCCGAGGCAGGTGGATACCCTGAGATCAGGAGTTCCAGATCAGCCTGGCTAACAGGATGAAACCCCTTCTCTACTAAAAAATTTCAAAAATTAGCCAGGTGTGGTGGCAGGAGACTGTAATCCCAGCTACTTGGGAGGTGAGGTGAGAGAATCACTTGAACCTGGGAGGTGGAGGTTGCAGTGAGCCGAGATCGCACCACTGTGCTCCAGCCTGGGAAACAGAGTAAGACTCCATCTCAAAAACAAAAAACAAACAAAACTAACATTCCCCAGGAGTGAATGCCTTGCAGTTTCCAAAATGATTTTGCACTAAGGAAAAAATTAAAAGCAAAACTGAAAAGTCCATATAGATGCACTTGTCTTTTCTTTTGAGATGGAGTCTTGCTCTCATCACCCATGAGATGAGATTACAGGCACCTGCCACCATACCCAGCTAATTTTTTTGTATTTTTAGTAGAGACAGGGTTTCACCATGTTGATCAGGCTGGTCTTGAACTCCTGACCTTAAATGATTCACCCACCTTGGCCTCTCAAAGTGCTGGGATTACAGGCATGAGCCACCACACCTGGCTCCTTTTTATTTTTAATATGGCAAAATATGTGTAACACTAAACTTCCATTTTTAACTGTACAGTTGTAAATGTTATGCAATTTACATAATTGTACAGTTGTAAATTTTATGTAATTTACATGGTTATGTAATTTATCTTAACCATTTTTAACTATACAGTTGTAAATTTTATGTCATTAAAATTTTAATTTAAATACTCACATAGGCTTCTGGCTACCATATTGGACAGGATCAATTTCCAATTTTTTCCTGAGTCAGAGTCTTGCTCTGTCACCCAGGCTGGAGTGCAATAGCACCATCTCAGCTCACTGTAACCTCCACCTCCCAGGTTTGATTCTCCTGCCTCAGCCTCCCGATTAGCTGGGATTATAGGCTCCCGCCACCACTCCCAGCTAATTTTTTGTATTTTTAGTAGAGATGGGGTTTCACTATGTTGTCTAGGCTGGTCTCGAACTCCTGACCTCAGGTGATCCACCCACCTCGGCCTCCCAAAGTGCTGGGATTACAGGCATGAACTACTGTGCCCGGCCTGCATGCACATTTCTCAACCTACATTTAAAGTCCTCAAAGGTGATGCACCCAAGGGATTTGCAAGGTCTTGGAGGCTGTCTCCCACCTGTTTTTCTTTCCCCTTGGCTTAAACTGGGAGTAGTGTGGTAGAAGGCTGGTATGTGGATGCTGAACAAGCATTGTGACAACTCCAGTCCCATTTCCTCTTCTTCATCTATTGATCATTCACCAAAGTTGATTTCAGCTTTGTGGCTTTTCCAGATTACTATCATTCTTGCTCACCCTCATCATCAGCCCTGCATATATGTCCCCATCCGTGTGTCTCCTCCCAGGCCCATGAAGAATGGATCTGCTACCAGAGTGGATGCCGTCTGCACCCACAGCTCTGAGCCCACAAGCACTGGGCTGGATAGAGAGAGGCTGTACCGGGAGCTGAGTCATGAGACCCATGGAGTGACCCGGCTGGGTTTCTACACCCTGGGCAGGGACAGCCTCTATGTCAATGGTGAGATAGGAAGTTCTGCTTGCTCATGGGTCTTCTTGCAGAGTGCATGCTCTCGGCTCGTATTGAGTAAGAAAGCTGCGTCTTCAAAGCTTTTCTGGAGCTAACAACAAAAGATCAGATTCCTACAGAAGGTGATGGGGGTGGACAGACTCTGGAAGGATGAACTGCAGCTAACCCAACAGAAATTCTTCCCTGCGCTCCAGCCATCGTTTCTGGGGTTTGTCTACAGGCTTCCCTTTGAGGGCACTCTGTAAACATAGCTTAAATAAATGTAACCATCAGAACTCATCGGACTCCAGATTCTTGCCACCTAGTCCCATTCCTCCATTCTTAGAAATCTTCGCCCTCTCTTTCTTCAGGTTACACCCACCAGGTCCTGACCTCCACCCCCAGCAGTAAGTAGCATGGGTTCTTTTATTATTTTGCCCTGGGGGCCATCCCTTCTCTGGTCTTTTGCTATCTTTGTTCCCCAGCCCAGAAAGGACCTGCCAGTACAGGCTTGAGCCAAGCAATAAAAGGGTCTTGAGGTCTTCTCGGCTGGGAAATCTCTCCCTCTCTCCACATCAGCCTCATTGCATTTTCTTCTCAGTTGTGATGGCGTCTACTTCTGGGACCCCAGTTCCAGCCTCCACAGGTAAGAGCTTCCTCTCGGTGTTTCCTTCCAACAAGTCGAGTACCCTTGGCTAGTGGGAGGTATTGCCTGGGAAAGCCACAACTCCTCACTCGTTTCTACAAGTATTTATTAAGCCCCTGAGAGGCCCTGGTAATGCAGCAGTAAGCAAAATAGAAGGGCCCTAGTTTGATGGGCTCCCAGCAAGGAAGACAGAGAAGAAAGATGTGTCGGTACAGATAAGCATTGAATTACAATCAGGATGGTGCTGGGGTGAGTGTCGCAGGTGTGTGAAGGGGTTTCTCTCTCTCAAGTATTTAATTTTCATTTCCAGGAAGGGAGGGAACAGTATGAGCTTCAAGAGTCCCTGGAATTATGCCCTCTGTCAGATCATGCTCAGGTTGGGCTCAGAGAATTGGACAGGCTGGGGTTGGGCTGAAGGGCAGCTTCCCATTCTTGGCCTCCCACTGGCCCAAGGTCAATTTCCATACCACTCATTGGCTCTGCTGAGGGTCTGGAGAGAACCAGGATCTCAAGTCTTTAGTTACTTATCATCTAGGGCCTCCTGAAGGCATTCTGAACTCAGACCACTCAGGCTAGAACAAGCGGGCGCTAGAGACTAGACCTGCCCATGGTCCTAGTGGTTGTGTTAGGAGCACAGACTCTGGGACCAGAATGCCAGGATTTGAATTTGGCATTGCCATTTAGACACTGCTTGACCACAGGTACATTATTTAGCTTCCCTTTGGCTCGGTCTTTACATCTGTAAAATGGGAATTAAATAGTACTGTCTCCCTCTAAAGATTTTGCCTCCAAGTTTAGATGAGTTAAAATGTAAGCAAAGCACTTAAAACAGGACCTGACACATAAAAAATGCAATATAAATGTCTCTTCAGTTTTTTTAAACAATCAACAAGTGTGTGGCTCTCAAACAATTTGGGTTAAAAGAATTAAAAAACAAGGATGTCTGTCTGGAATTTTAGCCAACTGAAGGGCCAGAGATTATTGCTTCCTGCTTGGCAATTTATTTATCGACCGAGTGCAATTTTTTACTTATTTCTAGTACTTCTCATTTAAGGCTGATGTCTGGGGTCTCCTCTCTGAGGAAACTGGCCACCCTGGATGGAAACCCTCCCCTACACTTCAAGACACACATGCGAGATGCCCTATATTTCTCCCAGACGTGACTCAGTCTGGCCTCTCCTCTCCCTTCCCTGCTGCAGCCATAGGACCACCCCTGGTGCTGTTCACTCTCAGCTTCACCATCACCAACCTGGAGTACAGGCAAGACATGCTGCCTTCATACTCCTTGACCTTCAACAACACAGAGAAGGTGCTTCAGAGCCTGGTGAGAGCCATGCCCACTTCACTTCCTGCCACCTCACTCCTGTCCTACCCATCTCACTCCTGCCCCGCCCACCTCACACCTGCCCTGCCCACCTCATTCCTGCCACACCCACCTTACTCCTACCATGCCTGCTTTACACTTACCCACCTCACTCCTGCCCCGCCCACCTCATTCCTGCCCCACCCATCTCACTCCTGCCCCGCCCACCTCACTCCTGCCACACCCACCTTACTCTTACCACACCCACCTTACTCTTACCACACCTACCACATTCCTGCCACACCCACTGTACTCTTACCACACCCACCACCTCATTCCTGCCACACCCACTTTACTCTTACCACACTCGTCTCCTTTCTGCCACACCCACTGCTGTCCCTCCCACCCCCAAATAACCATATTGCCCTACCTCTCTGACTACTCTCTCCTCCCTCTCTCTCTGTCGCAGCTTGACCCCTTGTTCAAGAACACCAGTGTCGGTCCTCTGTACTCTGGTTGCAGACTGGCCTTGCTCAGGTGAGACCTCAGAACAGCCAGTGTGGCCTTCCAAAGTGTTTCCAGGCCCTAAGCATTTGGGCTTCTTCCTTCCTATCCTCCCTGTGCATGTTCTCAGCAGAGGTGGAAGTCAGGAGGTGCTGGATCCAGGACCAAAGTATCTCCTGGTCCTATCACCTGCCCACCTCAACTGAGAGATTCTGCAGAGCTGATCACCAGGATTGGACCCATACCCTTATCATATTCTTTTGAATCGCCTCCTGCTGCTCCTTTTACCAATGAGGGCGTTGTATCCATGTGCATGAATCCCCAGGATTTCTCTCAAAACAAATACACCTTCTCCGCTTGCTCTAATCCCCAGTTCCAACTCTTCCCCTTTCTCAAATATAAGCTCTCCTGTCCCCATGTCAGAGGATGCAGGTTTGGGATTTGCAATTTAATGAAAATTTGTATCCATGACTCTGCTCACAGTCCCAAGCTGTCTGGGAGTTGGTGCACTCAGAGAATCTAAGTCTGGCTTCTCACCTCTCTACCAGGCTTTTGATTTTCTCTGGCCTCTTCGTGTTATGACCCCAGGGAATCTCAGGACCGCCTCCTAAGCAATCCATTTGTTTTCATTCCCTTCATCTACCCTCCCCAGGCCCAAGAAGAAGACGACAGGCACTGAGGTGGATGCTATCTGCACCTACCACCCCAACCCCATAGGCTTTAGACTGGACAAAGAGCATCTGTACTGGGAGCTGAGCCAGCTCACCCATGGCATCACGGAGCTGGGCCCCTACACCCTGGACAGGGACAGTCTCCTTGTCAATGGTGAGTGGCTACCATCCATTTTGCAGCTCCGCTGGCCCCACATCCTCCCTTTTTATTCTTCTCTCTTCCTCATCCCACGTCCTACCCAGCCTTTCTCCCTGAACCTGTGCAGTTTATACCCAGCAGATCTGTGAGTATGCTGAGGCTTTACAAGTCTTTACAACCCTGTAAGCTGCCTCCACCTAAGTCCTAGCCCTTAGGCACGGAAGAGGCCAGAGTCCACTGCCTTCTCTTCTCCCCACCTCCAGCCTCGAACAAACAAGGACTATACCCCCTAAAAGCCCCAGATGTATGCCCCTCCTGCCTGGCACCTCCAGGATAATGGAGTCCCCAACTCAAGTGCTTGGGGTGTTTTCTCCCCGGCTTCTGCTGTGGCCGTGTCTACAGTAGAGGGCCGTGCTGGGGTATGAGTCTCCACCTTTTCCTCACTGAGTGCAATCTGCTGCGGTTGGTCCCTGCACCTGCACCTAGTGCAGCTTGCATCTGAGCTCACATCAGAGTGCATTGAAAAAAGTCTTTGTCTCTCTGGGATGCATTAATGGATTAGGGAGTAGACTCTAATCCGTGTCGGGTAGGGGCTCTGTCTTCCTTTTATTAAATGACAGCTATGATGATCCAGCCACTAACGCACCATCTCTAGAATGGCCAACTCTTCAATAGCCAAGTTGCCTCTTCATAGAAGATCTCTCACCTTACCCCTTCCTCACCATCACACTCTGTCCCTGCAGGTTACACCCATCTGGACTCAAGCCCCATTGCCAGCCGTGAGTATTCCAGATCTCTGTGTGTCTGTGACCACCTTGTTTCCCCTAAAAAAATAGAAGGTGCTCAGACAGCCAACCCAACCTTCTGCTACCCACACTTTAGATGGAAAGGAGTGTGTATAGAAATGTGGGTTAAATTGGAGGTAACAGCAATCTCCCACCCTCCCCCCCACACACCCAGGGATGGTGCTCTGACTCCTGACTGAATGGAATACAGAGAAGCACAAATTTTTATAACAAGAGCCACCACCACTGCCACCGTTCCCTGAAAGATATAACACACTTTGGATTTTATTCCTGGTGTATTTCCTTGGCAGCTGTGACCACCCATCCATTCCAACAACCTCGCTAGCTCCATCCCTCCCAACCAGGACCACAGACAGAGCACTCTGTGGTCCCACTCACTTTCCCCCAAGGAACTCACTCATTTCCATGAGTTCCAGGGATCATCTTTTCTCAAATGGTAGAAGGAAACATAAGTTAATGTCACCTCTTGTCGGGCGCGGTGGCTCACGCCTGTAATCCCAGCACTTTGGGGGGCTGAGGCAGGTGGGTCACCTGATGTCAGGAGTTTGAGACCAGCCTGGCCAACATGGTGAAACCCCCATCTATAATAAAAATACAAAAAGTTAGTCGAGCATGGCGGTACGTGCCTGTAATCCCAGCTACTTGGGAGGCTGAGGCAGGAGAATCACTTTAACCTGGGAGGCGGAGGTTGCAGTGACCCGAGATCACACCATTGCACTCCAGACTGGGCAACAAGAGTGAAACTCTGTCTCCAAAAAAAGAAAAAAAGTCATCTCAATTGAATGTGTTTTATTTATCACTATCCAGCTCTTTAAATGTTCCTGGAGCACTGAAGCATTCCATATATGGAATGAAGTCAAGGTGGTTGGATGGAAGGAAGAAGTGACAGCTGGGAGGAAGAAGTGATGAATGGAAGGAGGAAGGGAAAGGGGATGAGTGAGTGAATTGAAGGAAGAAAAAATGGATGAGAGAAAAAAGGAGGAAGAAAGATGGATAAGTAGATGGAAGGAAGAAAAGAAGATGTAATGAAGGAAATATGGATGATGGGTGGATGGATTGCTGGGTCGGTGAATGAATGGATGGATGGGTGAAAAGATGGGTGCATGGGTGAAGGGAGGGAGGGATGGATGGATAGATAGATGGATGATGGATGGATGGGTGAATGGATGGATGGGTGACTGGATGGATGGACAGATGGGTGGGTAGGTGGATGGATGGATAGATAGATGAATGGATAGGTGAATGGGTAGATGGATGGATGGATGGATAAATGGATAGATGGGTGATAGGAAGGAAAGAAGTGAGAGAAGGAGGAGGAAGAATAGACAGTTGATAGAAGGTACAATGAAAGGAAGGAAGCAAGCAAGGAAGAAAGGATGCATGAATAGAATGAAAGATGGAAGGAAAGAAGGAGAAAAGGAAGAATGAACAGAAATAAGTTCACGAGTGATGAAAAGAAGAAAGGCAGGGAGAGAAGGGAAGGTAAACTTTTCTTCCAGAGGTTTGTCTTAAACCTTAGCTCATACTTACATTAAAGTTCCACACAGAGGGAGTGATTAGAAAGCATTTGCTGATATATTTTACATAATAAACATGTACACCATATTAGCCTGTGTGCCCAGCAGTGCTTATATGCTTTACAGAGATTAACTTTCAGCTTCATAACAGCCATTGAGGCAGGATTCATTATTGTGAGCCATTGTCATGATCCCATTTTACAGATGAGTAAACCGAGGTGCAGAGAGGTTGGTTACGGCTGCAAGGATTGTTGGCCATGTTAACCAATGCATAGCAGATTAGCATACCTGGCTGAGAGTGCCAGGGGAGAGAGAGAGAAATGGGAGAAAGTCAGAGAAGAATCAAGGGGGTGAGAGGGAAAGAGAGAGATAATATTTATTAATTTTTAGAAACTGTCTGGAGTCATCCCTTCTGCATCAGCATGGCAATATGGAGCCTTTCCCCTGGGAAAGATCAGAACCATGTGTACTGTTTACAGAATCCTCCCTTCCTGCGCTTGGGTGGAAGAAGCCCACTGGACCTCCCAAATCATTAAGCACACCCTTGCTGGCTGCTGGAGTTGTCAACATTAAAAGTCACCCTTGGGTTTATTCAGAGGTGGACATGGGGTCCTTGGAACACACTGCCCCCACCCTATCCCACACCACCCCGTACCCACCCATCATCCTTTCCAAAAGAGCTTCATCTCTCTCTTCCTCCAGCCCTAGCCGGGGAGCTCAGCGAAGAGCCGTTCACACTGAACTTCACCATCAACAACCTGCGCTATACGGCGGACATGGGCCAACCCGGCTCCCTCAAGTTCAGCATCATAGACAGCCTCATGCAATACCTGGTGAGAGGCCTGCCTCCCCCTGCAGCCCTGCCATGTCCAGTCTAGGGCTGTTGCTTGCCTGCCTCTGCCAACCCAGGCTCCCTTCTCCCTCCGCAGCTCGGTCAATTGTTCCAGAAGAGCAGCCTGGGTGCACGGTACACAGGCTGCAGGGTCATCGCGCTCAGGTGAGAAACTGCCCAACCCCCAGCCCACCACCAAGAACTTAGAGTTCTGACTGCGAGGGCCCCCTCGGGTTGGGGTGGACTGTATCTTTTTTTAATCTTACCATTCTTTTTTAAGTGTATTTAAGGGGTACAAGCGCAGTGTTCGTTACATGCATATATTGCATAGTGAAGTTTGCAGACAGTAGCTTTTAGTTTACCCATCACCCAAATTGTGTCCATTGTACCCATTAAGTGAGGTTTCTCATCCTTCTCCCACTCTCCCACCTTTCTGAGTATCCAGTATCTATTATTCCACACTCTGTGTCCATGTGTACATGGACCTGGAGTCCACGCTCACGCTTACAAGTGAGAACAGATGGTATTTGACCATGAGCTAGTAGACATGGAGTCCATTAGCTCCCACTTATAAGTGAGAACATACAGTATTGTACTTTCTATTTCTGAGTGGTTTCAGTTAAGATAATGGCCTCCCATTCCATCCATGTTGCTGCAATAGACATGATTTCATTCTTTTTATGGCTGAATGTACACACACACACACACACACACACACACACACACACACACCACATTTTCTTTACCCAGTCTTCTACTGATGGACACTTGGGTTGGTTCCATATCTTTGCTATTGTGAAGAGTGCTGCAGTAAACATGCACGTGCAGGTGTCTCTTTGGTGTCCATACTATATTTAGTTTCTCCATTCATTAGCACTTTGATGTTTGCAGGGACCTGTCAAGGGGTGCTAGGTTCTGGGGCTTCAATATAATAAGAGTTAAGCTAAACTGGTTTATTTCCTCCTTCGTGGAGACCATGTTCTGGAAGGAATAGGAATCAATAATTTATGATTACATAGAGGTGACCAGGGCAGTGACAGGGGAAGAGCAGAGGACTGTGGGACCCAGAGGAGGCTCCTGACCTTGCCTAGGAAAATAGAAGGAGAAAGAGAAGGAAGAGGAGGAGGGCAGGAGGAGGAGGAGGAGGAGGGGAGGGAGGAGGGGGGAGGAGGGCAGGAGAGGGAAGAGGAGGGCAGGAGGAGGAGGAGGAGAAGGGGGAGGAGGAGACAGGGGGAGGAGGAGGAGGGGGAGGAGGAGGGTGGGGGGAGGAGGGCAGGAAGGGGAGGAGGAGGATGGGGAGGAGGAGGAGGGCAGGAGTGGGAGGAAGAGGAGGAGGGGGAGGAGGAGGAGGAAGGGCAGGAGGAGGAGGAGGGGGAGGGTATAAAGGAGGAGGGGGAGGAGGAGGAAGGGGAGGAGGGAGTCCTCTAAGCTGAGACCTGGAGGATGACCAGGAAGTTTTCCAGGTAAGGAGAAATGGGGAGAGGCTTCCAGACAGAAGTAACAGCAAATGCAAACATCCTGAGATGACAGATAAAGCCAGGTAGAGAAACGGCAAATTGTCAATGAGACGAAAACATGGACTATGAGTTGTGCGGTGACCACAAGTGGAGAGGTGCAGGCAGCCTTCACCCCCAAAGGTGCATCTCTCCCTCCTCAGGTCTGTGAAGAACAGCGCTGAGACACGGGTGGACATCCTCTGCACCTACCTGCAGTCCCCCAGCGGCCCAGGTCTACCTACCGAGCAGGTGTTCCATGAGCTGAGCCAGCAGACCCATGGTATCACCTGGCTGGGCCCTTACTCTCTGGACACACACAGCCTCTACCTTAATGGTGAGCAGCTCTCAGCCTGATCTCCCTGCCCCCCAGCCCCCACCCCTTGCTGCAGTCACGGGGTTGTCTGTTTGCCAGGTCTCTAAGGAAAGACTTGGGGTCCAAGTCTTAGCATTACCACTGACCCTCCCATTACCACCATGCAAGATTGGGCCCATTTTCAGATGAAGAAACTGAGGCTTAGACAGGTTAAGCAATTTACCCAAGTGGGTATAGCTTGACAGTGGTAGAACCAGGATATGAACTCTACTTGTCAGCATTCAGTGCTATGCTCCACTCTATGTGTTTCACTCACAGAAGAGTCTTCCTGGTGGGGGCATTTGGGGGACAAAAAACACATTTTCCCTCCCTGCTTTCTTCTCACCATTGAAGAGGGGTGGGCTTCTCCCCTACGTCAGGCCCCAGTACCAGGACGGCTTAAGGGGTCTAAGCTTCAGGCACACTGCGTGTCAACATCAGTCTAGAACCCAGGAAAAGACAACATTTAAGAAGGCACCCCCCATATGGGGTTCTGACAGGCAAAGTGTGACCATGGAGAATTGATAAAATACTTCCCCTTTTATCCCCTCCACTGCCAAGCCAAGAACAGTGCTTATGACCCCATGAGTGGGTACCCCATATCACTTATATGAGGTACCTTAATATGGGTACCAGGATATAGAGAGACATCCTGGGCTTTCATTACTCTTATTTTAGCAAAAAGGGAAACTGAGGCATGGAGGGGGAAGGGACTTGTCCATGCCCGAAGTAAGTTTTTGGCTAGTCTGGGTCTTGATGTTCTTTATTATTATTAATACTATTGTGGTCATCACCATTGTCTGTGGATATTTATGGGGTACAAGTGCAATTTTGTTGCATGCATAGATTATATAGCAGTGAAGTCAGCGCTTTTAGAGTATCCGCCACTCGATAACATACACTGTATCCAGTCAGTCATTTCTCATCACCCACCGGGATGATACTCCCTCCCCCTTCCAAGCCTCCATTGTCTATCGTTCCCTTCTCTGAGTTCTTGTCCACACACTGTTTAGTTCCCACTTTTGAGTGAGAATGTGTGGTATTTGTCTGTCTGTGTCTCTTTCACCTTGTTTCGCTTAAGGTAACTTCAGTTTCATCCACGTTGCTGCAAAAGACATGGATTCGTTCTTTTTTACTAACTTGTAAGTTCAGGCATACACTTGAAGGTCGTTGTTTTGTTTTGTTTTGAGATGGAGTTTCGCTCTTGCTGCACAAGCTGGAGTGCAATGGCGCGATCTCGACTCGCCACAACCACCACCTCCTGGGTTCAAGCGATTCTCCCGCCTCAGCCTCCCAAGTAGCTGGGATTACAGACACCCACCACCATGCCCAGCTAATTTTGTATTTTTAGTAGAGACGGGGTTTCTCCATGTTGGTCAGGCTAGTCTTGAACTCCCACCTTCAGGTGATCGCCCACCTCGGCCTCCCAAAGTGCTGGGATTACAGGCATGAGCACCTTGCCCAGCGCACTTGCGGATTTTTTATATAGTTAAACTCGTGTCACAGGGATTTGTTGTACAGATTATTTCTTCACCCAAGTGTTAAGCCTAGTACCCATTGATTATTTTTCCTGATCCTCTGCCTCCTCCCACCCTTCACCCTCCACCCTCAAGGTCCCAGTGTGTGTTGCTCCCCTCTACGTGTCCATGTGTTCTCATCATTTAGCTCCCGCTTATAAGTGAGAACAGGTGGTGTTTAGTTTTCTCTTCCTGCATTAGTTTTCTGAGGATAATGCGCTCCAGCTCCATCCATGTTCCTGTGAAGGACTTGATGTCATTCTTTTTTATAGCTACATAATATTCCATGTGTATATGTACCACATTTTCTTTATCTAGTCTATCATTGATGGGCATTTAAGTAGATTCCATGTCTTTACTACTGTGAATAGTGCTGCAATGCACATGTGTCTTTATAATAGAAAACTTTATATTCCTTTTGGGCATATACCCAGTGATGGGATTGCTGTGTCGGATGGTAGTTCTATGTTTAGCTCTTTGAGGAATCACCCACTGCTTTCCACAGTGGATGAACTAATTTATACTCCAGCCAAGAGTGTATAAGCATTCCTTTTTCTCTACCACCTCGCCAGCATGATTTTATTTCTCTTTATGGCTGAACAGTGTTCCATTGTGTATATATATATATATACCACATTTTCTTTATCAATTCATCTGTTGATGGACACAAGTTGATTCCACATCTTTGCTATTGTGGTTAGTGCTGTGATAAACACACAGGTGCAGGTTGGGTCTTGATGATCTGAGCTGACATCAGGTCCCTTTAGCTTGGCCTTTGCAGGCACCTGTTCAGGTTTTCCCCTTGTCAACTGCATGGCTTATATGTTTCATTTTGTTCCTTCATTTAGATTTACCAAGCAGCTGCTATTAACCAGACCTCGTGCCTGGCACCAGGGACAGAGATAGGTTACATGTGCATCCTGTTTTAACATAATTTCTAGCGGATGGAGACTGTTTTATTCTACCCTATATCCCCCAAACGTAAAGGGAGCCCTGCTCATAGTAAACCCTTAATAAACCTTCTTTGGGTGGAGGAATAGATTGGAGGAGGCCTGGAAGGGGAGGTCGGGGACATAGATGGATGCATATGTAGGAGAAAAGACTTATGAACACAAAGGTAATGATGTCATTGGAAGCATGATGGAGTCGTGTATGGGGAAGGGTCAGTGCTAATTGAAATATCAGGAAATTATTTTAGTGGTGAAGACATTAACGTCAAATATTAGATGACACATAAATGTATCCACAATCTCTAGATACACAAAGGAAAAGGCACCCAGGCAGAGGCTCCATGTGGACAAAAGCATGGTATATTGGGGACAGTTCCGTCACCTCCTCTTACATGTGACTTCTTTGTTTCTAGGTTATAATGAACCTGGTCCAAATGAGCCTTCTACAAGTAAGTGTCTTTGAATCCAGTGCCCATTTCAATCTCTGTGGGTCTTGGTCCAAGCTTTTCTCCTCATTCATAAAGGAAGCTTGCCCCAAATTCGGGCTGGTCCACTGAGGTGGTGAGGGGCAGCATCTCAGTGGGAGAAGGAATGCTGAGTCCTTGGCCTGTTTTTAGACCTGCCACCTTAGTCTTGGCTTTCTGAATTTTCCATGCCCCTCTGCGTTGGAGGAAGAAGTTTGAACAAGCATTCCCCATAGGGATAGAGGTTGAGGTCAGGTGATGACCTTGTTAGTCCATACCTGCTGAAAACAAAATCTCCTACAAGTGCCCCCAGCAGGGGCCTCATTGTCAAGCTGCAAACTCTGGTGACTACTCAAGTGGTTTTGGCCTAATTTGCCCATTGTCTCATCCAGTGACCCACTCATCTGTCTTTCCAGCCATCCATTCTTCTGTCCTGGTCATCTCTCAGACAACATCCATCCATCCATCCATCCATCCATCCACCCCATTATTCTGACCATTTACTTTCTTGTCCTTCCTTCTATCTATCCTTTTATCCATCTATTCATCTATCACCCATCCTCCTGCTCATTCACCTGTTTGTTCCTCCTTTCTTGTATCCTTCTGTACATCTATCTAACCATCCGTCCATCCACTCATCCACCACCTACCCATCCTTCTGCCCATTCACTTGCTAGCCCCTCCTTCCTTCTGTCCATCCATCCATCCATCCTCCCATCTTCCTGCTCATTCACCTGCTTGTCCTTCTTCCATCTGTCTTTTTATCCATCTCTCCATCCATCTACCATCCATCCATCCAGCCTTCTCCCTATTCATCCATTTGGCCTTCTTTCTGTCCTTCCATCTATCCATCCATCCATCTCTCCACTCATCCTCCTCTTCATTCACCTATTTTCTTCTTTGTGTCTTTCCATCCATCCACCTATCCACCCAGCCATCTCTCCACCCCATTTATTCACTTAGTTGTCATTCCTTCATCTATCCTTTTATCCATTCATCCACTCATATATCCATCCATTATCTATCTGTCCATCATCTATCCATCTATCCTTCTCCCCATTCACCTGTTTATCCTTCTTTCTGTCCTTCCAATCATCCATCCATCTCTCCATTCATCTTCCTGCCTACTTATCTGCTTGTCCCTCCTTCCTTCTTTCCTTCCATCCATTCTCCATCTGCCCATCTACCCACTCATCCTCTTGCCCATTCACCTGCTTGTGTCCTTCCTTCCACCTATCCTTTTATCTACCTATACATCACCATCCATCCATCCTTCTCCCCATTCATCTTTTTGTCCTTATTTCTATCCTTCCAACCATACATCCATCCTCCCCTTCATTCACCTGTTTCCTTCCTTCTGCCCTTCCATCCATCTATCCACCCAGCCATCTCTCCACCCATCCTTCTCCTCACTCACCCAATTGTCCTTCCTTCCTTCTGTTCTTCAGTTAATTCATCCTTCTATTCATTCACTTATCCATCCATCCATCCATTTATCCATTCATATGTCTACCCATCCTCCTGCCCAATTCACCTCCTTGTTCTTTCTTTCCTTCCTTCTTTCATCTCTCCAGCTTCTCTTTCTCATTTTTATCCATCTTGCCTTCTCCTTTGACTCACCAGTTATACATTCCACCTTCTTTCCGTTCTTTGATCCCTTTTGTTTTCCTGCCCATCCATCCATCCATCCTCTTTGTTCAACCTTTCTCTTATTCACCAACCCCCCCACTCTCTTGGGTTAATTTTACTCACAGGCTTGCTCACCCCTCCACTCACACAGTCACTCCTTCCCTCAGTCTCATTTATGGGCCACCTGTGAATGGTCATCCTGGCTTGGACCACTGATGAAGGCCAGGGGAGCTCCTCCCACTGGGTGGTGGGCTTTGTTCCTCTCTGATGGACTATTCCTTCCACAGCTCCCAAGCCAGCCACCACATTCCTGCCTCCTCTGTCAGAAGCCACAACAGGTATCTGGGGCCACTTTTCCTTCTCAACTATTAGACTAGCAGTTCAGTCAGACTTTTTATCTATTTTACTTCTCCTGCCCTTGTGGAGCCCCCAGTCTTATGAGATAAATAGATCATTATGATATAATGTAAGATGTTTTGGAGTGAGACATCTGGCATAATTGGGAAGGAGGAGGGCTTTCTGGAGAAAGTTTCACCGGAACTGAGTCTTTAAGGATAAGTAAGAGTGATTCAGGCAAACAGGGCATGAATAGTATTACTGAAAGAGGGGATTCCATAAGTAAAGCCTCAGTGGCCAGAAACAGCATAGAATATAGGGAAAAGTGAGAGGAATTTGGTTTGAAGAAACATAAAGCTTAACCCAGAGTGGATGGATAAGTGAGACTGAAAGGTCGGCAGGAGCCAGACTGGAAAGGGCCTTGAATGCCAAGTCAAGAAATTTTAACTTAACACTGAAGGCCATTGAGAGCTGTGGATAGTACTAGAGCAGGGGCAGCCCTAGTGAGAGTATCATTTCAGAAAGATTCCTCTCGTGTTCAGTAGAGAAGAATGCCCTTCAGACAGGGCATCCAGTGAGTCTGCCAGGGTGCTAATCAGGGGGAGAAAAACTAAGGCCTGACCTGGGATGGGGAAGGAGAGAGAGGATATATGTGATGAATATTCAGCAGAGGGAATTGGTGTTACTCAGAGGGGAGGAGATACATAGATTCTGACTTGGATGGCCACACTGGTTAAGTGAGTGCTAGACTCTGATCTAGTCTCAGACCAGCCTTCAGGTAGAGATGTCTTTCCTCCTCCCCTCCTGCAGCCATAGGGAACCACCCGAAGACACTTATACTCAACTTCACCATCTCCAATCTCCAGTATTCACCAGGCATGGGCAATGGCTCAGCTGCATTCAGCTCCATGGAGAGGGTCCTGCAGTACCTGGTGAGACCCATCCCAGCAGGCTCCTGGTGGGATAAATCCTACCCCAACCTCTGTTCCTCTGCTTACCCTCTTCCTCCTTCCTCTCAAGCTCAGACCCTTGTTCCAGAAGACCAGCCTGGGCCCCTTCTACTTGGGTTGCCAACTGATCTCCCTCAGGTGAGACCACTTCCTGGCCACTTGCAAGTAATGACCACCCCTTTTGTGACCACCCCTTCCTCAGCCTTCCGTTGCTCCTCCCTCCTCTGTTCTTTACCTGCAGAGGTGTTAAGACCTTTCTCGAATCCTCAAATGCCTCTCTCCCCAGGCCTGAGAAGAATGGGGAAGCCACTGGCGTGAACACCACTTGCTCCTACAACCCTGACCCTGTGGGCCCCGGGCTGGACATACAGCAGCTTTACTGGGAGCTGAGTGAGCTAACTCATGATGTCACCCAACTGGGCTTCTATGTCCTGGACAGGGACAGCCTCTTCATCAACGGTGAGTGTCAGGCTGAACTTGGATTTACAGTGACTTTCTGGGGATTTGTTTGTTTGTTTTTGAAATGGAATCTCACTCTGTCACCCAGGCTGGAGTGCAATGGTGCAATCCCGGCTCTGCAACCTCTGCCTCCCAGGTTCAAGCAAGTCTCCTGAGGCTGAGTCTCAATCTCAGCCTCCCAAGTAGCTGAGATTACAGGTGCATACCACCACACCCAGCTAATTTTTTGTATTTTTAGTAGAGACAGTGTTTCACCATGTTGTCCAGGCTGGTCTCAAACCCCTGACCTCAGGTGATCCCAAAGTGCTGGGATTACAGGCGTGAGCCGCCATGCCCAGCCTACCATGACTATTGTCTTCTTTTTCCTCTCAAAAAAAAAAAAAAAAAAAACCCCAAGGCCTGGCTAGGGGGCACCCTTCCAGACCACCAAGGAGAGGGTCTTTCCCATTATTTTGAGTGAGTAGTGTGGAATTCTCTTACCAAATTAATGTCATAAATTGTCTCTTTCTCCTTCACTTTTGTTTCAAACTTGGCTGCAGTCGAACTGTCAAATACAAGTGTAGTATTTGAGATGGGTAATGTGATGATTTAATATATGTATCCTTTACGAAATTATCACCATCAAATTAGTTAACACTGCTATCATGTCACATAGTTACCATTTGTGTGTGTGCATCTATCTGTGTGAGTGAGAGAGACAGAACATTTAAGGTCTACTTTCATAGAAAATTTCAGGTTTTCAATACAGTATTATTAATTATAATCCACCATGCTTTGGCTGGGCATGGTGGCTCTGCCTGTAATCCCAACACTATGAGAGGCTGAGGCAGGTGAATCATGAGGTCAGGAGTTCCAGACCAGCCTGGCCAAATGGTGAAACTCCATCCCTACTAAAAATACAAAAAAATAACCAGGCATGGTGGACACCTATAGTCCCAGCTACTCAGGAGGCTGAATCAGGCAGAAGTTGCAGTGAGCTGAGATCACACCACTGCACTCCGGCCTGGGTGACAGAGAGAGAGTCCATCTCAAAAACAAACAAACAAACAAACAAAAACACCATGCTTTATGCTCGATCCCCAGAACTTACTCATCTTGTAACTAAAAGTTTGTATTTTGTGACCAACATCGCCCCATTTTCTCTATTGCCACCCCTATGCCCCTGATAACCAGCATGTTATTCTCTGCTTCTATACATTTGACTCTTTCAGATTCTACACATTAAGTGAGATCATGTGGTATTTGTCTTTCTCTGTCTGGTTTATTTCACTTAGCATAGTGCCCCCCAGGTTCATCCATAATGAATTTCAATTCAAAACCCAAATGGCTGAGCCGTGGCATCCTTTGGAACAGTATAGCAGTTCCTTCTATATGAGGATCCTCTGTGTCAGCGGTTCTTACCAGGGGACACTTCTGCTCCCTGCCACCCCCAAGAGACTCTAGGAAATATCTGGAAACATTTTTGTCGTCACAACTCAGGGAGGGAAGGAGGATGCAACTGGCATCTAGTGGGTTGGTAGCCTATTTTCCAGTGCATAGAAGATGCCCACCCCAGGGAATGATCCAGCCTCAAATGCCAATAATTTTCAAGGGTGAGAAATACTGTTGTACATGGTCCCAAAGTTCCTAGATGGGTACGAGACTGACATTCATCACACTTTTCTGTAATAACTCGTTACATTTTTTGAGGTCAGGAATTTGAGACCAGCCTGGCCAACAGTGAAACCCTGTCTCTACTAGAAATACCCAAATAAGCTGGGCATGGTAGCAGCCACCTGTAATCCCAGCTACTTGGAAGTCTGAGGCAGGAGAATTACTTTAACTCAAGAGGCAGAGGTTGCAGTGAGCTGAGATCATGCCGCTGCACTCCAGCCAGGGCAACAGAGCAAGACTCTGCCTCTTGAGCTCAACAAAATTAGGGTATGAGTACCATTGTACCCTCAATTCTCAGCACATCAGCACATTATAGTATTGAATGAATTGCTGAATGTGTGAGCAAATGAAAGATTAGTATCTCTGGTGTAACACACATTGATTCATTCAGCAAACATATATATGTGGCTGTTCTGCCCCAAGCCTTGTGCTGGGTCTGGAGACAGAAGACACATTTTTCTGTCTCTGAAAAACTCATACTTGAGTGAACCAAAAATCAGAAGCACAATAAAGACCCTACTGCTGTTATTAACAGGGTACTATCAGAGCTGAGAGGTGGAGTAAATCAAGGAGGGATTTCTGGAGGAGGGTGTTACATACCCAGCCCTGTGCTAAGCACCAGGATACAATAGTGAATAAGACAGACATGGGCCCCTGCTGTCCTGGAGCTCCCTCTCACTGGGCTCTTGAAGCATGAACAGAAGTTTTTCAGGAAATAAAAAGGACGCATTCCTAGAAGTGGAAACTGCATAGCCCGTGCAGGAAAGCTCTGCTCGGGAGAATCCACGTAAAATTGCAGATTTCCCTCTCTTTGGGGCAACTTTCCGTCTAAGAGCTCCTGCAATACCCAGCATGTGGACCTGAAATTGACTGATTCTGACAGTAGGGAGGGCCCCCCTGGGCCATGCTGGCTCTGCATTTTGTGCTGAACATCTCCCCACCCATCTGTGGTCTTGTCTTCTTCTCTGTGGCTCCAGGCTACGCACCCCAGAATTCATCAATCCAGAGCGAGTACCAGATAAATTTCCGCATTGTCAACTGGAACCTCAGTAATCCAGACCCGACATCCTCAGAGTACATCACCCTGCTGAGGGACATCCAGGACAAGGTGAGGCATCTCTCACCCTCCCATCTCCCCTGTGTGCTTTTCTCCCTCTTCCACCTGATAGCCTATTAAGTGATGATTTCAAATACTTCGCTTCATCTACATGTTCTAGGTTCTCTCTCAGTTTCCAAAGGTACTCTCTTGACTACCATCCCCATTTCCCAGATGGGCAAACGGAGGTTCAGGAAGGGGCATAGTGTGCCTAGGGTCACATGGTGCCTTAGGAGCAGAGTTAGGATTTGAACTCTGGTCCCCTTTGCTCTGAGTCCTGTGTTTTTTTTCCACTGACATCAGTGGCCCCTCCACACCCAAGAGACCTCCATCTCACCCACTACCCCTCCTTTTAGGTCACCACACTCTACAAAGGCAGTCAACTGCACGACGCGTTCCGCTTCTGCTTGGTCACCAACTTGACGTAAGTTCTGAAGGTTGCAAGCAGCAGGCAAGCTTGCGGCTGTGTCTCTGAGCACCCTTGAGCTACAGGTCTCCGCCGGGGTACTCATTCTCCCCTACATCCCTGTTAGCTAATCCTACCACCTCCTCCCGTAAATCCTCAAGGTAGGGAGTGAGGATTGACCTCATGCAGCCACCAACTCCCAGCATTCACCTTCTTTTTTTTCTGGACACTTGGGAAAAGATAACTTTTTGATGTAGAACTCAAAATCATAGCCCAATAATAATGACTAACACCAGCCAGCCTCCTCTCATTTGATTCTCACGATAGTCTGTATGAGTTGAGGGCAAAGATCCTCCCAATTTGTGGGAAAATTGAGGGTCAGAAAAGTGAACTTCCCAAATCCATCCAAGTTGAGATTTGAACGCAGGTCTCTAATGACTGGGTGAAGGAATGAAGATATCTACACTTGGGAAGAGGAGGGTCACAGGACACAGGGCTGACTTGGCGTATTTCTAAACTTCAAGGATTTTTGTATTTCAAATGAGGATATGGAGATGGTTAATGGGAACAAAAAATAGAAAGGAAAAATAAGACCTGGTATTTGCTAGCACAACAGGGTGACTGTAGGTACATTTTAAAATAGAATTAAAAGTGTGTGCTTGGATCATTTGTAACACAAAGGATATATGCTTGAGGAGATGGATTTCCCATTTACCCTGATGTGATTATTATGTCAAAAAATTGCGTCAAAAAATCTCATATACCCCATAAATATATACACCTGCTATGTACCCAAAAAAATTAAAAACAAATGCAATCAAAAGTAGGCTTGGTGCAGTGGCTCACACCCATAATCCCAGCACTTTGGGAGGCCAGGGAAGGCAGATCTCTTGAGCCCAGAAGTTCAAGACTAGCCTGGGCAACATAGGGAGACCTAGTCTCTACAAAAAAATACAAAAGTTAGCCAGGCATGGTGGCACACACCTGTAGTCTCAGCCACTTGGGAGGCTGAGGTGGGAGGATCGCTTGTGCCTAGGAGGCAGAGGTTGCAATGAGCTGAGATTAAGCCACTGCACTCTAGCCTGGGTGACAGAATGAGACTCTATCTCAAAAATAAAATACAATAAAATAAAAAGTAGAAATCAAGAGGGAAAAAGTGCTGGGATTACAGGCATGAGCCACCTCGCCCAGACGAAGGGTTCCCATTTTTATCAGAACCCTTCTCTAGGCAGCTGGGCAGCCCCCACCCCCACCCCCATCACCAGTTGCCTGTAGGCCTTTGGGTCTTTAGAAACAGCAACCCATGATCTGCTGCTGGTGCTGAGTACTAGCTGTGATCTCTGTCCCTAGGATGGACTCCATGGTGGTCACAGTCAAGGCGTTGTTCTCCTCCAGTCTGGATCCCAGCCTGGTGGAGCAAGTATTTCTAGATAAAACCCTGAATGCCTCATCCCATTGGCTGGGAACCACCTACCAGTTGATGGACATGCATGTGACAGGTACAAGGGGGGTGGCTGGTTTCATAACTGGCAGGGGTGGGGTTATGAGGAAAGATAGGGCTTCTCAGTACCAGTGGAATTGGTGGAGGCTCTAGAGAGGGAAAGGGAGGCTTTCTGGAGACCCATGTAGATGACCCCTGGCAGTAGATTATCTAACAAGGCAGGAACAGAACACTCAGCCATTGCACCTAAGAGAACAGCTATTTTTAAATGTAAAAAAAATTGTGTTGAATGAATGAATCAATAAATCAATGCATTCATTCATTCATTCATTCAATAAACAATGAAAGTAAATAAGCACTGATGATACAGTGTGATAACTGCTATGCTAAGGGAATTTCAGGAGCCTGTAGGAGCCCCAGGGAGGGACACAAAACCTTGTCTTGGAAAGTTGTCTCTAGGAAGGGGTGATGAAGCTGAGATTTGACAGAGAATGGGACCTAGCCAGGGAGAGCAGATGGAGAATTGTGCTCCATGCGTCTATAACCGAGAAGATAGAATATGGCATTCTGGGGGAAGTTGTGAAAAGATTGGTGAGCTGGGGTATCCACTTTGATATTGGAGAGGTGACTGTTGAAGCCAAAGATAGGGGCAGAGATTTCTTGGATACTGGAATGGCTTAGGGAGGAACATGACACACTCATGAGTTCTGCTTTAGAAAGTGAAATGAGGCTGGGTCTGGTGGCTCAGGCCTGTAATCTCAGAACTTTGGGAGGCCAAGGCAGGTGGATCACAAGGTCAGGAGTTTGAGACCAGCCTAGCCAATATGGTGAAACCCCATCTCTGCTAAAAATACAGAAATTAGCCAGGCGTGGTGGTGCACACCTGTAGTCCCAGCTACTTGGGAGGCTGAGGGAGGAGAATAGCTTGACCTCAGGAGGTGGAGGTTGCAGTGAGCCAAGATGCCACTGCACTCCAGCCTGGGTGACACAGTGAGACTCCATCTCAGAAAAAAAAAAAAAAAAAAAAAAGAATTCTGCTTATCCTGTGGGTGCTGTGTGCAGAATGGAGGGTGAATGGGGAGAGAACAGCAAAGGCAGGAAGACCCTTTAAGAACAAAGATCATCAGAAGACTCAGCAAATATGAGTAGCAGATGCCTGCTGGCTTGGTCAGCACCTGTGCTTGCTGACTACATCCACAGAAAAACCCACTCTCTTTTCACTCCTGTTGTGGGATTTCTTACAAGCCTTGGGAGAAAGAGAGTTGGACACATAGATGGGTGGATGGATACAAGTTGGACAGGTGGATGGAGGAAGACTCTCCTTCCAATATAGAGCTGTTACCTAAAGCCCTTTATCCCACCTGCAAAAACCTAGCTCAGCTGTCACTGCCGGGGATAAGTAGGCTAGCTGCAGTAATCTCTTTCTTGAACCCCGCCCCCCCCCTTGATAGTGGATTTTTACAAACTTTTTTTTTTAATTCTAGAAATGGAGCCATCAGTGTATCAACCCACCAGCAGTTCCAGCACCCAGCACTTCCCCCTGAATTTCACCATCACCAACCTACCATATTCCCAGGATGTAGCCCACCCAGGCACTACCAATTACCAGAGGAAAAAAAGGAACATTGAAGATGCGGTGAGAAGGGGGTGGTGCATCCACTCTGCTACCGTGCAGAAACTCGCTTCTGCATAGTGCGTAGCCACAGGGTGACTTTTTAAAACGATCCACAAAACAGGTTCTTATTTCCATTTAAGATGTCACAGAGAGGTTCAGTAGCTGATCCAAGGTCACACAGCTAAGTCATACCCTGGAAGAGCATGTCCTTTGATATACACACCTGGGCAAGTGTTCGTCATGATGAGAAAAAAAATAGATGGAGAAGTATGCTCAGTGGCTTGAAAATTCTCTGATGCTACTGGGGCGGGGAATCTGACCTAAGAAACAACACCCTGTCTTTCAGCTCAACCAAGTCTTCCGAAACAGCAGCATCAAGAGTTATTTTTCTGACTGTCAAGTTTTAACATTCAGGTGAGTTCTAACTCAGGACCTGATGACTCTGGGAACTTCCGCTGTCCTTTAAATAGAACTGTCCCCAAGCCATAGCGTTGTTGGAAGAGAACCCTAAGAATATAGAGCTGTTACCTAAAAACCAGCTTTTTCCTCAAGCTGGAGCCCAACTGGCTTCAACACTCAGGAGAGTCGGTGTAAATCTCAGCTTGCTGACTACACCCCAGAGAAACCCAGTCTCTTTTCACCCACGTTGTAGGGAATTCTTACAATGCCTCGTAGAAAGAGAGTTGGACACATAGATGGGTAGATGGATACAAGTTAGACAGATGGATGGAGGAAGACCCTCATAGAGCTGTTACCTAAGACCCTTTATCCCATCTTCAAAAACCTAGCTCAGCTCACACTGCCAGGAATAAGTAGGCTAGCTGCAATAATCTCTTTCTTGAGCCTCCCACCCCCTGATAGTGGATTTTTTTTTAATCTTAAGGTTATACCTGAGTTAGTGGATTTTTACATACTTTTTTTTTTTTTATGGTGCTGAGGCTGTAGAATCTAGAGTGTAGAATCTACTACATTAAGACATCAGCTGGCTGGGCACAATGGCTCACGACTGTAATCCCAGCACTTTGGGAGGCTGAGGTGGGCAGATCATGAGGTCAGGACTTCAAAACCAGCCTGGCCAACATAGTGAAACCCCATCTCTACTAAAAATACAAAAAATTAGCTGAGAGTGGTGGTGGGAGCCTGTAATCCCAGCTACTTGGGAGGCTGAGGCAGGAGAATAGCTTGAACCCAGGAGGTGGAGGTTGCAGTGGTTGAGTGAGATCGCTCCGGCACGGGTGACATTGTGAGACTCTGTCTTGGTGGGGAAAAAAAAGATATCAGCTACTGAAATCAGGATCATGGAAGATGAGGGAAGGAAGGGACTAAAACCAGCTGACTTGGTATCCAGCAGCCTAATTGTCCTTTCCAATAAGGGGTATTAAAACCAGATGACTTGGTATCCAGCAGCCTAACTGTCCTTTCCATTAAGGGGTATTATTTCCAATGGGGGAATATTGACTTTTTTTTTTGACAACTGTCATGAGAACAGGCTTTCCTCACTAAGCAAGTTCTGAGTCAGAACAAATAAAGACAAGCCATGAGAATAAGGCTCTTTCAAGGAGCTGCCAAGCAGATCAAGCAGTGACAGAACTGATGGCTGGAGAACTCCAAAGCCACTTTGACTGCTAGGCAGCCGGTTTTCACAGGTGTCATGATTCTGAGGCTGCTGGTTTTCAAAATAACTGAGGATCTTGCCAGATGCAGCAGCTCACACCTGTAATCCCAGCACTTTGGGAGGCCAATGCATCGCTTGAGCTCAGGAGTTTGAAACCAGCCTGGGCAACATGGTGAAACCCCATCTCTACAAAAATTACAAAAATCAGCTGGGCATAGTGGTGTGCACTGTAGTCCCGGCTGCTTAGAAGTTTGAGATAGGAGGATGGCTTGAGCCCAGGAAGCAGAGGTTGTAGTGAGCTGAGATGGCGCCACGCAGTCCAGCCTGGGCAACAGAGCCAGAGCCTGTCTCAAAAAAAAAAGCTGAGGATCTTGAAAGAGCACTATAAAAATAATTCAAGTTAAAATGCCACAAGTCTTGCTTTTTTTTTTTTTTTTTTTTTTTTTTAGTGAGATTTAATGCTTTCCTTGACCAAACACCCCTCGATTTTTTGCAAGCCTTTGGTTCATTTCTAGACTTCTGAAAAAGTTGATTTTGACTATTTTGGCCAATGTTCTCATTGATTATATGGGTATTCAGAAGTCATTACCCCAGGAATGTTCTCCCTGTGACTGTTGTTTATTTTTATCATTTATTTATTTATTTTGAGACAGAGTCTTGCTCTGTCACCCAGGCTGGAGTGTAGTGGCATAATCTCAGCACACTGCAAACTCCATCTCCTGGGTTCCAGCGATTCTCCCGCCTCAGCCTCCCAAGTAGCTGGGATTACAGGTGCCCGCCACCATACCCAGCTGATTTTTGTATTTTTAGTAGAGATGGGGTTTTGCCTTGTTGGCCAGGCTGGTCTTGAACTCCTGATCTCAAGTGATTCAGCCACCTTGGCCTCCCAACGTGCTGGGATGACAGGCATGAGCTACCACGCCTGACCTCCCTATGGTTATTTTTAAATAAATTAAGTAGAATAAAATTAGAAATGCAGTTCTCCCATCCTAGCTACAAGTGTTTAGCAACAACATGAAGCTACTGATGGCTGCACTGGGTAGTGCAGACATAGAATATTTACATCATTGCAGAAAGTTCCTGCAGAAAGAACCAAGGAGGAGGAAGCCTAGACTCCTGATAGAATTGCAAAGATCTTGGCTTATCCCTCGTCCCCTTCCAGGTCCGTCCCCAATAGCAGCCACACCGGGGTGGATTCTTTGTGTAACTTCTCACCACTGGCTCGGAGGATAGATAGAATTGCCATCTATGAGGAATTCCTGCGGATGACACAGAATGGCACCCAGCTGCAGAACTTCACCCTGGACAGGAACAGTGTCCTTGTGGATGGTAAAGCTCCCTGGTCATTGGGGCTGGGGTGGGAGCTCCCACTTCCTCACCTGGGTTCTTCCCTGGGAACCTGAAGGCTTAGAGGTGATTCATCATTGAACTTTCTTAGACTGGGAGAAGGTGGCTTAGTTCTCCTAGGCTTTACCCATCATTGAAGGAAAGAAAAAGACACCCAAGGGATACAGGAGGCATTTGCCCTCTTCTGGCCAGGTCTGTGACCTCAGGCTAGTGATAGCTCCTCTCTGGACTTCTTATCTCTGTACTTAGCAAGCCACCTGGTTTTTGGCTCCCCTCTTGCCTGCCCTAGATAGATTGCTTCTCCACCCCAGGCAGCTGCAGTATTAAACAATTACCCTGATTGGTTTTTGCTGTTGTGGTGGTTTGTTTTTGAGAGAGGGTCTCTGTCACCTAGGCTGGAGTGCAGTGGCATGATCTTGGCTCAGTGCAGCCTCAATCCTTGGGCTCACCCACCTCAGCCTCCTGAGTAGCTAGGATTACAGGCATGTGCCACCACACCTGGATAATTTTTGTTTTTTTTCTAGAGATGGGGTTTTGCCCTGTTGCCCAGGCTGGTCTGGAACTCCGGAGCTCAAGCGTTCCACCTGCTTCAGCCTCCCAAAGTGCTGGGATTACAAGCAGGCATGCACCACTGCACCTGGCTCTAGTTTTTTTCTTTTAGAGGTGAGGTCTCACTCTGTTACCCAGAATGGAGTGCAGCGGTACAGACCTATCTCACTGCAGCCTTGAACTCCCAGGCTCAAGTGATCCTCCCACCTCAGCCTCCCAAGTAGCTGGGACTACAGGCATATGTCACCATGCCTTCCTCATTTCTAAATTTTTTGTAGAGACAGGTTCTCACTACGTTGTCCAGGCTGGTCTCTAACTCCTGGCCACAAGTGATCCTCCTGCCTCCGCAGGTCAATGAGGGCTTTCAGTTTCGAGTTGTATGTGATTCATCCTCAACACCTGTGGTAGATGGACCTATTTTCCAACTCCTGAGATGGCTTCAAGGTGGCTCAACTTTGCATATCTAGATTTACGCAGTCAAAGAATAGTTACACACGTTGTACCATGTATCAGAAATGTAACAGAGAATAACTGTCTGCTTTTTCACCACTATATTCCAAGAACCCCATATTCTGCCTGGCACGTAATAAATACTCATATTTACAGAAGGAATAACTAGATTTCATACAAGGTTTTTTTCAGGTCAAATGTGATTAACGTATTAGACGAGACCTTCCAATGCCTGTGTGCACTGTCCTTGGTTCTGAATTATTGTTGTGCAAGAGGGTACTGTTGAATATTTAGAATCAAGCCTTAGGCCAGGCCTGGTGGCTCGTGCCTGTAATCCCCACATTTTGGGAGGCTGAGGCAGGTGGATCACCTGAGTTGGGAGTTTGAGACCAACCTGACCAATGTGGAGAAACCTCGTCTCTACTAAAAGTCCAAAATTAGCCAGGTTTGGTGGAGCATGCCTGTAGTCCAAGCTACTCGAGAGGCTGAGGCAGGAGAATCTCTTTAACCCGGGAGGCAGAAGTTGCGCCATTGCACTACAGCCTGAGCAACAAGAGCGAAACTCTATCTCAAAAAAAAAAAAAAAAAGAATCAACAAGCCTTTCGCATGCCCATCACAGGTTTTTCTTGTTTTACTGTTTTTTGTTTGTTTGTTTTTAAGTAAAAATTGTTGTCAGCTCACAGGCTTTCTAGAAACAGGCCATGGACCCAACATGGATGTAGTTTGCCAAACCTTGCCTTGAATCAACACCACCCAGTAGAACTTCTGCAGTGGTATAAAATGTTTCTATCTGTGCCATTCAGCACAGGAGTCATGTGTGATTACCAAGTGCTTGAAGTGTGGTTAATGTAACTGAGATACTGAAGTTTTCATTTTAATTTAAAAAGCAGGCCGAGGTGGGTGGATCACAAGATCAAGATATCGAGACCATCCTGGTCAACATGGTGAAACCCCGTCTCTACTAAAGATACCAAAAATTAGCTGGGCATGGTGGCGCGTGCCTGTAATCCCAGCTACTCAGGAGGCTGAGGCAGGAGAATTGCCTGAACCCAGGAGGTGGAGGTTGCGGTGAGCCGAGATTGCGCCATTGCACTCCAGCCTGGGTAACAAGAGCAAAACTCCTTCTCAAAAAAAAAAAAAAAAAAAAGCCACTTGTGGCTGCTGTATACTGCAAACCACTTTTTTATGATTATTTGTATGTATTTAAGGGGTACATTTGTATCTAGTTAAGTGGTACAAGTGCAATTTTGTTGCATGTATATATTGCCCGGTGGGGAAGTCTAGGCTTTTAGGGTATTCATTACTTGAATGATGTACATTGTATCCACTGAGTAATTTCTCATCATCGGCTCTCCTCCACTCCCCAACCCTTGCAACTCTCTGCTATCTGTTATTCCACTCTCTATGTCCATGCCTATGCATTATTTAGCATTGATATGTCTATGCACGATTTAGTCAAATACATGTGATAGCTGGGCGTGGTGGCTCATATCTGTTATCCCAGCACTTTGGGAGCTTGAGGTGGGTGGATCACGAGGTCAGGAGTATGAGACAAGCCTGACCAACGTGGTGAAACCCCCTCTCTACTAAAAATACAAAAATTAGCCCAGTGTGGTGGTGGGCACCTGTGATCCCAGCTATTCCAGAGGCTGAGGCAGGAGAATTGCTCGAACCCAGGAGGCGGAGGTTGCGGTGAGCCAAGATCATGCCACTGCACTCCAGCCTGGGTAACAGAGTGAGACTGCATCTCAAAAAAAAAAAAAAAAAAAAAACATGTGGTATTTGATTTTCTGTATCTGAATTGTTTGACTTAAGATAATGACCTTCATTTCCATCCATGTTGCTACAAAAGACATGATTTCTTTTTTGTGTGTGTGCCTGAGTGGTACTGTATTGTGTGTGTGTGTGTGTCACATTTCCTTTATACAGGCCTCCATTGACTGTATAAAGTCAACACTTAGGTTGATTCCATACATTTGCTATTGTGAATAGTTCTGTGATAAACACACAGGTGCGGTTGTCTTTTTGATACAATTATTTGTTTTCCTTTTTGTAGATACCCATAGTAGGATTGCTGGATCAAATGGTAGTTCTATTTTTAGTTCTTTGAGAAATCTTTATACTGTTGTCCATAGAGGTTGTACTAAATTACATTCCCACCAACAATATATGAGTTCCCTTTTCCTGCATCCTCTCCAACATCTGTTACTTTTTGTCTTTTTAGTAATAGCCCTTCTGACTGGTGTAAGATGGTATCTCATCATGGTTTTAACCTGCATTTCTCTGATTATTAGTGATGCTGAGCATTTTTTCATGTGCTTGTTAGCCATCGGTATGTCTTCCACATCTTTATGAAGATGGTCATAACAGGGTTGCAGTAGAGGAACCAAGAACCCTTCCCCATGCATGATGGTTGCTTTACATCCCTATCTTCATGAAGTTTTTGAGGTAGTGAGGAATAACAAGAATAGGCAGTTGTCGATTATAAATTATTTGATGTGAACCTGTCCATACTTGGGTGTGGTCATCAGGGAAGGCTTCCTGGAGGAAATGACATTAAAGAATTCTAAAAGATGAGGATAGGCTGGGTATGGTGGCTCATGCCTATAAATCCCTGCAGTTTGGGAGGCCAAGGCAGGTGGCTCACTTGAGATCAGGAGTTTGAGACCAGCCTGACCAACATAATGAAATTCTGTCTCTACTAAAAATACAAAAAAATTAGCCAGGCATGATGTTGGGTGTCTGCAATCCCAGCTACTCCAGAGACTGAGGCAGGCAAATCGCTTGAACCTGGGAGGCAGAGGTTGCAGTGAGCTGAGATCGTGCTATTCCACTCCAGCCTGGGCAATGAGCAAAACCCCGTCTCAAAAAAAAAAAAAAAACCCACAAGTAAACAAAAAAAAAGATGAGGATGAAACAACCAAGTGAAGGAGAGCTTAAATATGTTCTTAGGCAGAACAAAAAGCTTTTGAGTGAGAATTTGAAAACTTAGAGTCATCCCAGGGGTTTCCAACTGCAATGATCCATTCTCTCCACCCCCATTGGGCCCAGCCCACCAAGCCCAGAGGCATGAATTTAACTTATGACACTCTTGTGGTGGGATAATGGCTTTGGGCTTATATAGCCAGGAGTCCTCATTTTTTTTTTTTTTTTGAGAAGGAGTTTCGCTCTTGTTACCCAGGCTGGAGTGCAATGGCGCAATCTCAGCTCACCACAACCTCCGCCTCCTGGGTTCAGGCAATTCTCCTCCCTCAGCCTCCCAAGTAGCTGGGATTACAGGCACATGCCACCATGCCCAGCTAATTTTTTGTATTTTTAGTAGAGATTGGGTTTCACCATGTTGACCAGGATGGTCTCAATCTCTTGACCTCGTGATCTGCCCGCCTCGGCCTCCCAAAGTGCTGGGATCATTTTTTTTAGAGATACGAATTGGAATACTTGGGGTAAGATGTCATGATGTCTACTGGCTTCTAAAACTACAGCAAAACCGTTTAAGTTCACCGAAATGTCAATCAGTAATAAATTGAATGTATAGATTTTAGTTGGAGAAAATATAAATCACTAAATCAAGGTTATTATACTCGTCTCTCCGCTTTTTTGTATGCTTGTAAAGTTGTATTAAAAGAATAAGACACACTCACATGCACCATCCATTTCTTTCATTTTTAGGGTATTCTCACAACAGCAATGAGGCCTTAACTGGGAAGTCTGGTAAGTCTCAAAAAAGCCCCAGCCCAGGGTAAGGAGGGGGTCACTTGATGGTGCTTCACCTTGTCCTGGAGCATTGTGCCCACACAGTCTTGGATGACCAACCAAGGCAAAGGCTATTGAGGCATAGTGAAGGGATAGCAGGGATCCTGGCTTGCTGGGGCCTCACTTTTGGGGAGCGTCAGAGGCATGAGGTTGTTGAGTCACTAAGCTCTCCTCCCCAGGGCTGTGCCTATCCTCAGGCCACATAGGGTCCAAGAAGGAGCCCTGGGATGTGGCAGGAGGTGGCTTACCCTAACCCTTGTCTCCCTAGACCTTCCCTTCTGGGCCATCATCCTCATCTGCTTGGCGGGACTCCTGGGACTCATCACATGCCTGATCTGTGGTTTCCTGGTGAGCAAGGAAGGGTTGCTTTTCTTCTGTTGGGTTGTAAGAGTTTTTGATACACACACATACACACACATACACATATACACACACACACACACACATATATATATACATATATATATATATATAGAGAGAGAGAGAGAGAGAGAGAGTTATATAGATAAATAGATCATTGCAGGCCGGGAACAGTGGCTCATGCCTATAATCCCAGCACTTTGGGAGGCCAAGGCAGGCAGATCATGAGGTGAAGAGATCAAGACCATCCTGGCCAAAATGGTCAAACTGCATCTCTACTAAAAACAATTTTTTTCAGACGTCTCTCTGTCACCCAAGCTGGAGTACAGTGGCATAATCTTGGCCCATTACAACCTGTGCCTCCCAGTTTCAAATGATTCTCTTGCCTCAGCCTCCCGAGTAATTGAGACTACAGGCATGCATCACAATGCCTGGCTAATTTTTATATCTTTAGTGCAGACAGTATTTCATTATGTTGGCCAGGCTGGTCTTGAACTCCTGATCTCATGATCCACCTGCCTCAGCCTCCCAAAATGCTAGGGTTACAGGTATAAGCCACCATGTCTGTTGCTTGCTGAGGTATAACTCACCAAGAGTTTTTAATATATTCTATACCTATACTATACTATACTATACTGTACTATACTATACACAAGTCCTTTGCTGAATGCATGTTTTGCGAATATTTTCTCCCAGTTCATGGAGTGGCTTTCCTATTTTCTTTTTATAATTGTACTTTTAATTAATTGATAAATAATGAATGCATATATTTATGGGATACAATGTGATGCTTTAGCATATGTACAATTATGGAATGACTCAATCAAGCTAATTAATATGTCCCTCACCTCTCATACTTATTATTTCTTTGTGGTGTGAACATTGGCAACCTACACTCTTAGCAATTTTGAAATCTACATTATTATTAACTAGTTACTACATTGTGCAGATCTCAAAAACTTCACAACCTATATGCTGATTACAAGATACTGAGTGAAAAAGTGATTGCAAAGAGTGTAAATAAAAGGACATAAGAGGGGAAAAATGTAACATTAGTCATGAGGGAAATGTACATGGAAGTCACAATGAGAGGCCACTTTGCACAAGAATGGATATAATTGAAAAGACTGACTATAACAAGTGTTGGTGAAAATGTGATGTAACTGGATTCTCTTAAAGCACTAGTGGAAAATAGCTTGGCCACTTATTTGAAAATTACACACACCCTCCATAAGACCCACCATCGCACTTCTAGTAATTTATCTAAGAGAAATAAAAAACATGTCCATATGAAGACTTGTACAAAAATGTTCATAACAGCTTTATTTGTAATAGCTAAACTCTGAAAACAACCCTAATGTCCATCAACAAATATATCCTGAAAATGGAATCTTATTCAGCAAAAAAAGGAATTAATTATTAATAAATTATACAGCAACATGTATAAATTGCAAAATAGTTATGCCTAGTGAAGAATCCAGACAAAGAAGAGTACATGCCATATGATTCCCTTTATAGACAAATTTTAGTAAATACAAACTAATCTGTAAAGACAGAAATCAGATTAGTGGTTGCCTGAGAGTGAGAATGTGTTTGCAGTGGCAGGGAAAAGGGAATTGCAAAAGAGCAGAAGGAAAATTTCGGGTTTTTTGTTTGTTTGTTTGAAACAGAGTCTTGCTTTGTTGCTCAGGCTGGAGCACAGTGGTGCGATCTTGGCTCACTGCAACCTCTGCCTCCCAGGTTTGAGTGATTCTCCCACCTCAGCCTCCCAAGTAGCTGGGATTACAGAGGCACACCACCATAGCCAGCTAATTTTTGTATTTTTAGTAGAAACAAGGTTTTACCATGTTGGCCAAGTTGACCAACTTGACCTCAGGTGATCCACCTGCCTTGGCCTCAGAAAGTGCTGGGATTACAGGCCTGGGCCACCACACCTGGCCAGGAGTAAAGTTTTGGGGATGATGGATGGATGTTCCTTATCTTGATTGTGGTGATCGTCCAATAAGTTATGATCACAAGTTACCAAAACGTTCGTTTTAAATGTGTGCCATTTATTTTATGTTCGTTATGCCTCAGTTAAGCTGGACAGGTATAGAGAAGGAAGGGAGGGAGAGAGAGGGAGAAGGTGAGACCAGTGCCAAAAGCCAGAGAGAAAGAGAATGAGATGAGAGAGAAATTATATTTAGACAGAAGATAGGAGATAGATGATTGATAGTTGATGGCTGATTGGTGGATAGTTGATAGGTAGATGATAAATAGATGATTCTTATAGGTAATTGATAGATGATAAATTGACAAGTAATAGGTAGTTGATAGATATTGTTAAATAAATGATAGATAAATAGATGATTGATAGATTATAAATAGCAGATGATTGAGAGATGAGAGATAATTGATAGTTATTGATAGGTAGATAATTGATTGACAAATCAATAAATACTGATAGTTAGATGATAGATAAATAGATCATCGCAGGCTGGGCGCAGTGGCTCATGCCTGTAATCCCAGCACTTTGGGAGGCCAAGGCAGGCAGATCACAAGGTAAAGAGATCAAGACCATCCTGGCCAACATTGTGAAACTGCATCTCAAAAATACAAAAATTAGCTGGGAGTGGTGGCGGGTGCCTGTAGTCCCAGCTACTCGGGAGGTTGAGGCAGGAGAATCACTTGAACCTGCTTGAACTCAGTTGCAGTGAACTGAGATAATGCCACTGCAGTCCAGCTTGAGGGACAGAGTGAGACTCTGTCTCAAAAAAAAAAAAAATAGATCATTGGTAGATCTGTGATATATTGATAAATTCAGGGGCAAAGGGAGAGAGAAATAAAGGGGATATCAGAGGGGGAAACTGTTTTTAAACTGCGAGTAAAACAAGGAGAGAGAAGAAAAGAACGTAGTGAAAAGAGGAAAAGAACAGAGGGAGAAAGTAAATGGAACAAAGAATGGAGACAAAGGAAGCATAAGGTCTCCGGCTTTGGCCATAGTCTCACCCCTGTGGCTGTCCCCTCCCTGGATGGCTGACCAGTCCATTCTCATGCCTCCTCCTCACCCTCACAGGTGACCACGCACCGGCGAAAGAAGGAAGGAGAATACGACATCAGGCAACAGCACCCAGGCTACTGCAAGTCATACGTACACCTGGAGGATCTGCAATGACTGGCACTGCCCGGCACCCGGGGTCGCTTTTCCCCAGCCAGGGTGCAAAGAAGCTGAGCTGGGGCAGAAATAAACCATATTGGTCGGACACAAGTCTCTGAGCCTTTCTTGACATGACCCTTGACTGGTTCATGTTGGGCTAAGAGAACAGTCTTCCCCCTTCATGAAGTCCTGAAGGCAACTCCCAGTTGCGTTTTGTGGCTTCACACCATGGCATCCCTTAGGAACAGCAGAATTGGTGCAACTGGTTGTATTTGGCTCCTCTTGCACTGGAATACCAGGCCGGGCTCAGTGGCTCACACCTATAATCCCAGCACTTTGGGAGGCCAAGGCAGGAGGATCACTTGAGGTCAGGAATTCAAGACCAGGCTGACCAACTTGATGAAACCCTTTCTTTACTAATAATACAAAATAAAATTAACTGGGCATGGTTGCCTATGCCTATAATCCCAGCTACTTGGGAGACTGAGGCAGGAGAATTGATTGAACCAGAGAGTCGAAGGTTGTAGTGACCTGAGATTGCACCACTGCACTCCAGCCTGGCAACAGAATAAGACTCCATCTCAAGAAAAGAAAAGAAAAATTTGCTAGGCATGGTGGTGCATGCCTATAATCCCAGCTACTCAGGAGGCTGAGGCACAAGAATCACTTGAACCCAGGAGGCAGATGTTGCAGTGAGCTGAGATCATGTCACTGCACTCCAGCCTGGGTGACAGAGTGAGACTGTCTTAAAAAAAAAAAAACCTGGCTGGGCCCAGTAGCTCACACCTGTAATCCTAACACTATGGGAGACCAATGCAGGCAGATTGCTTGAGTCCAGGAATTGCAGACCAGCCTGGGAAACATGGCAAAATGCTGTCTCTCTAGAGACTTTAAAAAATAGCCAGGCATGGTGGTGTGTGCTTATAGTCCCAGCTACGTGGGAGGCAAAGGTGGGAGGATCACCTGAGCCTGGGAGGTCGAGGCTGCAGTGACCTGTGATTGTACCACTGGACTGCAGCCTGGGTGACAGAGTGAGATCCTGTCTCGAAGAAAGAAAAAAAATAAATACCTGAGACTGGGCAGTTTATAAAGAAAAGAGGCTTAATTGGCTCACAGTTCTGCAGGCTGTACAGGAAGCATGATGCCAGCATCTGATCAGCTTCTGGGGAGGTCTCAGAAAGCTTCCAATCATGGCAGAAGGCTAAGGGAGGGCCAGCATGTCACATGGCCAGAGCAGGCGCAAGAGAGAGTTGCGGGGAACAAAGGTGCCACACAATTAAACAATCAGATCTCACAAGTACTGACTCCCTGTTGCAAAGGCAGCATCAAACCATGAAGGATCTGCCTCTATGACCCAAGCACCTCCCACCAGGCTCCACCCACTTCCAACACTGGGGATTACAATTCAGATTTGGTGGGGACACATATTCAAACTATATTACTAATGATATGGACGGGGGCAGGGAAATACTGGGTAGAAGAGAGTGGTTCCACAGCAAAGGCCCCACCCTCAAGCCTGGAGACCCGTGGCCCTAAATGGGAACAAGCATTCCTGTTTTCACGCCCAGAAGTTACCTTTTGGCCCACCATGCTCCCCTATCCTGTCCCATATAAACCCCAAACTCCACAAGCAGATGAGACAAACAGAAGAGCAGAGGAATGGCAGAACGGCAGAGCAGAGAAAGGAGAGGAATTCAGCTGGGGATAGTTGGAGAGGTGACCAACCACCGGACAGCCAAACTTCAGGAGAAGATCATCTTCCCACTCCATCCCCCTTCCAGCTCCCCATCCATCCCACTGAGAGCCACCTCCCCTATTCAATAAAACCCCCACATTGATCCTTCAAGTCTATGTGTGACCTGATGCTTTCTGGATGCTGGACAAGGACCTGGGTACCAAGAGGACACTGAGCTGGTTAACATTTAAGCCATCCACAGACAGCAAGGCTAAAGGGAGTTGCAGTCTCCCAACCCTGCACACTGCCATGGGGCCAGAGCCAAGGGGTACTCACCCTGGCTTTTGCACCTGCCTGTCTGCATGCTCCCCCTCCCATAAGGGGTTTTAGTTAGTGAATTTCTTTATCAATATATCACATATCTACCAATGATCTATTTATCATCTAGCTATCAATATTTAGAGATCTGTCAATCAATTATCTACCTATCAGTAACTATCAATTATCTCTCTTCTCTCAATCATCTGCTATTTTTTTTTTTGAGACGGAGTTTACCTCTTGTTACCCAGGCTGGAGTGCAATGGTGCGATCTCGGCTCACTGCAACCTCCGCCTCCTGGGTTCAGGCAATTCTCCTGCCTCAGCCTCCTGAGTAGCTGGGATTACAGGCATGCGCCACCATGCCCAGCTAATTTTTTTGTATTTTTAGTAGAGACGGGGTTTCACCATGTTGACCGGGATGGTCTCAATCTCTTGACCTTGTGATCCACCCACCTTGGCCTCCCAAAGTGCTGGGATTACAGGCTTGAGCCATCTCACCCAGCCTAATCATCTGCTATTTATAATCTATTAATCATCTATCAATCACGTATCCATCATCTATTTATCATCTACTTATCAATATCTATCAACTATTACCTGTCAATTTATCATCTATCAATTATCTATCAAAAATCATCTATTTATCATCTACCTATCAACTATCCACCAATCATCTATCAACTACCAATCAGCTGAACAGATGAGCCACACCCTGTTGCACATCCTGCAAGGGGGTCAGGGAATTCTCCTGTTTCACTGATACAGAAATTGCCATCATGGAGGCCAGGGGCAGTGGCTCATGCTGGTAATCCCAGCACTTTGAGAGGCCGAGGTGGGTGGATCACCTGAGGTCAGGAGTTCGAGACCAGCCTGGCCAACATGGTGAAACCCTGTCTCTACAAAAAATATAAAAATTAGCTGGGTGTGGTGATGGGCACCTGTAATCCCAGCTACTTGGGAGGCTGAGGCAGGAGGATCCACCGAGAGGTGAAGGTCACAGTGAGCCAAGATTGCACCATTGCACTCCAGCCTGTGTGACAGAGCAAGACACCATCTCAAAAAAAGAAAAAGAAAAGAAAATTTCCATGGTGGAAAATCAGCATTCCACTTCAGTTTGAGGTCTCCCTCCTTTGTCATCCAGTACACACCCACCCTTGACTCTGACACCAGCCATCACACCCATCCTGATCCTTTATCTTCCCATACCCCACCCCAGCAGAAACCCTGGCAGTTCCAAGTTTCTCTTATGCTATTTTATTCTCTGAGACTGAAGTACCAGAATTTCCATATTAATATTCCCTGGGCAGCTTCTTCCCCATCTCACAGGTCCTCTAAGGTGGGAAGCAGACCAAGAAGAAATGAATGGGTCAGAAATGGTTCTCCAGGCCAGGCACCATGGCTCACCCAGCACATTGGGAGACTGCGGCAGCAGAAGGATTGCTTGAGGCCAGGAGTTAGGGACCAGCTTTGGCAAAATAACGAGACCCTCATCTCTACTAAAAGAAAAAAAACAGCTGAATGTGGTGGCACACACCTGTAGTTCCAGCTACTAGGGAGGCTGAAGCCGGAGGATCCCTTGAGCCCAGGAAGTTGAGGCTACAGTGTGATCACACCACTGCACTCCAGCCTGGGCAACAGAGTGAGACTCCAATCTCTAAAAAAGAAAAATAGAGGCCGGGCGCGGTGGCTCAAGCCTGTAATCCCAGCCCTTTGGGAGGCCAAGGCGGGTGGATCACAAAGTCAAGAGATCTAGACCATCCTGGTCAACATGGTGAAACCCCGTCTCTACTAAAAATACAAAAAAATTAGCTGGGCATGGTGGCGCGTGCCTGTAATCCCAGCTACTCAGGAGGCTGAGGCAGGAGAATTGCCTGAACCCAGGAGGCGGAGGTTGTGGTGAGCCGAGATCGCACCATTGCACTCCAGCCTGGGTAACAAGAGCAAAACTCCGTCTCAAAAAGAAAGAAAGAAAGAAAGAAAAATAGAGTGCGATATCTATATTATTTATAGCTTCCCTAAAAATTGATTATTTAAAAATTTTATCTTTTCTTCTCTGTGCTTCCACATGGTAATTATCTGAATCCTAGAATGTGGTTCTTTTTGCTTTTGTTTTGTTCTGGTTTTTTGAGATGAAGTTTCACTCTTGTTGCCCCAGCTGGAGTGCAATGGGGTGATCTTGGCTCACCGCAACCTCTGCCTCTCAGGTTCAAGCAGTTCTCCTGTCTCAGCCCCCGAGTAACTGGGATTACAGGTGTCCGCCATCACACCCAGCTTGTTTTTGTATTTTTAGTAGAGACGAGGTTTCACCATGTTGGCCAATGCTGGTCTGGAACTCCTGACCTCAGGTGATCCAACCACCTCGGCCTCCCAAAGTGCTGGGATTACAGACGTGAGCCACCACGTCCAGGCATAGAATGTGTTTTAACGTTTTATTTGTATTTGCTTGAAAACAAATACAAATAGACTACATCCAGTCTGTTTGACTTTTTTTTAGATTCCACATAGAAGTGGGTCAATGCAGTATTTTTGTTTCTGTGTCTGACTTAATTCACTTATCTTAAAGTTAGTAGGCAGTGATCAAGGTCTTGAAATCATTCAGCACTTCGTCCTCATAGTCACAGGATAAACCCTACCTAATCAGAATCAATTATTAGTTTTGTGAAATATCCTAGTGAATTCCAGAATAATATTTCATGAGTTTTGTATATCTACGTTTTCAAATAAACTAACTCTAGTTATTTTTCTGTTCTTGATTGCCTGATAATTCAAGAGTTGCATTTAATGAAATACCAGACTGTCTCTGATTCTCTACATGTGTTGAAATTTGATTCAGGAAAGTTGACACAATTTGTGGGATAATAGTGTCAAGAGAAACTTTTTAAGCCAGGTGTGGTGGCTCATGCCTGTAATCCCAGCACTTTGGGAGGCTGAGGCAGGTGAATCACTTGAAGTCGAGACCAACCTGACCAACATAATGAAACTTTATCTCTACTAAAAATACAAAAATTAGCTGGGCATGGTGGTGGGCACCTGTAATCCCAGCTACTTGAGAGGCTGAGGCATGAGAATCACTTGAACCCGGGAGGGGAAGGTTGCAGTGAGCCAAGATCTCACCA